CGGTTAGTCTGGGAGTCCAATCCATGTCTCCACACAGGGGGTCAGCGTGAGAGATGATTCATTTGGACCTCTACTCTACTCCAATCAGCATTAATCAGTTTGGCATTTCACAGAAATCCTATAATTAGATAATTATAAGATAGGTTCTTAGAGTAGGCCTTTTTAATGGGTCTCAAACTTTCACGTGACATTTGCTCCTTGTTGACCAGTTACGAAGCCCACTTGCACAACCACAAGAATGCAGACAAAGATATCTCCATCCTGTTTTAAAGGACGGTGTCTTCGTTGAGGCGGCTCAATGAAGCAGTACAGTCCCGGGTAAAGTGTTCCTAACTGCACACTTCTAGAGCGACAGAAACATTCCACTATGGAGAACCACAATGAAGGACTTCTTTCTTTAGAACCCCCAAAGTTTAACTTTAACAATAATAATAATAGTTCACATTTACAGGGTCAGCTATGTGGCACACCGGATAGAGTGCGGGGCCTGGGGGGCAGGAAGACCTGAGTTCAAATGCGGCCCCAGACACTCACTAGCTGTGTGGGCAAGTCACTCCACCTGTTTGCCTGCAGGATTCAGGGGCCTTTGGGGTGAGCGTGGCTGAAGCAACAGGCAGTGGCCACTCGGAAACATCTGGGAAGTCATTCCTGCTGGGCTGGAAGGCTCACTCCTCTTGGGCGAGGGGAGCTGGTGAGAGAAAGGGAGCTGTGGAAGGGCCTGCGCTGGGGCACAGAGAAGCGGCCTCCCTGCAGAATGACTGCATGCAGAGGCTGAGTCAAGAAGGATGTATTGATCACCTACTGTAAGCCTGGCACTATGTGCAGGTCTTGGAGATGGAATAAAGACAAAAACGTGCCACCGATGCGCATGAGTGAAGGCTTCCTGGGGAAGAAGGAGCTGACACTGGGCTGGGAGGGAAATGAGGCGCGGGAGAGGCTTGGATGAGGGAGGAGACATTAGAGGCAACTGCGTGGAGGCTGGAGATGGAAGCCAGAGGGGGCACGCCCTCTCCTTTCGCCCTCTCCGCCCCATCTCATCCCTCCCTCCAGGCCAGGGTCTGGGATGAACAGGTGCGGCCCTCGTCCAGGCTGGACTCAGACACGACCCACCGTGCCCGGCCCCTCTGCCCCAGGACAGGACGAGTCCCTGGAACTGGCTGCCCGGGGAGACAAAGCCGGGGTTAGGGCAGAGCACCAGCAGTCGCCGGGCACACCGGCCGCCGGCCACTGGGGGGCGCAGCTCCTGGGAGTGCACTGGGAATAGCGGGGACTCGACCCAGCCACCCACGTGGAGACAGCCGCCGGAATAGGAAGTAGCTCCGCGCGGAGCATCCTGGGAGCTGTAGTGCAAAGGAGGGCAGAAGAGTACACATGCTCCGCATCAGCCCGAGTTGGGAAGGAGAGAAAACAGAGCTCTGTGGCTATTGGTCTGAGCACACCGCGTATTGCCTTCTGGGAGTTGTAGGGCTCCTGAGAGTGCGCGTGCTCAAAACCTCCGTTACTCAGTATTGCCCCTTATGAGAGCAATTAGGAGGTGGGGTCCAAGCCGGGGTGGAGGGGAGTTAAATCCAGACCACAGGCGCCTACTATGTGGTGGGCTAGCGCTAAGCCTTTGGAATCCCGACCTCAAGAAGCATACAATCTAATGGGAGAGACGCTGGCACACCAGTACAGACAAAGCACCCTGTAACCATGATGAACAGACAAAGTCCTGGGATCGGAGGGGCTTGGGAAGGCTTCCCGGAAGGGGGAATTTAGTTGGGACTGAAGCCAGGGGCGTCAGTGGTCGGAGCAGGGGAGGGAGAGCATTCCAGGCGTGGGGGATGGTCAGAATGGCCAGAGCCAGGAGATGGAGGGTCTTGTTCGGGGGACGCCCAGGGGGTGGTGAGGGGCTGGGAGCTGGTTATGAACACAGAGCGGGGGGGGGGGGCGGGCGGGGTGACATCAGACCTGTGCTAGAGGAAAGTCACTTTAGAGGCTAAATGGAGGGTGGGCAAGAGTGGGGAGAGAAGCAGGAAGGAACGCCCCCCCACACACACACACATGCACACGTTATTGTGAGAGGTGATGACGGCCTGCACCACGGTGGGGACAGTGTCAGAGGAGAGAAGGGGGCACACTGGGGAGATACTGCGGAGGTGAAATTGACAGGTCTTGGCACATATTGGATGTGGGGGCGGGGGAGATGACAAGTCCAGGGGAATTCCGAGGTTGTGAGCCTGAGGGACTGGGAGGATGGTGGTGCCCTTAACAATAACGGTGAATTTAGCAAAGAGGAGAGGGCTTAGAGGAAAAGATAGTAAGTTCAGCGTTTAAGATGTTTATAGGACATCTAATTAGCGATGTCTTGTTTGTCCTTCATTTCTGAAGAGGCCCAATGACATCAGGGGGAGATGTCTTGACTTCTGGGTGAATTGGGTTTAGTGTGCACAAAGTCATCCGCCTCTCTTCCAGAGTCACTGGGGTCCAGTGATAGACAAAAGTCAGGATGACTGGTGATGGCCTAGGATGCAGCGGATGACCTTGGCATCTTCAAAGCCTGACCAAGGACTAAGTGTTCCTCAGCACCTGCTTCTGGGGCCTTCATGACCGTTGAGCAAATTATTCTACCATTTCTGCTGGGGGAAGTCTTCTCATGCTTCTACCTAACTCATCGACAAGTTTGAGGGCTGGGGTTACCCTCAAACTGGTTTAAGCTGTCTGCCAAGACAGTGTACTGGGGTGTGGCTGCCGTGCATGCTAGCAGCTTCTTGGAGCCCCAGGTGAGAGTTGGGTGAAGGTAGACACTAAGGGTGAATGAGCAGCCTTGAAAAGGGCTTGGCAAGCCTTTATACCAGAGGTGCTAATCCTCCTTGAACACACCATACACTCCACCAACAGGGAACACTGTAGAGTTGAATTGGTTCAGCAAAGGGTCAATATGGTAAGAAGAGAGAGTGGCTAGTGCAGGGGAGATGGCCTATGACAATTGAGAATTCAAGGGATTGAAGATCACCATATGGATGAAGATTAGGGTTTTGTAAGGGAAGGCAGAGGGAGAGGCGAAAAGTTAATTGATTGTGGCTAGCTAAGGAGATTTTGGAATTCTTGAACACAGAGGTGGTGCATTTGTGGGTGATGCCAAGATCAAGGTTATGACTATCTTTGTGTGGGGTTGAAGTGAGATCCCCCAGTATGGGGGCAGGAGTTGGGGAGGACAGAAAGATTGGTACTGGTATCTTTCAGTAACGAGCATCTTGAGAAAAAAAGAGGAGTGTCTGAGAGGTCTTTAGAAAATAGCTACTAAGATTTTGACTGGATGGTAAATATGAATAATATGAGCCTGAAAGGAAGAGTGGTTACTGAGTTTAAAAAAAAAAAAGAAAGAAAAAAAGAAAGAAAGAAAGAAAGAAAGAAAGAAAGAAAGAAAGAAAGAAAGAAAGAAAGAAAGAAAGAAAGAAAGAAAGACAAGGAAGCAGAATATGCTTCAATCTGCCCTCTTGAGTACATCAGTTTTATCTGAAGGTGGATAGCATGTTCTGCAGCCAGTCCTCTGGAACTACGATTGGTCGTTGTGTTGATCAGAGTTACTAAGTCTGTCAAAGTCAATTATCTTTTCCATTACTGCTGTTACTAAATAAATTATTCTCCTGGTTCTCCTCACTTCACTTTGCATCAGTTCATACAGACCTTCCCAGGTTTTCCTGAAACCATCCCCTTGATGATTTCTTACAGCAAAATATTATTCCATCTCATTCATATACTGTAACTTGTTCAGCTATTCCCCAATTGATGGGCATCCTCTCAGTTTGCAATTCTTTCCTACCACAAAAAGAGCTGCTATAAATGTTTTTGTATGTAAGCCCTCTTCCTCTCTTCTATCTCTATGGGGTATAGATCTAATAGCCATACTTCTAGGTCAAAGGATATGCATAGTTAAAGGACTCTGGGGGGGGGGCAGTACCCCAATACCTTGAATCCAGAGGATAAAATAGAAATTGAAAGAATCCACCATTCACCCCCTGAAAGAGATTCCAAAATGAAAACTGCCAGGAATATTATAGCCAAATTCCAGAGCTCCCAAGTCAAGGAGAAAATACTGGAAAAATACAAGGAGAAAAAAAGCAGCTAGACAGAAACAATTCAAATATCATGGAGCCAGAGTCAGGATCACTCAAGATTTAGTGGCTTCCATTTTAAAGGAGCGAAGGGCTTAGAGTATGACATTCCAGAATGCAAATGAGCTAAGATTACAACCAAGGATAAATTACTCAGAAAAACAATATAATCCTTCAGGGGGGGAAAAGTGAAAATTTAATGAAACAGAAGATTTTTCAAGCATTCCTGATGAAAACACCAGAGTTGAATAGGAAATCTGACATTTAAACACAATACTCAAGAGAAGCATAAAAAGGTAAATGTGAAAGACACTCAGTAAAGTTAAACTGCTGACATTCCTATATGGGAAGATGATTCATGCAACTCCTAAGAATGTTATCATTATTAGGGCAGTTAGAAGGAATCTATTTAGAAGGCATGGGCATGAGTTAATTATTTTGGGATGATCTCCCCCCTCAAAAAAAGTGAAGGGATGAGAAAAAGGGATGCATTGAGGGAAGGGGGAAGGGAGAGGTAGAATGAGGAACAGTTTCCTTACATAAAAGAGGTATGAAAAGAATAACTTTTATAGTGGAAGGGGAATTGGTGGGGAGAAGTGGGCAGTGCTTGAACCTCACTGTCACTGGAATTGGTTCAAAGAGGGTTGACTATATACACACTGAGTTAGATATAGAAATCTATCTTACTCAATGAAGAAATAGGAGGGGAAGGGAATAATAAATATGGGAGAGGTGACAAAGTAGAGGGCAGATGAAAGAAGGCAGTGGCCGGAATCAAAACAGACTTTTGAGGAGTGATAGAAAAGAGAGAAAGAAAGAAAGAGAGAAGAATAAACAGAAGAAAACAGGATGGAAGGAAATATACGGTAATCATAATTATGAATGTGAATAGGATGAGCTTACCCATAAAATAGATGTGGAGAGCAGACTGGATTAGAAGTTAGAATCCAACAATATGTTGTTTACAAGAGACACCCCTGAAATAGAAAAAGACACAAACAGAATTAAAATAAAGGACTGGAGTAAAATCTATTATGCTTCAGCTGAAGTAAAGAAGGTAGGAGTAGCAATCATGATGAAAACAAAAGCAAAAATTGATTAAAATAATTGAAAGAAATAATCAGGGGAATTACATTTTTGCTAAAAGATACTACAGATAATGAAGTACTACCAAAAAATTTTATAGCAAGTTTCTTAAATGTATTGGAAACTGAGTCAAATTTATAAAAATAAGGTCCATTTCCCAACTGATAAATGGTCAGAAGACATGAACAAGCAGTTTTCAGAAGAAATCAAAGCTATCAATAGTCACATAAAAATGCTCTAAATTACTATTGATTAGAAGAATGCAATTTAAAACAATTCTGAGGTACTACCTCACACAAATGCTGGAAGGGATGAGGGAAAATAGGTACATTAATAAACTGTTGGAGTTGTGAACTGGTCCAATCATTCTGGAGAATAATTGGGAACTATGCCCAAAGGGCTTTCAACTGTGCATGCCCTTTGACCCAGCAATATCAGTTATCTCAAAGAGATCAAAAAAAAAAAGGAAAAGGATCTATATGTACAAAAATATTTATAGCAGCTCTTTGTGTGGTGGCAAAGAATTGAGGGGATAGTCATCAATAACTAAATGAGTTGCAGCATATGATTGTGATGGAGTAGTGTTGTACTATAAGAAATGATGAGGGGGACGGTTTCAGGAGAAAACATGGCAAGACCTGGATGAACCAATGCAAAGTAAAGTGAGAAGAACCCAGAGATCGCTGTGCGTAGTAACAGCAATATTGTAATGATGATCAACTGTGAAAGATTTGGCTACTCTGATCAATACAGTGATCCAAGACAAGTCCAAAGGACTCGTGATGAAAACATACTATCCACCTCCAGAGAGAGAATTGATGTGAGTGCAAATTGAAGTATAATTTTCTCTCTTTTTTTGTGATTATAGCTAATATGGAAACATGTTTTGCATGACTTCACATGTACAATTGATATCATTTTGCATGCCTTCTCAGCGAGTAGGGGAGAGGTAGGAGGGAGAAAGAGAACTTGGAACTCAAAATCTTAAAAGAATGGCAAAAATAAATAAATTAATAAATCCTCCCAAAAAATAAAGTCTTCCCCCAAAATTCCATGAGGGAGAAAGGGAACCTGGAACTCAAAATCTTAAAAGAATGGCAAAAAATAAATAATAAATTCCCCCAAAATAAATAAAGTCTTCTGCCAAAATAAAAAAAAAATGGCGCATTAGTGTTTCTATTTTTCCCTGGCCCCCTACATTTGTCATTTTCTTTTTTTTTTTAATCATCGAAGCCACTCGGATAGGTATGAGGTGGAACCTCAGAGTTCTTTTAATTTTTATTTCTTTGATTATTAGTGATTTGGAGCATTTTTTTTCATAAGGTGATTGATAGCTTTGATTTCTTCCTCTCAAAATTGCCTTTTACCATTTATCAGTTGTGGAATGACTAATATTTTCTAAATTTGATTCAGTTCCCTATTCCTTATATATTTTAGAAATGATGTCTTTACAGCTTCTACATTAAAGGACCGCAGGGCATGCAATATAATATGCCGAAGGGCAAAGGAGATAGGATTACAACCAAGGATCACCTACCCAGCAAAACTGAGTATAATCCTTCAGGGGAAAAATGGTCATTCAGTGAAACAGAGGACTTTCAAGCATTCTTGATGAAAAGACCAGAGCTGAATAGAAAATTTGACTTTCAAATACAGGACTCAAGTGGAACATGAAGAGGTAAACAGGAAAGAGAAATCATGAGAGACTTATTAAGGCTGAACTGTTTATATTCCTGCATGGAAAGATGATATTTATAACTCATGAGACCTTTGTCAGTATTAGGGTAGTGGGAGGGGAAAAATTATATGTATGTATAGATAGATAGATAGATAGATAGATAGATAGATAGATAGATAGATAGATAGATAGAGGTCAGAGGGTGAGTTGAAGATGAAGGGGTGATACCTGGAGAATAAAATTAAGGGGTGAGAGAGGATTATACTAGGAGAAGGAGAAAGGGAGAGGTATAATGGTGTAAATTATCTCACAAAAAAAAAACAGAAAAGAAAAGGCTCTTACAGTGGAGGGGAAATGGGGGAAGGTGAGAAGGAATGAGTGAATCTTATTCTCATAGGATTTGGCTTAAAGGGAATAAGATACACATTCATTGGGTATGGAAATTTGTCTTACCCTACAGGAAAACAGGGGGAGAAGGGGACAAGAGAGCAGGGGGATGATAGAGAGGAGGGCAGATTGGGAAAGGGCAGAAAGGGAAAGAGGACGGACAGGGTCAAAAGAAAGAACAGAATAAATGGGAGGGCAGGATAGGATTAAGGGAAATAGAGTTAGTTTTTCACAATATGTCTACTATGGAAGTGTTTTGCATAACTGCACATGTATAACCTATATTATATTGCTTGCCTTTTCAAAGAGGGTGGGGTGGGGAGGGAGGAAGGGAGAAAATTTGGAACCCAAAGTTTTAAAAGCACATGTTTAAATTTTTTTTTTCACATGCAACTGAGAAATAAGAAATACAAGAAATGAGGTACAGAAATCTATCCTGACCTACAGGAAAGTAGAAGGGGAAGGAGATAAGAGAAGGCAGAGAGAGATAGAAGGGAGGGCAGACTAGGGGAAGGGATATTCAGAATGCATGCCATCTTGGGGTGGGGCAAGGGGCGAGATGTGGTGAAAATTTGGAATTCAAAATGTTATGGAAGTAAATGTTGAAAACTAAAAATAAATAAACTTATATTAAAAAAAAGAAATGATGTCTTTATCAGAGAAACTTGCTTACAAAGCTTTTTTTCCCCAGTTTTCTGCTTTTTTTCTTCTAACTTTAGCTGCATTGGTTTTACACGTACTTTAACATTTTTTATATAATCAAAATTATCCATTTTACCTCTTGTGACCCTTTATATCTTTTATTTAGTCATGAACTCTTCTTCTATCCATAGATCTGACAGTAATTTTTTGCATACTCTACTAATTTGCTGTAAATCCTGTACCCATTTGGAACTTATCTTGACATACTTTTGGCCAAAGTCAACAAATTTTTCTGTTAAAAACAGGAGAAAGCATGGGAATAAATGGTCCTTTACTTAACATGGCACACAGTATCTAAAACCAAGAGCTATGTGATGGAGATCAACCAGAGACCTTTCCAAAAAGATCATTTTGGTCTCGTTCTAAGATATACGGACAGTTTTCTTTCATGATTTTTTGAAATGTGATGTTTAGACCTTTTTTTAAGTCATTGACTTCAGACAGTCCATTCATTCTTTTCTGTTTGCTTGTTTTTTTGGGGGGGCAATTGGAGTTAAGTGACTTGAACAGGGTCACACAGCTAGTAAGTGTTTGAGGCTCCATTTGAACTCAGGTCCTCCTGACTCCTCCTTCTAGCCACTGTACCACCTAGCTGCTTCCAGTCTATTCATTCTTGAATTATGTCACCTTGATGTTTTCCAGGTTAGTTAATTTAAATACCTCATATCTTCTCGTTTTTTCAGTCTCATGACTTTAATAGTTGCCATCTCATGGAGTTGGTAACTTCTTTCAGTCCTTTCAAATCTGCTTAGATAAGGTTTGTACCTTTGGTGCCAAGCTCACGTTTGGGTAAGGAGTACACCTGCCTTGTGACTCGTGTTTTGGTAACTCAGATGAAGTATAATCCGTATTGCAGTTGAAGAAGAAGCTAAGAGATGCCTACTAACCAGCCACCTCTTCTGTTCAAAAAAACAGGGACAGAAACAAAAGACATCCTAATGCTCGAGGATGGTGTGAAGACCTTCAAGACGAGGAAACAGTTCTTTCTCAAAAAGCTGTCATTCAATTGTTGTCATTAAGGTCGATGACTGATGGAAAGCTAAGCCACATCAAACTGTAGAAAGAGTGGACATCATGCCTGTTTACAAAGTAGCTCCAGGGAATAAAATGGATCCTATCAGGAGTATTCACTTCAACCACCTATTGCCCAGAGGAGAATTAATTGCACTTTCCAATGAGTAGGCGAAGAGCGCTAATGACACTCACAAAAACTGAGGAAAAGAAACTACCCACCAACTGTGCAAAGTGATGGGTGCTGAAAGTGATGCATTCTGGGAAGGGAACTGCATAATACTACAAAGCAGAAGACCTGAACACAGAGGCAACTAATTTCCTGACTCCAAACTGCTACAGAGATTCCCAGGGTCAAGATATATATATATATATTTTTTTTTCTTTTTGGTGAGGCAATCAGTGTTAAGTGGCTTGCCTAGGGTCACACAGTGTCATGTGCCTGAAACCACATTTGAACTCGGGTCCTCCTGACTCCAAGGCCAGAGCTCTATCCACTGCACCACCTAGCTGTCCCTACCCAGGGTCCAGATTTGACCCAGAGAGCACAAACATCACTGATAGTGCTGCCAGCCCTGGTGTAGACGAACAAGTCTATAAAGATCCTATTGGTCAGTCCATACTAATTACTACTATGGGTATGGGAGCATAGGATCAGTCAGTGACAAAGGAACTAGGCCCAACAGATGAGTCACTGAAGTTACAATTGTAGAAGGAACCCTAAAGAAGGAGTTACCCTTTAGTGATAATGGGGGCAGATAGGTGGCAAAATGGAGAGTGCTGAGCCTGGAATCAGGAAGACCTGAGTTCAAATCCAGCCTCACACACTTGCTAGCTGTGTGATCTCAGCCAAGTCACTTAACCCTGCCTCAGTTTCCTCATCTGTAAAATGAACCAGGGAAGGAAATAGTAAACCACTCCAGTATCTATGCCAAGAAAACCCCAAATGGGGTCACAAAGAGTCTGACATGACTGAAGAACAATAGTGACAATGACCTTTTGAAATGTGTCTTGCCTGTAGTTGCATGTTTATGGCTGCACATGTGAATTTCTGCACTTTTGAATATCCTTATGTTGCTGTTATGTTCATAGGATTATATTTTATATTATGTTAATGCTATAACGACATCTATTGTTTTGCACATATGTTAATGGTTGTCCTGTATTTTTAGTTTTGGCCTTCTGATGGCATGCTATGTTTCACCCAGCTTGCTTTGTCTTGCTAGTGAGTCACGCTTTACTTTACAACTGATTGTTGCGTATTGTAGTCGTACTTTTGAAATGTGATGCGTTAGGACCTCCACGTAGCCAGGCATGTTGTCTCTGTAACACCTCTCAGGTGATACTCAACTGCATGCATTGTTAGTGCCCATCTGTTTTTAGTTTTGATAGTATCTCAGGTCCATTACGTGGGATGCTAGAAAAATCAACCTTGTTGGAAAGTGCTGGTTCAGTGTCTATACTGCGGAGTTACAGGTTCAAGCTTGTCTCAGATGATTTTTTGCATAGGACTACAAAAAGTTTTGTCCCAGAGGAGGAATGTAACCAGCGGCTCAAGCTCATTTGCATAAGCTTGTCCTCACTTGTAGATATTCATTATTCCATGCTTGGGTGAGCACTGGAGTTAGCAAGAGTTTGAGAGAGGAGAGATCCTAGTTCTTTTCACTTCCACTTTTGAGAGAGAACACATGAGGTGCCAGATCAAGAAGAGATCCCTGGTGGGAAAGATTGGGAAGAAGAGAACATGTATAAGAGCTAATGCCTTAATCACGTCTCTATTCTTAGCTTACCAAACTAGAGACCTCTGGGTTTTAAGAGTTCAGCTGAAATATCCTACACCCAGTGGGCAAGTTCACCCTGCATGTCATCTAGTAAACTCTGATCCACACATCTCTTCTGATTTGTTTGCTACTGGCCTGGATAAATTGGCTTATTTATTATTTGCTATATGTGACAGTGTTGGTGGAACTGGTATTTGGTAGGAAGTGAGCCAGACCTTTGTATATATAACTTAGAGCCCCCTTCCCTGTTAAAAGATGAGAACAGAGGCTTGAATCAAGAAATTTTCCCTAGATTAGTAATATTTAGGGAAGTAGATGTAATTCCAGTCCAGTATCCCCTCTCAGTGTGAAACCTTGTAGCACCAATCCCTAACAGCCACATCTATGCATGTGGACACACATACCCTACACATTAACTCCAACGTGGGCAGGGGGAAGGACCCTTTGGAGTTGAGGTCTGATAAGTCAGGACTGAAGATAAAACCAGATGTCAAGGGATTCCTTGGTGGAAAGAGCTTACAGTTAGGGTGGCCATCTTTGGGGTCCAGATTATAGAGAGGACAGGAATGTATGTGTGGGAGAAAAGGGGATTGGATAGGAGAGCAAGAAGGGGCAGACAGAAAGGAGGTCCTCCTGAGGAAGAAAAGGTTTGGGAGGAATAAGGCAAAGGGAGAGAAGAAAGGCCAGGAAATTCTCATCGGTGGCAGAAAGGTCTGAATTCCCGGGCAGGGTGAAGGCGGGAGGTGACAGTTGTAAGGGAAGGGGAATAAAGGGGTGCTGGCCCAGATGAAGTGAGAATGGAGCTCCTGGGGAAGAGGTTTATGGTCTAAAAGGCCCCAGGCTTGACAGGGATCAGTCCCCTGTCCGCTGAATCTCAGTGTCAGAAGGCAGGGTGTGGGGCTAAGAGGAAAGCAGGGCCCCGAGGTCCAGCCGTTGAATGGGCCACGCCAATTGGAAAGGCAGGGCATGGGCACCTGGCTCCTGAGAAGGCAAGCAGAGCAGGCAGGCTCTCCCCACCTAGTGGCCAGTTGCTCAAGTCAAAAGATCTCTTCCTTGGGAGGGACAGAACTAGGGTCTAGGAGAACCGGCTCACCTGGATTCTTCATAGACTTTCACACAGGTTTAAAAAAAAAGTAACATCAAAGGAAACTCTCCCCTCATCAAGCGACAAAACCTTTTCCTAATCTAATACAGGGGTTTACCTGGGGTCTGCTGGGGCGCTCTGCCCTGGTCCGTGCCCTGCACCGACGCCTAGGCTTGGCGGTCCGGGAGGGTTACTTCACTTGTTCTCTGCTCTCCTGCCCAGGTAGGTGAAGACAGGGAAGCCTCCCCCAAGGTCATAAGATCATCTTAGACCCACCCCTTCCTCCCCTTCCTCTCCCTCCTCTCTTGCTCGCCCTCAGCCCCAGCGTCCCGTTAGGAAGAGCATCCTTCCCGCGCCCCTCCCTCCTCATCCTCCGGTTGCAGCTTCCCTCCCTACGCTGGGAAGACCTCCCCTCCCTTCCCTTGTCCCCCCAGCTCCAGGGCAGGCGAGGATCTCAGCTCACAGCGGGAGCCCAAGAAGACGCCCGCGGCACAGCAGTCCCGGGGCCATTGAAGGCAAGGACAGCCTAGCATCGCAGGCCCGGCTCCGGGCAAGATGGAGCCACGCAGGGTCCGGGGGAGGGACACGCTATTTGAGGTCCAATCCCTGGGCCTCAGGGGCGGGGCGGCTGAAACAGCGAGGACCCCCGAGCTCATAGCATGCTCGGCCCAGTGAGGCCCCGGCCTCCTCTTCCCCCCTCCTACGTGGCCCCGCCTGGGCCGGGTCAGCCCTGGACTCCTCCTCCAGGAAGCCTTCGGGGCTGGGAGCAGGAGCCGATCGCCGTCCTCTGCTCTCTGGGAACCCCGCTCTCCTCAGGCCCCGCCCCGCCGTTGCTGTCGCGCCCTCCACTCAAACCTCTTGGTGAGTCTCCCAGGCTCCCCCATCCCACCCAGGCATCTAGCTTAAAGCCAGACCTCAGCTCCCCCCTCCCTTCCCAATCTGGCCTTTAGTCCCATCCCTCCGGACAAAGGGAACCTGCCTTCAGCCCCTCCGCACGTCTGCTTAGTCCCCACCACTCCCCAGCATCCTGCCTTGAGCCACGCCCCCAGGCGTCCTGTCTTTGAGTTCCTCACCACCCAGTCTCTCTTCCAGCCCTGAGCCCCTAGTCCCACCCCCAGAATGCCCCAACCCCTCACCCGACCTTCAATCGGCCTTCAGCTCCTCCCCGCCCCGCCTTCCCACCGACACCCCAAACCCGGCGACCTATCTGCAACCTGGGCCGGGCCTTCCCAGTCTCAGTATCTTGCCGTCAGCCAGCTCCCAAAACTGCCCTCTGCCCCCAGGACTGTCCTTCACACTGCCTTCAATATTCCCAGGTTAGTGTGCTCCACGCTTCCCTCCCCCCAACCAAAAGCTGATGTTTAGCTTTTATATTCACTCCAAGCCGGCCTTTAGCGCCCCAGCGCCTCCCACTCCCAACACCCAAGTCTCTACCCATTCTTCCTGACCGCAGCCAGACGCCCACCCCACCCCCACCGCTTCAGAATCTAAGCCCGTCATCTCCAGCGTAGTCCACCACCGGGACAAAGGAATCCTGTCCTCACCGCACCCCAGCCCTAGGACAGGGACTCAGGAGTCCCTTCCTCCTTAGCACGACCACAGGAATGCAGGAAGCCTGTACACTATTACCCCCTTCCCTCCAGCTACACAATGGGGACTCAGGCACCCTCCCCTTAGGCCCAGCTCCCTTGGCTCCCAGCACTCTGCCCACCCACACCGTACTATTACAGTGCCCAATGTCTTATCTCCCAGATTTCCCCTCTGCTCCAACTCACAATCCTCCTGTCCCGCGCCTCCCCCCCCCCTTCTTTCACAGCTTTCAGCAGCTTTGCGAGGACCCAGGGTTTTTCTCCCAGTCTCTTCCTTATTGTGAATACTCTTCTATCAGCTGCCCTCCTTGCCCCAGACCCAGTAGTCTCAGTTCAACCCATTCCCTCCTCAGACCCCGCTCAATCTCAGTACACATTGTCTTCTAGCCCCAGCCTTTCCCTGGCCCTACTCAGACCTTCCTTTCCCAGGCTCAGCCTCCCTCTCTCCTTTCCTCCCTCGTGCCTAGAGTCTGTGGGAGAGGCATGGAGAGAGTACTGATTGAGCTGGTCTCAGCCCATCTGGGACACTCAACCTCCTTCTACCTCTCCAGTTTCTGAAGGAGGAATTGGGAGGGGGTGGAGGAGGAGGAGGGAGTAGGTGAAATATTGTTTCTGGTCAGACCTTCTGATTCTCCAAGGCCGACCCTCATTGCTAGCCCTCTCTTTTGGTCTGTCTGTGTCTTAAGGGCAAGATTAGGGGCTCTTGCCATCCTTGGTACCTTGGTCTCTGCAAGTCCTTGTGGGGATAGCCAGCCTCCTTCTTGGGAGGAGAAAGGCAAAACACCTCCCCCTCGGGGATACTTCTCCCTCCTCAGCTCAGCCTTCGAAGCATTTGGACCTGATCCTGGAGGAAAGCATGGAGCTTGAGGGAATACCCTCTGGGACCAGGAGGAAGCCATCTCAGGTAGGTCCCGGCTGGACAAACATCAGCAAACATGAACGTTTCCAAAGACATAGAAGAGCAAAAGAGGATTTTATATGAGGTCATCAATATCTATTATTTATAAATGGAGGTTTTAAATTTGCCCCCCATTTCTAGTCCTACCCCCCCCTTTTAATTTTAAGCTTTCACTTTTAGAGGCTAATTACAAACAGAACAACTTCACACTTCAGCCCTGTCTAGATGGGCTCTGACCAGAGTGCTGAAATCTCAACTGCTTTTCTTTACTATGTTGCATTCTGTAGGAATTACCCTCGTGGTTCCGCCTCTTCACCCTGCCTCAGTTCACACACGTCTTCCCAGCTCTTCCCCCCTTAGGGCACGATGATATTCCAGTTAATTCATAGACCAGATTATGTTCAGCCAGCCCCCAGCTGATGGTCTCCCACTTTGTTTCCAGTTCTCTGCTACCAACAAAAGGGCTGCTACAAATATTTTGATTCATATAGATCCTTTGCCTCTGTCTTTGATCCCTTTGTATCAATAACTTTGTTCAGGCCCTGTTAAGTTGGATTGAGTTTCAGAATCAGAGCATCTCAGAAGTGGCAGGGACCTCAGTAGTCAATACTCCAGTCAGTGCCTGAACAAGAATCCCCTCTCTGAGTACTGGCAACACCTCTCATCATACTTCCTCCCCTTGCTAGCTGTGTGGTCCCAGGCAAGCCACTTAACCCCTGTCTGCCTCAGTTTGCTTATCTGCAAAATGTATAATGAGAGCACCTACCTGTGAAGATACAATGAGAAAACAATTGTAAAAATCTTCTCACTGGTTCTAGCGGGGGGGATTGAAATCCTCCATGCTTTCCATTGCCAATTCTAGACTCTCCGTGTTCCAACCTTATTCAAGATTCCTTCTGTCCAAATTGATTACCCAATCCTAATGGCTGTTTTCTACTGACCTTCAGGATTCTCTCTATCCTTTCTCATTGAGTTGTGTCTGCCTCACTGTCTCTCTCCACCCCAATTGTTGCCACCCTCCTAGGGGACTTCAGCATGCATACTAAAGTTCCCTTAAGTACCCAGTTCCTCAGTCTCCTCAACTCCCATACCCTACTCCTTCACTCTGCTTCAACTATGCACAAGGATGCTCACCCCATTGGATTGTAAGCTTCTTGAAGGCAGGGACTGTCTTTTGCCTCTTTTTGTATCCCCAGCACTTAGCACAATGCCTGGCATGTAGTAGGTGCTTAATAAACATTTATTGATTGATTCATGCCCTTGGTGTGGGCCATCACCCACTTCCTGTGTTCTAGAATTCTGTAATTCTTTTAACCATTCATAATTTTTGCTTCCTCCAGTTCCTATGCCTCACTACTCCTGACACTATTCTTTTTTTTAAAACAAAATTTTACTGATGTCTTTTGTATTTTGCCTCATCGTTGTTTCCCCTAGTACCCTTCCCCCCTCCTTCCAGAGAGTCATCTCATGTAATTATGGTCTTTTTTTAAAGACAAAAAGGAAAAAGAAGATAAAAAGACCAGCACAACCAATTGATAAAATGAAAGAATTCAGATGATTCAGATACATTTACAATGTGCAACACCTGTGACTTCCTGCCTCCCCAAAAGGGTGGCTTGGGAGTGAGCCTTCTCACTTCTCTCTTCTTTCCAGCCACTTGCTCTTTATATGTTGTCAACATTCACTTTTGACTTTGTGTGTGTGTGTGTGTGTGTGTGTGGTTATTCTTTCCATTTGCATTATTGTAATCATTGTATATATTTAGCTCTGCCCTTTTTCTGTCATGCATTTTATTTTCAGCAAAGATTAGGTGTCATCTCATTTCAAGTGACCTTTCCTTCAGGTATGCTGTCTTTGTCTTTCCTGTCTTGATCCTCTATCCCACTCACCACAGTGAATCTTCTACTTCTTCCTTTCTCTCTTCAAGCTTCCCATGGTAGCTTCTCCTATCACCTGCTCAGATGAGGATATTGTCTCATATTGGACCAAAAAATGAAGGTCATTTGCCTTGAGCTCTCTCTTTCCTTCTGCTCATCTCATGCCTCTATGACATCTTTCCCAATAATCTCATGCTTTATTCCAGTACTTGAGAAAAGTCTGCCCTTCTCCTGCCAAGAACAACCCGTCTACTGGTGCGCTTACTCTCATCCGCTCCTGTTTTCTTCACCAGATTGGCTTCACCATTATTCCCAAACTTCAAACCAGTCTTCAGTTTCTGCATCTCCACTGATTCCTTTCCTACTGGTTATAGAAGCATTTAATGTCATTTGGATTTTTTGGGGGGCTAGGCAATGGGGTTAAGTGACTTGCCCAGGGTCAGACAACTAGTAAGTGTCACGTGTCTGAGGCTAGATTTGAACTCAGGTCCTCCTGACTTCAGGGCCAGTGCTCTATCCACTTCGCCACCTAGCTGCTCCTCATTTGCATTTCTTGGTCATTATTTGGTCTATTGTGAATTTCAGGCTTTTGTGAGCTGGGGCGTCTGCCTGTTTGGGCATCCATGTTGCCTCGAGTCCCCAGGAGATGAAATCTTAACCAGAGGTTAGAGGCAATTACTGAAGATAAAATAAGTGATTTGTATCACATGAAATGTAAAAGCTTTACACAAAATTAAAGCATCTAACATTACAAGGGGAGTGGTCGTCTTGGGGGGGAAATCTTTTTATCAGCTTTTTTAGATAATAATAATGATGTTGTTTACTCATTTCAGTCATGTCTGACTCTACGTGACCCCATTGGGGGTTTTCTTGGCAAAGATACTGGACTGGTTTGCCATTTCCTTCTCCAGCTCATTTTCCATATGAGGAAACTGAGGCAAACAGGGTGAAGGGACTTGCCTGGGGTCACAGAACTAGTACGTGTTCAAGGCTGGATTTTAATTCAGGTCTTCCTGACTCCAGACCCAGTTCTCTGTGCACTATGGTGCTACATAGCTGCCCTGCTAATGATAATAGCTTATACTTGTAGAATGCTTACTATGTGCCAGGCACTGTGCTAAGTGCTTGACAGTTATTTTCTTATTTTATCCTCACAAGAATCCTGGGAAGTAGATGCTATTATTAGCCCTATTTTACAGATAAAGACACTGAGGCAAAGAGAGGTTAAGTGACTTGGCCAGGGCCTAAGCATCTGAGGCCATGTTTGAACTTAGTCCTTCTCGACTCCAGGCCTAGCACTCTATCCATTGTGCCCCCTAGCTGCCTAAAGAAGTTTTGGTATCCAAGATAAATAGAATAGAAATATGGTCTAAAGGACAGGAAGCCATTCCTCAAAAGGGAAATGATCAATGATATGACAATTAACAACCAAACGAAAGAATGATCCAGATCACTGTAATATGGTCACTCTGACCCTAGCCTCTCAGGGTTCTCGATACTCTGTGGGTTCTAGAGTGGGCTCTCTCCTCTCTGCCATTGCTTCTAGCCCTGCCCAGCTATGTTCCTCACATGTAACTAGCACCCTGGTTCCATGTAACCACCCACTATCAATTAGGGGTTTTTTTGAGGCAGCTGGTGGTACAGTGGATAGAGCATTGGGCCTGGTGTCAGGAAGACTTGAGTTCAAATCAAGCCTCAAACACTTACTAGCTGTGTGACCCCGTGCAATTCACTTTTTTTAGCCTCAGTTTCCTTAACTGTAAAATGGGAACAATAATAGCACCTACCTCAAGGGTGAGGCTCAAATGAGGTACTATTTATACAAAGTAGTTAACAGAGCCTGGCATACAGTCATATGTTCTTAAATACTTATTCCTCCTTTCCCTTTTCCAAGGAGGTATTTCTTTCCACAGTAGAGCAGGAACAAAAGTACAGACATCCTAATACCTTGAGGATATATTCTCCTCTAAACTACCTCAGTCTTTGGGGCAGTAGGCTCAAAACTTCTCTCAGTATCTACCTATAATTGATCTCACCAAGTCCACTTCTAGACGTGGCATGATTGCTGATTGCATCCTTCTGATGGACTTCATATGCCTCCTTGCTCTTTGGAGCATTGATGCCCAGCCAGCTACAAAACCTGGTCTCAATTTTGACTCCTGGATTGCAGTAGCTTATCTACCATTGTCCCAGGCTTTGCTGCCTGCACCTAGAAGGGAAAGGAATGAATGAATAGGACAAGGAGGCCACATTTGGGGGCTTTGTGGGCTCAGACAGGAAGGCCCGTCACTTTATAGCATGGTGTCTGAATGTAATGAAATGTTACTGTAATCTAAGAAATGAAGACTATGGTGACTAGAGAAGTACAGAAGACATAAATCAACTGATGCAAAATTCAGAAGCAGGGTCTATAAAACAACATACCCAAATGACTACAACAGTGTGAGCAGAAAGAACAGCAATTAGAAACAATCAAAAATGAAGGTTGTAACATTACAAAGAACAAGCTTGAACCCAGGAAAGACAGGAAGTAACATCTCCCCCTTCTTTTTTATGGAGTATAGGGGTATGAGGTCCAAGGTCATGGAACATTGAATATAATGTCAGAATCTTTTTATTTGCTGACTGGTTTTGCTGATTATTTTTCTCTTATTTTTACATTCTTTGTTATTAGCAGTGGCTCTCTGACAGGGGTAGAGTTACATATAGAAATACAGACAATGTAAAAACAAAATATGTTTCTAAAAGAATCCTCTTGATATTTCTCTACCAGATAAGAGTGAAAATTATTCTGTTAGGAAATAATTTATATTACATCATTTTTTTTCTCTTTGGGAATCACAGAAAATATTTTGTACCTGTTAGGTCCCCATGAAAAATTCTCAAAATATCACCTGAGACAAGTTTGATGAGGAAGACATTTCACACTTCATTCTCTCCCTCTGTCTTAACCAAAAACTCTAATCAATAACGAATAAATCACACTCATCTTCCCTCACACTCTAAGTACAAACTAGTCACAGTAAGTTGTTTCTCAGCTGTCTTCCAAGAACTAGTATAAAACGCTTTTCTCAATATTCCATTTGGATCTTCAGGTTTATGGTTTCTGATGGTGGCTCTGACACTTTCTAGGACTGTGACCTTTAAGTCTGTTGCCTTCTCTGGGATTTAGTTTCTTCCTTCTGAAGAAATGAGGGAGTTGTTCTAGATGACTTAATAAAGTGTCTTCTAGCTCTAAATCCTATGGCTTTGGGTGTTTCCAGGAGGCTGTGACATTCAAGGATGTAGCTGTGGACTTCACGCAGGAGGAGTGGTGTCTCTTAGACACTTCCCAGAAGGCTCTGTACAAAGATGTCATGCTGGAGACCTCCCAGAACCTGCTGTCCTTGGGTAAGGATAGATTACCTTCTGACCCCAACCCTGCCCAAGGAATTGTGAATCTGCCACCGAAGGAAATACTTGTGTTCCTTCCTTTCCTACTTGTTATACAGGTTTCATGCATCATTTAACTGTTATCAGACACTGTGATGTTTAAAAAGGTTTGAGACACATAGTTTCTGGGTAATTTAATCATTTTGTTAATAAGGCCATCAGGTTATTAATAAAAGGGTGGTCATTTGCCTGTCTCTCTCAGGCCAAAGACCCCTAATGGCGATGGGGTCACAGTTTATATGCCCTTTGAAGAGGAGGTGTTCATGAGGGGTGGCAATTAACTCAGATTGGTTAACACAAAAACAGGGGTGGGCTGTATTAAAATTAAGGTCTTGGGGTACATGACTTAGGTCACTCAGATTTTAGTCAAAGAGAATCCATATCACCCATCTTGATAATAGGAAGAATCAACATTTCCCTAGGCCTGTCTGGGCAAAGGCAAAGAGCAGGAATACGCTCATTAGCCCATACTTAGAATTTCTTTTACTGTCGGATTAGATCTTGTCCTAGGTAAATCTCTAAGAGAGATTTCCCACACTGGTATTTTCTGGATGAGGAAGTACAAAAGGGGAAAAACCTTGGTCCTAATACAATAATTAGTTACTAAATGTAAGAGAGAAATATTCATTTCTCACATTCCCCCATTTGATTATAATTGAGGGACAAAATCTCAATGAATCACTAACTGACATTACAAACACTTCACCAAGGGTTCTTAACTATGGGCTTATGATGGCCAACAGTGTGAGGGGGAGAAATTGGGAGAAATTGATTGGTGAATTGACAAAACCAAAGGGGGCAGCCCTCTTTAGTAAGGAGACCTTACAGATAAAGGACATAAAGGGAAAAAGTAAACGGTAAAAAAATTAAAATTGTCTGTTTAAGGCTCAGTAGTCCAATCTCATGTCAGCCATGCAGCCCTGTGGTCCAGATATGATCTTCAGAGCAGTTCTTTTCCAGCTCAGTCACTTGTAGGAATTCTCTTCTCTGCTAAAAATTTCCTACAAAATTGATCTTAACACAAATTTAAATTTACTCTGCCAGTAAACATGTCAGATAATGAAATTAGCTCAAGCCTTATGTCTATACTATTAGAATATCAAATTTGGAACCTTTTAGACCATGGAATTTACATTTTTAGGTTGACCAATTGTCATGTTGATATATCTAAGAAACTCAAATACTAACAGAAAATGAGAACCCAATTTTTATATTTGTCATTATTCATTCCCCCATTAGAAGGATAAGATTCCTCTGAGGAATTAATAACACTTTTGTAAGAAGATGGACTCTAATACAAAAATGAATTCATTCAAAAGTTGTCAGATCAACCTCAATTGTAACAAAAGGTTCAGGGATGGTATATATAAACACATAGAGTAATCAATTTTAAAACAGTGCATATCAAGTAAATTATTTATAATAAAACATTTTCAACTTCTAGCCATGTTCAAATGTGGTTGTCTAACAAAAGTGGTTGTCTCTTTAAGGCATTTACAAGATAGACCACAAGCCATTCTTCTCTTAAGATAACTAATTATACTTATATTCCCTTCCTTAACACAGAATTGAGACAGTTATGATAACAGAATCATATCCTGGTTTCACAAGTCCTTAAATCATCTGTCTAATTATCCCCATACCATTATGAGAAATTAAAGTACCTTAACTTACACAAGAATATATAACCAGTAATAGATGTCAAGGTTAAATGATTCGTTAGTTGTTTGGAATATAGAAAGGACTAAAATTCTAGGCCAAATAGCTCAAATCTTGCACTTGCATCTTACAATAGTAACTCAGATATGCTCCAGTATTAGCTTATTAGATAGAGATTTTTTGGGGCAGCTAGGTGGTGCGGTGGATAGAGCACCAGCCCTGGATTCAGGAGGATCTGAGTTCAAATCCAGCCTCAGACCAAACACTTGACATTTATTAGCTGTGTGACCCTGGGCAAGTCACTTAACCCCATTGCCTAGCCAAAAAAAAAAAGATAAAGATTTAATATTGTGTTCATATTGATCATCTGACATGACTGTAGAAATTTTACACAAAAGAAGAATAAGGATATAACTATACACTAAGGGAATAATGCTTCCCTAACTTCATCTCAATTCTAGGCAAAAGTTATGTAGCTAGCCAGTTGCATTGAACCAGACTTAAAGTCAACCAGGTGGGATATTTTTCCATTCAAGAAGTGTCATAGTGGGGAAATTAAGTCAGGAGACTCCCACATGCCAATAGTCATTCTCCCGAGCCTTTTCCCATGAGAAACCCACCTGCAGTTCATACATGTAAAACTCCAAAGAGTTGCTGGCATCATGGATCATTGGCTTAATAGCATTCCTTGATGATCATCTCTGGAGTTAAGACTCAGAATAATGTCAGTTAACAGTCCCATAAGGTCTTACATAGCAAGTTCTAATAATGAGCGCTTCAGATAGGTTCAGCTCTCAAGAATCACGTATCCTGGACTATTGCTTATAATCTCACATTGCTAATGGCAAGAGATTGGTCATGAAAGATCACAACTTATCTTGATATAACTAGTATTCATGGCAAGCAGATGATTTTTTTTATCCCTAAGTTTAATATTACACAAAGGATTTTGCTTTAAGATGCCTAATAGTAAACAACAGAAGACTTGGGATAGGATGTGTAAATATAATAATCCCAAATTGTATACAAGGAACAGAGTACATGAAACATTGCCTATAGCAAAACACATTCAGTTATTAACCATGTACAAATGGGCATAAACATAGACTACTGCTTTCAGAATCCCTTTAAACAATAGCAACATCTTTAAGGTGACTCGAGCGGTTTGCATACATTTCAGGGCATGCTTTACACACAGGTTCTAATCTCAGATTAAATAACAAACATAAATAAAGTCCGATTTCCTGTTAAGGTGATACAAGGTAGCTCATAAGTTACTATTCTTCACTAACATAACTGACTGTACTGAAATCCTATTCTTTAAAACAAAAACAAAAGAGGTTCATTGCTTTTAACCTCACAACTTACTAGATTTACATCTTTGTTTCATGAGGTTGTTTACCTTTATCTAATTATACTCATACCATTCTGAAAGAATTCAGGAATTGAATCTTACACACATAATAAGTTCAAGCCCTAATTTCATTCTTGTTTAGGCCATGAAATGATTACAAATTCAGATCAAAACAGCAAGATCTTTTCTACTTACAGCTTATTACAATAATTCAGATGCTTTAGAATTAATCTAATAACTAATAAATTCAGTATTGCAATGGCAAACTTCCACTTTATCTATCTTAATAATAGAAATTTTGCTCTGACAGTTATAAGCAGGGAGATGGTTATAACAGCATCAAAACTGGCCCTCAAGGCCTACCCCACTATAAGTAACCTAGTTTATGGAACCAGGCAGACAGATTTCTTGTATGGGAATGTTCATCCTTTCTCAAGGTAACTTCTCTACTTTATTCACAGGCACAGACATTCACTAGCCTTAAATCTCAGATGTGGCTTCCATTTAGCTGCTAATGTTTCTCTTAAAATGCCCATTTAAGGCCAACCCAAGGACACAGCAAACCTGAGAATGAAACTCAGAAGTTCACAGTAGGTTTGGAAATAATTGTTCTCAATATCAAATTATTGCAGTAAAGTAGCTTACAAAAAGTAGCTTTAAAAATCACGTGAAAGATTTTTTCAAAAGCTTTTTTTAAAACATTCCTGCCTAAAAGTATTTCTCTTTCTTAAAAATAAAATTTATCCTCATGTTAAAAAAGATAATTACTAAATAAATTAGTTGGAAACCTCTAAAATGACAAATAGCTCTTTCTTATTCAAGATTAAAGCAAAAATAAATCTTTAAAATTGGAATTTTTCAAAGCTAAATTAGTATAAAATATCATTAAATGTCATAAATAAATCTGAAAAGTCATAACAATGAAATAAATTCCTAATCATCACAAATTCCTAAGTACCACCCCTCCTCTCATCAAAAGCTATATGCAATGGGATTCAGTTTTCTAGATGTGTGTGTGTGTGTATGTATGTATATTTTCAATTAAATCAAACTTATCACAATAATAAAGTTTATCAGCCCTTTAAAATTTTACTCAATATCTTTTTCTTACCTTTGTCTTTAAATATATCACAATAAAAATAATTACATTCTGGAATTCCACATAGTGACTTAAACCCCTAGAAAAAACAACATTGGCCAATTGCTGTAAACTTCCAAATTAACATATATGTGTGTGTCTAGACACACACACACACACACACATATATATATATATATATATATATGTGTGTATATATATATATACACACACATACACACACATGTATGTATGTATGTATGTATACATATATATGTATGTATGCATGTAAGTATATACATACAGATATCTCTTTAGATGAAGCAGGCTTGACAATTATGCCCCCATTTTGTGCAAAAATTCCCACTCACTCAGTAGGAATTACACAACACAGAAAGGTCTTATACAGGAGTGATAAGAATTTATGACTAGGTGGTCCCAAGAATCCTTGTAGGTTTAAAAAGGAGACTTTTCAATGTCTTTTCTTTGTACAATTACCAATTTTCCTTTTTAAAAATATCTATGTAAATACTTGATTAAAACAGTAACTCCAAATAACAGTTAACAATCTCGTAATCTTCATAAGTGATAGCCAAATGATTTTAGCTGAAAATTCCTCTTAAATGTAGACAATACTGGAAGGTTAAGCTCTTAAATCACAGTACTTCAGGATATCATAGTCAGCAAGGCTGATAGAATGACCTAACAGCTTCCTAATCCATTCGTTCTTTTTTTTTTCTCTTTAAAGACGTGTGGTAACAATTCCCAGCTCTGAATAAACTTTTCCTCAGCTTCTCAATTCCCTACCTCCTTTGTCTTTCCTGGAGAAAGCTTGAGGAGCTGCCTCAAGCATTCAGCTTCCATTTCCCATCCTCCCAGGAATTCCAAGCTGCATACACTAGAAAACGCATGTAAAGTTTTACAAACTGTTTAACATCACACCTGTTATCATCAGGTTAGCTTAAAATGTGCTGGGCTAAATTGTCCTACCACCCTGAGTTGTACTTCTGCTTTTGGCCCAGGCAAAAAGAGCTAATTTGATTTAATGCTGGCAAGGTGTGGCTAGTTTCCCCAGATAGAGACCTCCAGAGCTTTCATAGAGTTACTTAAATAATAAGTAAATAATTGAACAGTACAAGGAAACATTTAAGATTTTGTATAATAATCACAAATCACAATAACTAATATCTTTACCATATCCAGTATTTTTGTAGTGTTAGATTTAATAAGGCCTTCACTCACCAAGGTGAGTGAACGTGATTAACCACATGATTACCTAATCTTACTCTTAAACTATAGCTGGTTAAAGACTGATTTCTAAAAATCTTCTCCTTTGCAATTTTTTGTTCTTAACTGAAGTCAAATCACTATACTTTAACCATCCATGCACTGGGGCTAGATCTTGAAATCTTAAAATACTGATACCCCAACTCAGTTATTAATCTGCTACTGATTAATTTTTATTATTTTACATCAGTCTTTTAACAGTTAAATCCATAACCCAAAAGAATTAAAGAAGCATTTCCAATAACAATCTATCTAATATACCACAATTATCACATTAATGTTAAGTGTTATCTTTATACACATTACAAACCACATAACTGGAGTAACAGCTTAAAACCACACAGTTAACAAATTTCCTGGTATAGTATAATAATAATAAATAAATTTCACTTAAAATGAGACCAGAATAAATTCAATTACACCTGGATCTATTTTCCAAATGATGTCATACATAACCTCAATTTATAATTCGAATCATTTAGTTTTATATTTTACACAAGGGTTATTTATTCCAAGCATTTTATATTATAGGATTCATTATTTCCAGCTAATCCGCTGCAAAAGATTTTAAAAATCTGGTAATACATAACTGATTTTAATTATCACACTTAGCAACACCTTGTTTATCAAATATCTTCTAGCTTTATATAATTGCCTGTATTGGCTTTCAAATCAAGCTGCAACATTTTTTCTTAATCTTCCAACCATATCCCAGACTATACCTCATTCCACGGATTTCTAATATTTTCCTTATCTTCTTTCTTTCATCTGCTGGTCCAACTTTGGCCACAGTCAGAAAGGGAGAGGAGATCTCTCTCTCTCTCTCTCTCTCTCTCTCTCTCTCTCTCTCTCTCTCTCTCTCTCTCTCTCTCTCTCTCTCTGTTTCTGTCTCTCTAAGTTTGGAGGCTGGCTGCCTTTTTTATCTTGCACTGCCTTGATGAGATCACTTTCCTCTCACACAGTTGCTGGGGGGGTAGGGGTGGTGGTGAGCAGGATGCACTGAACCTTGGTGATGATTCCAGGCTGCCCAGCTGGGCTACGGGGTGCCCTGAAACCCAGGGCCATTGCCAGTGGCTCCCTCCACTGTAGCTGCTGCCCCTTCCCCTCTTTCCTTTTGCCAGGTTGGGAGGGTGAATTCGAAGGTGTGTGTGTCGGCGGGAGAAGGGTGAAACTTTCTTCTCCTATCTGAACTGGGATGAGAGGGGTTAATAGAAAAACCTGAGGCTGTTTGCAGTCCCCATACTGAGATAATCTCTACTCAAGGGAAGAGAGTGACTAGGGTTGTAAGGAGGTGTATCAAAATTCCTCAATGATCAATCACAAAACCTCCAGAATCTGCTAAGGTGTGTTTAGCTGTTCCAACTTTCCACTATAGCCTTAGCCTGGTCAGAGCTAGGACTACAGAAAGAAGAATCTTAAGAATTTTGTTTTGAACTTTTACAATTTATCTTCGTCCTCTAGACCTCTAGATCTCTAGAGGCCAGGCACAAAGCTTTCCTTTTCAAGGTGTTGGCGACTGAGCTTTTTTCAATTCTAACCTAGGGGCAAATCTTGGGGAAGTCTTGCTGAGTCCTGCTGCAACGATCTGGTAGTCATGAGTGTGGGGATGGACAGTCCCTCCCTGAAGGAGGATCCCAGGATGTAGAGGGAGGGGAGTATGTAAGCCTCAGGAAACAAAAAAAAACACCTGCAGTTTTCTCAATTCCCTAGCATCCAAGAGAATTGACAGAACTTATGGAATTGGGCAAATGCTTCCAGATAGGGCGTCCATCCTCCTTGCTGCAGAAAGTGTGCCCTGGTCTGAGATGGCCTAGTAACCATCTGACCTGAATGGAACCTGAAATCATCAGGTCTAAAAAGCACCTCCAAGCCTTCCTAGATGCTTGGAGAGCACCTGCAACTGCAGAGTGAGAAAGGGATAGAGAGAGGAGGGAGGCCTACATACCTTCCAGTCTTGACTGGAGAAGGACTTGGGATTCCTAGTCAGGGAATCATATGTTGCTGTCTAAGGGTGCTGGGAACCCCAAAATTCAAGGGCAAAAGGCATGGGTCCTGCTTCAAAAGAATTGGACTCAAGGCTTCTTTCAGTCAGAGACAAGGTTTATTGCTTTGCTAATGAAAGCAAGCGGGCTTTTTAAGAACCTATTTGTGATGCTTGTATTGACAAGGGGGCCAGACTTAAGGAATCTGAGCAATTTAATGGTTGTGGTCTGTGGTGGGGGAGTGGGGGGGACACAAGATAGACCTTATATACAGAAAGACCTTATATACAGAAAGATCCAGATGTGATCAAGGACTGGCCAAAAGCTTGGGGTGACTGGGAGGTAACAGAGAAGGGGTCTGGACGGAATTAAGGAGTGGCAAAATAGCTTGGGGTGGTCCGGAGGTAACAGACCTTCATTTTACAAGGGCTGGGGTCAGAGATAACAGAGAATTGAAGGTCAGAGCCACAATGAAAGGACAATTGAAAGGATTATACTGGAATGAGCCTGGCAAATGCCAGAGACTTGGTTCAGGGGCTCTGGGGTCCTTTTAGGGGTCGAGTGTGAATCCTATTCCCCCATCATTGGGGTACATAACTCAGGTCACTCAAATCTTGGTCAAAGAGACATCAGTTTCCACATCACTTATCTTGATAATGGGGAGCATCAACCTTTCCCCAGGCCTGTCTGAGTGAACATAATGAGCAGGAATACACCCATTAGCTCATACTAAAATTTTTTTTACTGTCTGGTTAGATCTTGGCCTGGGTCAATCTCTAAGAGAGATTTCCCACACTAGTTGGTTTCTGCATGAGGAAGTAGAAAAGGAGAAAAAAAACCTTTGGTCCTAACATAATAATTAGTTATTAAATGTAAGAGAAGTAGTCATTTCTATTACCAAAAGATTCCTAGTCCCTTCCAGTCTAAGAAGACAGGAACCCCCTGCTCTCTATTCTCACATCAAAGGTCTTTTCATTGGCTAATAGGAACTGGGAGCTTCATTTATTTTTTCCTCAGACTGTCCTTGGGAGCTTTAAGTAAAAAATGAAATTACAAAGATGAAAGATGGTCATCTAGCTTTTCTTTGAAAACATCTAGTGAGGAGAGCTCCCTAACTCCTGAGGCAGCCCCTTCCCCTTTGAGATGTGTCTCATCCTTAGGACTTTCTTCCTGACATAAAATCTAAATATGTAACCCACTGGTGCTAGTCTTGTACTCAGGGGTCTGTCAGACCACGTCTGTTCTTTTTTAAAACTTCCCCTTTCTACTTCTCCCAAATTCAAATGGCAGTGCTGAAAGATATGAAATGTTTCCATCCTTCTAGGAGGGAGAAGAAAGAGGTACCAGTTCTGTGATTCCAAATCAGTTCTGACTTTTCCTCTTTCCCTCCCATAGCTCCTAGCATCATTGTGTAGACTATCCCCAAGGGGCCCTCAAAAACATGCTCTGGCCCTTCTTAGCATGCTCCTTTTCCCTAAAAAGAACTAAATTCTCAAGTTCTCTGGGTGCTCAGAGCTTCATTATTTATCATGAACAGGGCTTCCGGTTGCCAAAGCAGATCTGATTTCCCATTTAAACCAGGAGGAAACTTGGATGCTAAAAGAAGACGACCCAAGAAACTCCTCCATAGGTAAGTGAATGAAACTGGGCACACTGTTATCTCAGGAAATTATCATCTAGAAATATAGAGAACTCTCCCACAAATCCCCAAGGTCATTTATAAAAGAATAAGGCTGTCTCTTCGGTTCAATAAAAGTCACTTTCCTGATATTGTCACTCACCTGATATTTGCCTACACTTGAAGAAAGATTAGTCCCTGGTATGACACAGAGCTTTCTCTTTCCCCATTCCTGGTGGTCTCCTTTATCCTGGAAATAACTTTTTTGAGTCACTTCCCCTGACAGTTCATTGATGGGACAAATGATCCATTGCCTAATAGGTCTAATATACTTCCTAAAGCCCTGAGAGGGACTCAAGGGACAGAGTTGATGTTTGCTGCTCTTAAGGGTTTGCAAACCACCTTGAAAGTGTGAGATATAGCTGTGGAATAATGCATGCTGCCTTCCGTGGCTAGGTCATGTCTCTGGCACTTCGAGGATGTGCTTTAGGAGTAGATAAAAGACCGATAGAACTGTGGACTCAATCTGATAAGGTGTAGTTTATTTCGGCTACATACGAAGTCCTACATACATGTTCAACAAATCAGTTGCACCATTACAGGCTAGGGGAGAAGCATCTACACCACAGTTCCTGCCAAAAAGCTAGTGGAGACTCCAATGAGATATGAAAGCCAAGAAAGTAGCTGTTATGTCAAGTTAAGAAGATTTTTTTAAAGCACTTACTACATGCCAGATGCTATGCTATGTGCTGAGGATACAAAAAGAAGCAGTAATAAAGACAGTCCCTATCCTCAAGAAGCTTGCATTATAATGGGGGAGTGGGAAGACAAGTGGGGGAAGATATGAAGGTACCTGCCATGGGGGCATGGTTGGGAGAATACAAGAGAGTGCATCCTGGATAGGAATGAAGACATGGCTGGATTGGGTAGGCACCTTAAAATTGAGATTCTAGAAGAACCAGCCCACCAGAGGAACAGGCTACAGGAGTAGAGGTATTACTAGTGTGGGAAGTCTAAGGGGGGAATAAGCTTCCAGGGTGAAGAGGTTTCTCTAGCTTGGTAGAGAAAGTCTTAAAGAGTCAAGAGTGCAGCTTTCATTAGAATGAAATGAAAGACTTAGGCTATATGAAAAAAAACAGTGACCATACCAATGAAGCTAATAATCCCATCGTACACAAAAGAGCCAGGACTAGACATGTAGTAGTGTTGTGTTCCATTATGGCACTATACTTTGATAGGTATAGACAGACCCAGACAAGAGTAGTAGAATACAGGTGGGTATAGGTGGTCTCTGATCAAACCACTGAAGGACCCCCCCCCTTTGATGTGTTGACAGAATGATTAAAGTGTAATTGATAAAATGTGGTGTGAGTAAATGGATGAAAGAGTAAGGAAATGTATGAATGAATGAATGAAAAACACTTATTAATTGATTTCTATATAGGTGCTGGGGATACAGATAGAAAAGCAACAGGGCCCTGGCCATCAATGAGCTCACCTTCTATTGTGGTGGTGGTGGTGGTGGTGGTGGGATAACCCATAAAAATTTCAGTTGCTTGGCAGATAAAAATGTCCCATTGTCCTTTGAATGCTGTACCAAAATTGATGATAATGCATGTTCTTTAATTTCTGCCCTTAAGTCATATTAGGATGTAGAGTGTGTTCAGAGAGGATTAGTACCTCTGGTGTGAGGGCTGTTGAGCCCTCTTCAGGGCTGCTTTCTACCTTTGGTGTCCATCTTCACTCATCTCCCACCTGTGGCACCACGGTAAACCATTTGAGCAGATGGGCTAAACCAGATTGAGGGTAACCAAGGGGTCTCAAACCCATCGGTGAGTTAGGGGGGTGTCTACCCTAGGCATGTGAAGCCTTCCCCTCATGGAATGGGTGGATGACAACAGTTTGTTCCATCAGCCATGAAGGCAGCTGAAGCAGGTGCTGTGGGGCTCTTAGAGCTTGGTCAGACATTAAAGACACCAAGATCATCTGCTGCCTCTTCAGCCATCGCCACTCTTCTTCACTGTGTCCTGCCACTGGATCATGTTGACTCTGGAAGAAAGAGTGAGGCCAATGACGTCGTGCAACTCTGCCTCACTTAGATCCAATTTATGCAAGATCAAAAGACAGCGCCCATACCACTTTACCATTTTTATGTATCTCGAAGTCCTGTGGTAACAGGCAAGTGACGAAGCAGCAAGTGGGGATCCACTGGGAGCTGTTAATAGGGGTTAGGGATGTGACTCCTACCCCTGAGGGAGCAGTTGGCTGCTTGCATCTCCACTGGAGTTGGTTCCCAAAATGATGCCTGCGTAGCTCTCTGGCAGTTACCTAATATGTGTTGAAGGGAGTATTCATATTTCTTAGGTTATTATAGCAACTTGACAAAAATTGACAATGAGGTATTGACTAAAAAACTCACAAAGAAACAGGAAACATCTCTTTTCCTTACCAAAATTATAAGCAATAACAGACATTTGAAGAATGAATTTATACTTCAATGAATAGACTCTCCAGAGCTGTGGAAAGAACTCTGACCTGGCTTTTATAGAGTAGGAGTTCTAAGCTCAGCTCTTCCCTTATAAGCTGTGTGACTTTAGTCATGTCACTTATCTTTTATGTTTCCTATTTCTTGAGCTGTAAAGTATAATAAGAATGCCTGTCCTGTCAGACCTGGGAGGATCTAGAGGTTTAGTTTGTGAATCTCTCTGTAGAGTAAGTCACTTTACAAGATATGAATCAATAGTAATTTATTATTATTGATTCCTACTTTTTGAGTTTGAAGATTATTCTTCTTGACTGAGTGAATGAATGAAAAAAACATTTTAAACTGTTTATTATGTGCCAAACACTGTTTTAAATGCTGAGAATCCAAACAGAAAAGTTTAGGCAGTCCCTATACTCAGGGAGCTTACACTCCAATTGGAGGAAGAAAACATATAGGAAAATATTCAGCTATAGTGATGGAAAGGGCCAAAAGTCATGAGTGTGCTAGTATGGATGGCAAAGTCTTGGGTCCTTAGATTGCATCAATAGGTCAGATGACACTTCCTGATGTCTGTAGGGCATAGAGACACAGTGGAGGTTAAGATCTGGAGAGTGCCAGGAAGCAGTGGCTTTGCAGACCATAGGGTCATAAGGTCCTCCATCTCCCTTTGAGAAATAGAATTGGTGATTCTGCTGTCACTGAAGCAATGTAAACAAACAACTCTTATGGGTTCTGGATGACATTGGTAGAGGGCAATGAGAAGAGGAGAGTGAAGGGTACCACTAGTGGTCACATATCTGGCCTGGATAGATATAGTGAGCATCTGGGATAGGGTGGAGGAGAGAGGGAGAAAAGGGAAGAAAGAGGGGCAGAGAATATAGGTATAAATCTATTTTTTTTTCTGCCAATGGAAATAAGCAAATACATTTCTGTTTTTTTTTTTTTATTTCTTCAGGTGGGGAAACCAGGACTCAAACCAAGGAGTCTCCTCCAAAACTGAGTATTTCCTGTGATTTCAGTTTGAGAGAAATCTGGGATTGTGAAAGCAATTTAGAGAAGAAGCAAGGAAACTGGGAGAGTCATTCCAGACCATTCAAAATTAACCTCAGGAAGATTTCCAGTAAAGAGAAAGATGAGGAATGTAATACATTTGAAAGGCATTTTAGTCAAGAGTTAGATCTAACCCTTTCTGTCCAACAGACAGTCCCCACTGGAAAGATTTACCATGAATATGATGAAAATGGAAGGAGCTTCAGGCAATATTCAAACCTAATTCAATTTAAGAAAATTACTTCAGGGACTGGATATTCCAAATGCAGTGAATATAGAGACCATTTTAATGAGCAGAATGAGCTTATTCATCAGCAAGCGAAGCAAACTGGAGTCAAAATTTTTCAAGAAAATCATGGTGACACAGCTTTTGCTTTAGTCCCAGACCTTATCAGTCATCATAAGAGTCATACTGGTGAAATGTCTTATAAAGGTGATGAATGTGGTACAGACCTCATCCATCAATCATCTCTTAATTTACATCAGAGAGTTCATACTAAGGAGACATTGCATGGATGTAATCAATGTTGGAAGGCCTTTTTTCAGAGCACAGATCTTATTAAACATCAGAAAATTCACAAACCAGAAAAACCTCAGAGCTCATCCCTTATTTCACATCAGAGGATTAATTCTGGAGAGAAACTTTATAAATGTAGTCATTGTGGAAAGGCTTTCAGACAATCCTCCAATCTTGTTGTACATCTGAGGATACATACTGGAGAGAAGCCCTATAAATGTAATGAATGTGGGAAGGCATTCAGCCAAAGCTCATCTCTTATGACACATCACAGGATTCATTCTGGAGAAAAACCTAACAGATGTAATGAATGTGGGAAAGCCTTCAGTCAGAGCTCATCCCTTATTGCACATCAAAGGATTCATACTGGAGAAAAGCCCTATAAATGTAATGAATGTGGGAAAGCCTTCGGCCATAGTTCATCCCTTATTGCTCATCGAAGGATTCATTCCAGAGAAAAACCTTGCAAATATAATCAATGTACAAAAGCTTTCATAAAGCCCTCCAAGCTTACAGTACATCAGAGAATTCACACTGGAGAAAAGCCCTATAAATGTAGTGAATGTGATAAGGGCTTTAGGTGGAGGGCAAAGCTTATTGTACATGAGAGAATTCACACTGGAGAGAAACCTTATGAATGTAATCAGTGTGGAAAAGCTTTCAGACAGTCCTCCAAACTTGCAGTACATCTGAGGATTCATACAGAAGAGAAGGTGTATCAATGTAATGAGTGTGGGAAGGCCTTTTCCCAGAACTCATCCCTTACTGTACACCGAAGGATTCATAATATAGAAAATCCTTATAAATGTAATCAATGTGGAAAGACTTTTAGAAAACCTTCCAAACTTAAAGTACATCAGGGGATTCACACTGGAGAAAAGACCTACAAATGTAGTGACTGTGGGAAGGCCTTCAGTGAAAACTCATCCCTTATTGCACACAAGGTGATTCATGCTGGAGAGAAACCTTACAAATGTAATCAATGTGCAAAGGCTTTCAGACAGTCCTGCAACCTTGCTGTACATCAGAGGACACATACTAGAGAGAAGCGTTATAGATGTAAGGAGTGCGGGAAAGTCTTCAGTGAAAGGTCATCTCTTATTGGACATCAGAAGATTCATTCTGGAGAGAAACCTTATAAATGTAATGAATGTGGGAATGCCTTCAGACAGAGCTCATCCCTTATTGCCCATCAACGGATTCATACTGGAGAAAAGCCCTATAAATGTAGTGAATGTGGGAAAGCCTTCAGCCGGAGCTCATCCTTTATTGCCCATCAAAGAATTCATACTGGAGAGAAGCCCTATAAATGTAATGAATGTGGAAATGCTTTCAGCCACAGCTCATCTCTTATTGCACATCAGAGGATTCATACTGGAGAGAAGCCCTTTAAATGCAATGAATGTGGGAAGTCTTTCAGCCACATTTCATCCCTTATTGCACATCAGAGGATTCATACTGGAGAGAAGCCCTTTAAATGCAATGAATGTGGAAAGTGTTTTAGCCAGAAGTCATCCCTCATTGTACATCAGAGAATTCATTCTGGAGAGAAACCTTATAAATGTGATCAATGTGTAAAGGCTTTCATAAATGCCTCCAAACTTTCTGTACATAAAAGGATTCATACTGGAGAGAAGCCCTATAAATGCAATGAATGTGGGAAGGCATTCAGCCGTAGTGCAAACCTTATTGTACATCAGAGGACTCATACCAGAGATAAATCTTATAAATATAATCGTCAAAAGTCTTTTGGACAGCCCTCCACCCTTGTACAGAAGAGAATTAATACTGGAGAGAAGCTCTACAAAGATAACGAAGGTGGGAAAGCCTTCACTCTGAACTCATATCTTACTGGACATGAAAGAATTCATACTGGAGCGAAACCTTCTAAATCTATTTGAGGTGGGAATGCCCTTAGCTGGAGGTAGAATTTATCATATATCAGAAAATTAATATTGTTCATGAATCTGTGGCATTTAATGCATTTAAAAAACTTTCTTACATCCATCATGTATTACTACACATCAACATTCCAGAACATTCATGGACCATAATTTATTTCTTCAGCCATTCCATAAATGACTGGCAACCACTTTGTTTCTAATTTGCTGCTACCAGAAAAACTGCTGCTATGAATATTTTGGTGTATGGTCAATCTTTGAAGGGCAGCTAGGTGGTGTAGTGGATAGAGTGCCAGGCCTGAAGTCAGGAAGACCTGAGTTCAAATGTGGCCTCAGACACTTACTAGCTATGTGATCCTGCACAATCCCTTAACTTTGTTTGCCTCAGTTTCCTCATCCATAAAATGAGCTGAAGAAGGAAATGGCAAACCACTACATTACCTCTGCCAAGAAAACCCCAAATAGGGCCACAAAGAATTGGACATAACTGAAAACAACTGAACAACAATAATAATTGCTTTCTACATTTAGTACTAGATCTAGCCCAGAAGTGATGGATAGCCTACTAATTTTTCTTAGATAATTCCTTCAAAAAAATTTTTTTTACAATTTATTGAATGTGAAGTTAGAAGTTATTCTGTACAAAGTGATCAATGATCTCTTAATTGCCCAATCCAGTGGCTTTTTATCAAAACTCATCCTTACTGATCACTCTGCAGCCTTTGATACTATCACCTTCTTCTCAATAATCTCTTCTCTCTAGGTTTTAGGACACTATTACCTCTGAGTTCTCCTCACCAGCTGACTATCAGTCTCTGCTGGACATTCATCTGGTCATGCCGACTAGCTAGAGGTGTCTGTCAGGGTTCTGTCCTGGGACCTTTTCTCTGTTCCCTCTATATTACCTCAGTTGGTGATTTCATCAGTTCTCATGTATTTAATTATCATCTCTATCCTAATGATTCTCAAATCCAGTGATCCTGCCCTAATCTCTCTTTTGACCTCCAGTCTTGTATCTCCAACTACCTATTAAACATCTTGAACTGAATATCCAACAGAAATGTTAAACTCAATGTATTCAAAACTAAACTCATCCCACTCCTTTGCAGAGGTGGGAGGTCCATTGATGTTGAACATTTCATGTATTGTCAGATTTTTTTTACATACTGATCAGTTTTGCTGTTTCTTTCTCCCTCTTCTTTTTTCTTTAAAAATATTTGTTATATAGGATGCTTCTCTGGGAGTGGAGAGATGTAGGAACACTGGGACAAATTTTAACAATATAAATTTTAAAATTAAATGTATATGAAATGAAATTACTTAGAGACAATAACTTAATCCCAAAGCATGTGTGGGTCAAAGAACAAATCATAGAAAAATTTAATAAAAAGAAAATGACAATAGTGAGATAAAATAACATTACTTTTGGCATTCAGACAAAGCAGTCCTGAGGGGAAGATTTATATTTTCAAATACCTTTATCCCTAATTAAGAGAAACAGCAGATCAGGAATTGAGTAATGAATAGAAGAAAAACCAATTTGAAAACTCTAATTAAAATCCAAACTAGAAATTCTCAAAATCTAAGAAGAGTAACAATTGAAAAAAAAAAGACCCTTTATTAAATTGGTAAATAAAATAAGATGCTAGATTTTGTAGGGAAAAGCAATATTATAGACAAACAATTAGTCTGATCTTAAAAAGAGAAAATAAAAACCAAATTGTCAGTATTAAAAAAAGAAATAGGAGACATCACAACATAGTGGATAGACTATTGAACCTGGAGGTAATCCAGCCTTAAACACTTACTAACTGTATGATGCTGAACAAGTAACTTGGGCATGCTTGGCTTCTGTTTCCTCATCTGTAAAAAGAGGATAATAATAACACCCACCTCCAAGGGTTGCAATGAGGATAAAATGCAATAGTATGTGTAAAGCTCTTTATAAATATTAAATAGCTATATAAATGCTAGCTCTTTAAGTTTTTGATTTGTTATATTTTTTGCAATTTTATGCCAACATTTCTTTTTTCTTTTTTTTCCTTAATTTATTTTGATTTATCAACAATCACTTCCATAAGCTTTTGAATTTTTAATTTTTCTCCCCCCCTCTCTCTGCCTCCCTCCCCAAGACAGCATGCAATCTGATACAGGCTATACATATACATTCCTATTAAACATATTTTCATGTTAGTGATGGTGTAAGGAAGAATTAGAGCCACAATAGGAGGAACCACAAGAAAGAGAAAACAAAACAAAACAGAAGGAAAAAATAGCAAATAGTATGCTTCGATCTGCGTTCAAACTCCACAGTTCTTTCTTTGCATTTTCCATCATGAGACCTTTGGAGATGTCTTAGATGCTTGCATTGCTGAGAAGGGCTAAGTCTATCAACGTTGGTCATTGCACAACACGTCTGTTACTTTGTACAATGTTCTGCTGGTTCTTTATGCCAACATTTAAATGTAATGGATGAATATCTGCAAAAATATAATATGCACATCAACATAAGAGAGAATTTAAGCAAACAAATCTCCAAAAAATAATTTGAACCATCCATCAATGAACTACCAGAGGAAGTTGGATGGTGTGAAATGTATCCAACATTCCAAGAGTAATTAATAACAGTAGTACTTATATAATGCAGGAATGGCCATAAGGGCTGGCCCCTTGGAGTATGCACAGATATTGATGAAACTGCTTCTGGAGAGGTATGACTATGTGCGATGGAGGACCTATGCCTCCATTCAGAACATAGGAAGATATCTTGACTGTTGCCTGTTGGTTTTCTGCATGGTGACATAAAGGCATTTATTTGACAGTGGAATTGGAAATGAGAATACATACATATACAAGGTCCAAAGTAACTAACACTCACTCTTTTCCCTGGCACCTTTCAAGTGAGAAGGAAGCAGAACTGCAGGGGCCTGCTTGAAGTAGAGAAGGTTATATGTAGTCATGAACCCTTGGTTCTGATTCTTTGCTTCTTTGTGTTATTCTTTGCTGATGTTAAGGGAAGGAAAACCAGAGACAGAATGGACCAAATTGCACATCCTTGTGCGTCTTGGAATATTGGAAGAACCAGCAACACCTAGAGTCCATAACAGAATATGCTGGGAGCTTTTGAGGCTGTAGTGAAGAAGTAGACCTAAAGAGTTCCCTGTTTGGTCCAGCCCATTGGAGGAGTAAGTCAGGCAGCTGAAAAACCGTGTCATGGAAGCAAGAGAGTGAGCCTTCTTTTGGCTAAACTTCACCTAGAAGAAAACAACCTCTACAAGACCGAGCCTATTCTCACCATGGATGACTAGAGAGGACTGTACTCCCACTTTCAAAGGCTTTTGTGCCTTAAGACTTGACATGTCATCGCAGTAAATATGCTTTTGTAAAAGGTCACTCATGGCAACTGGTTATTGTTGATGACAAAACATTAATACATGTGTTTTTGGCATATGCTTGCCAGGAACTACATGAGAAATATAGTAGCCCAGCTCTCAAGATATGACCTGCTAGGGGATGTTGAGCGAGCCTCAGAGCTCTATATGTGCTACACATAAATTGTTTGCAAAAATAAGCAAAGAAGGGATCCTACCAAATTCCTTCTATGTTACAACTATGGTATTACTATCTCAACCAGGGAGAGATGTATTAGAGGATGACTGTTGTAGACCAATACCCATAATGAAGCTGAATACGATAATTTTAAATAAACTGTTAGCAAACGCTACAGCGGTACATTCAAAAGACTGTACATTATTGTGAGGTGGGATTTCTACACGGAATTCATGGTTGGATCAATAACAGGAACATTGTAAACATAACAGATCATACTAATAAGAAAAATAATCAAAGTTAGATAATTACTTCACTAGATAAAGAAAGAATGACTGAAGGAGATAGTGAGGCTTATGATTTGTGAAGCTCTACTTCACTTAAATCCAATTCACATGCAAGGTGTTGTGAGTTAAACCTTTGCCATATATTTCTTGCATGTGTGCCTCAGTATTATTGTGGCCTAAGTTTAAGCTCACTCCTCCCATGGATGCTGTGTGTATTTATGGGAAGGAGTGAATCGGGTTTTAGAAGAATATTTTGTATTAACTGTCTTTACCATGTTATCTGAGCATAGTTGCAGCTCTCCTCTGGGGACCCAATCTGCCAATTCAAGCAGAAGTTAGTGAATGCTGGTCTTCTTTTTCCTCTTCTTCTTCCTCCTCTTCCTCTTCCTCCTCTTCTTCTTGTTCTTCTTCCCTCAGCAAATGTGGTCCTCCTCCTTACATGGGGTGCTCTGTCCATAGGAATATAATTTTTGGTCACTTATAGTTTATAAGACATTTGGGGGTTTGGGGCCTAGATTTTAATTTTTTTTTAATTTCCATGATTATAATATTATTATTATCTTTTTCAAAAAGCTGAGACAATTTACTTTTTTGCCCCATGCAGTTTTCATTTATAATTTCTTTAAATATAGCTCTGAACCAACAGGCTTTGAAAAAGCCCATTGTGTTTCAAATGGAGATACTTTACTAGCCTTTGAACCCAAATAACTCTAGCTCTCAATGAATGGTCAATAGTAGCCCCAAGCCTTTGTGACTCATTGTTTTAAGTTTTGATGGCTTAGACTGAGTGTAAGTAGCAATTGTTTTCTGTTCTGGCTAGAAACTCTAAAGATCTTCCCCTTCCAAATTGATGGTTTTGTAATGGTAAACTGGGTCATCTTTTGTTTCAATTCTTACCTTTCCCTTGGTCATTGAATGGACATTATCTCGAGAAAGAACTTAATTTAGGAAGACCAAGGTCACCCACTGCACCATGGTCATTGCCAGTCAGCTTGAGTGACTCTGGAGGAGAGAGTGAAGCTGATGGCTTTGTGTAGATCTGCCTTACTTAAAGTCAATTCTTGTGCGTGCAAGTCAAGATATCACCCTCATGATGGTCCTCTTTGAGAATGAAAGATGAACAACAAGATACAGAAAATACTTTTGAACAAAGTCAATAAATTTTTCTGTTAAAAACTTGAGATTGCATAGTAATAAATGGACATTTCCTCTATATGGTATCTAAAATTGAGTCAGCATTATATATGATGGAAATTAACTAGCAACCTTTCCAGTGACATCAGGGGTAAGGTAGGAGAGCTTGTTATCACCACTATTTTAAAAAATATATATTCCTAGATATATTAGCTGTAGCAACTAAATATGAAAAATAAATCAAGGGAAAAAATTTAAGCAAAAAAGAAACAAAATGATAACTTTGTAGATGATATGATGGTCAACAGAGAATTCTAGAGGGTCAACTAAAATTTAATTGAAACAATATCTTCTGAAAAGTTTGTTGTTCAGTAACGTCTGGCTCTTCGTGACCCCATTTGGGGTTTTCTTGGCAAAGATACTGGTGTGGTTTGCCATTTCTTTCTCCAGGTCATTTTACAGATGAGGAAACTGAGGCTAAAAGTATTAAGTGACTTGCCCAGTGTTACATAGCAATTAAGTATCTGAGGCCAGATTTGAACTTAGGAAGACTAGTCTTCCTGACTCCAGGCCCAGCATTGTGCCACCTACCTCTCCTTCCTGAAACATAGTAGAATATAAAATAAGCCACTCAAATCATCAGATATTCAGTATATGACTAACCAAATCCATCAGGAAGAAATAGAAAGATTCTATTCAGAAAAACTAGAGAATGTATAAAATAGTTAAGAACCCATCTAATAAGACAGGGGAACTATGTGAATGCATCTACAAAATGTTTCTTGCAAAAATCAAGACATATCTCAATCAGTGGAGAAAAATCTATTGCTCATCGTTGGCATACGCCAATATAGCATATATAAAATAACAGAACATGGCAAAGTCAAGTCATAGATTCCCTTGAGCTTTCCAAATTTCACTTTAAACAATGTTAAAATAATGCCTCAAAACAAATTCTGGAGCAGGCCAGACCTGGCAAGCCAGCAACAGGCCTCATGGGCAACTGAATCCATCTTGGAAGCTTATGGAGCTCTCAGCCCACAGACCAGGGGGTCAGACAAATGGTCAGGAGGAGATTACAGGGGACCCTTTGCTGGCACTGGACACAGGATTCTGTTGTGTTGCCCATATACTGTTCTAGGTCCCAGTCCCAGGGCGAGGAGGGGCCCAAATCAGTTCCAGGGTGGAAAAGCATTTTGTGGTCACTCACCAACCAGAGTACAGGCCAGGAGAGCAGTGATCACACTTCTCCTTAGATCAAAGCACCTTGGAAGAACTGAAAACTTACAGACCCAGAGAACTAGCTCTGAAAACAGCAGCACAAAAAACCTGAAGCTCAAGGCAGTGCCTCCTCCACCCTGGGAGCAGAGGCCAACTTCGACATAAAGTTAAAAGTCAAGAAATAGGCTGGAAAATGAGCCAACAATAGCAACGAAAAGAATGTGGTTATTCAAAACACAAACTCAGAAGACAACAGTGTCAAAACAGCTACACACAAAGCCTCAAAGAAAAATGTGAATTGGTCTCAGGCCTGAAAAAAGAATTTCTGGAAGAGCTCAGAAAATTCTAAAATTCAAATAAAAAAGGTAAAAGAAAAATTGGGAAAAGAAGTGAGAGCAATGCAAAAAAATCATGAAAAAAAGAGTAAACAGATTGGTAAAGGAGGCACAAAAAGTGCTGAGGAAAATATCAACTTAAAAAACAGAATAGACAAATTATAAAAGCCACAAAAATCTATTGAAGAAAACTCCTTAAAAAGCAGAATATACCAAATGATTGAAAATAAACAAAAATTCACTGAAGAAAAGGACTCCTTAAAAAGTATAATTGGCCAAATAGAAAAGGAGGTACAAAGCTCCCTAAAGGAAATAATTCCTTAAGAATTAGAATTTGACAAGTGGAAGCTAATGATTTTGTGAAACATAAAGAGATAAGAAAACAAAAACAAAAGAATGAAAAGTAGAAATGTAAAATATGTCTTTGGCAAAACAACTGACCTGGAAAATCACCTCCTGAAAGAGAAAACTCCCAGGAATATTATGTCCAAATTCCAGACCCTCCAAGAAAATTAGAAAAATTTGCAAGCATCCTGAAAGAAACAAGTCAAATATCATGGAGCCACAGTCAGGATAACACAAGAGCTTTTACAGAAAGGATCAGAAGGCTTAGAATATGATATTCCAGAGGGCAAAGGAGCTAGGATTACAATCAAGAATCTACCCAGAAAAACCGAGTATAATCCTTCAGAGGAAAAAATTGACACTTAATGAAATAGAGGACTTGCAAGCATTCCTGATGAAAACACCAGACCTAAACAGAAATTTGTTGACTGTGTTTTCTTTCACAGCATGACTAATATGGAAATAAGTTTTGCATGACTGTACCTGTGTAACCTATATCAAATTGCTTTCCTTCTCAATGAGGGGGAGGAGAAGAAGGGAGGGGGAGAATTTGGAACTCAAAATTTAAAAAAAATATATATTAAAAATTGTTTTTCATTAAATTGGAAAAAATAAAATATTTAAAATTAACACTATTACCTAAATTAATTTACTTATTCAGTACCATGCCATACCAGCTAAATTACTAAAGAATTACTCTATAAAGCCATAGTGAATAATGAAATTCACCTAGAGCAACAAAAGTCATGATTCTCAAGGAAAATAGTGGGGGGAAATAGGAAGGAAAGGGTGTTATCAAGTCCTTTCCAACCTCTCTTGCAGTGTTCAGACTAGGCTGTCAGCTAGATCAGAATAACATTCAGAGCCACGTAACTACTGTTTGTTTCTCTATTTGCTCCTCACTCAGCACATAACTTGGACCCATAATCCCTTCTTTTTCAGACTGTCATCCTTAAGTGCATGTTTCCTTCTCTGTCCCCACTGGACCTATGACCCAGCAGTGGGAGTGAACAATATAGATGCCAATTGACATTCGTTCTGCTCCCTGTACAAGGTCAGGCCTCTCTCTTCTGGTTCTGAGAATGCTTCTTGCCATGGTGCACAGTTAGGGAACAGGTACTGTGCTGGAAGGCTCCACGTAGCCTGCTCCCAGTTATACTATGTTCCTAGTATGCATAGACCTTCCTGTCTTCCTATGTCAACCTGCTGCAAACAATGACACTGATTTTTTTCTTGGGTTTCCAATCACTACTTGGTCTGGCTCATTTTCTAGATCTTTGTGTAGTAGTTGGGAATGGCTCACCTTTACTGCCTTTTGCTCCACTGACATTTTAACTGTTCTCTAATGGTACAGCTTTGAATATGAGCTATGACAATAATACATCACCTATTGTTTACCAGCTCAGTTAAATAATACAGGCCAGGCTTTATTTGAATAAACAAACAGACAAACAAAACCAAACTGGACACACAAAGGAGTCCAACCTGAGGCCATCAATAGTGAAATCCTGTCCCCTTTACCCTCTGGTATACCTTCACCCTCTCCCAAGGACCTGTACAATCAGGCATGTCCTGGTAAATGTTTAACAACTAGGCTCTGTGAGTGAAAAGAATGCATGCAATACACTTTTAAGCTTAATCTGCATTATTCACATTTCCTAAAGATTAGAAGTCAACAAAATCATAAATCAAGCTCTAATTTGTATCAATTGCCACTTTCTGAAGTGTTAATGCCCATATTGAAAATTTAGCAATGAGCTCTCAAAAGAGATTTGGAGCTGCCTCCAGCATACCCCTGTACAGTACAGTCCTTCTGAACATTAACCTCTAGGTCTGAGACTTACTCAGCAAAGGAAAAATAATGAGGATTGCTCAAGAGTTGACCCCTGGTCCTCTTCTGAGTCCTATCTCCTTCAGGGACACATACAGTCCTTCATAATGCTATAGTATTACCCTGGGTGGATCTTCAGAAAAGAAGAATGTAGTCAAGTCCTTTGACCTACACAAGTGACTTGACTTGGAGGATGAGTCAATCAGTTAATCAATATACATTTATTAAGCACCAAATATACTCCACAAACTATGCTAATCACTGAGAATACAAAGAAAGGCAAAATACTGTCCTTGCTCTCAAGGAGCTCACAATCTAAGGAGAGAAACAACATGCAAACAAATACATACAAACTAACAATATACAGGATAAATAGGAAATAATTATCAGATGAGAATTAAGAGGGACTGGGAAAGGCTTCATGTAGAAGGTGGGATTTTAGCTGGGACTTGAAAGAAGCTGGGAGGTGGAGATGAGGAGGGAAGTGTTCCAGACATGGAGGACAGCCAGTGAAAATGCCTAGATAGGAGATGGAGTCTCTTGTTCATGGAACAACAAGGAGGCCAGTATCACTGGATTCCATAATATGTGGTGAGGTATAAGATGTAAGAAGACTGAAAATGTTTTTTTTTTTGGGGGGGGAGTGTAGATTATGAAGGACTTTGCCAAATGGGGGATATTGTATTTGACTGTCAAGGTGCCAGGGAGCCACTAGACTTTATTGAGTAAGGGGGTGACACGTGTAGACTTGTGCTTTAGAAATGCTGATTCAAAAGCATGATCCAAATGGCCCCTCTCTGTTGACACTCTTTCCTTTGCTCTCCCTTGTTTTAATCTCCTGCTTTGCCCTCATTGTCTCCTCCCCAGGAGGCTGGCACCAAGAACATACAGGTATCTGAAAATTCCTCTTTTTCCTCATGTTTTATTAATGTGTCTTGAATTATACATAATCACTCCCCAATAATCCCCCATGATGCCTACATTATCACAATGCACATAAACATAAGGAATTGAGCCAAACTACTCCATTCAGAGATGATGACTATGAATATGAGACAGTTTATATGCATATCTAGAGGACTGATGACAAAGCATCTTACCCAGGTCCTCCAAGGGAGAGAATAGACTCAAGGTACAGAGTTATACATGTGTGTATACATATATATATATATATATATATATATAATTGATTTGTTTTGCTTGATTATACATATTCATTACAAGGATGTAGCTTTCTTTTTTTCTGGGAGTTATAAGAGGTGGGAGAGAGGGAAAATGCTTAATAATTAGAAAGATATATTTAAAAAACAAAATGTGTCATATCCATAGACAGGCACATGCCTAAGAGGAGACTGTCAACTGGAATCCACATGGATCTGAATTTTAAAAAAAAATTGTTATTTTTACCATTGTATAAATGTAATTGGTTTAGCTTTCTTTATATTAGTTCATAGAAGTCTTTTCATGTTTTTCTGAATTATTCATATTTGCATTACTTAAGACATAAAAATCTTCCATTACATTCATATACCAAAACTATTCTCCATTCAGTGGACCCTCACCTCACACAAAGTAAATTATGCTCCAGCTTCTCATTTTTATTCTGTTTATGTATTTGCTTTTTAGATGTGTTGCTTGTAAGCAACAGATTACAGGATTTTCTTTTCTTTTCTCTTATTTGATTGTTTAATCTATTCACATTTACACCACCCCCTTCTGGTTGTCAACTTTCCCAGCTCTAGAGTTTTACTAAATTTGTTCTTTTTTTCCCCTTTATTCTTGTTATTTAGTCATCATAATTCTTTCTGTTTTTTTTCCTCCTTCTTATAATTGGTTAGTTCAAAATCTCCCCCTCCTCACCTCCAATTATTTTGTCTGTTTTCTTTTTTGTACTTCTTTTAAAAAAATTCTTTGCCATGTTCTCTTCATTTATTTTCTTTCCTATCTATTCTAAACTTTTATTCTTTGATTCATTAACTTTATATTTATTTATTTTTTCTTCGGTCTCTTTGGTTACCTCATACTCCAAATGATCCATGATGTCCATGACCACCTCTCCACCACTACCCCAGCAGGCTTCTTCTCATGCTAGCAATGCCTCCATCTCTATGGCTTCCTTCTCTGATTAGTAAGTTTTTCTCCTAATCTCCATTTGAGAAAGCACTCATGCCAGCCATCATGCTCTCTTCAAACCCTGACCAACTCACAACACCTCAGAATACTTTCCCTATTCTTCTTCCCCCTCCTCTATTTTTCAGGTCTCTATTATGTGCTTAAACTCCTTATGAGCAGCTATCTGTATTTCTTTTTGCCTGTCCTATATTCCTGACACAGCATAATGCTTCACACATAGTAAACATTTAATAAATGTCTTTACCTATCTTTCTATCTGTCATGTAGTATAAACTTCTGAATTATTCAGGGCGAATCATTTCTTCTAAGCCATCTCCACATTATTATTTTGTAAATCTTGTCCTTTCACCCCTTTATTCTGTTATACCTCATTCTTAGAAGTACCAATTACCAGAGGAAGTGATGAGGATAGAAGCATTATCCCATGGCAGAAATCTCCTTGTTCCAAATTGTTTTACCTCTTGCCTTCATCACAATAATTTTCTTACCCAATTTGCCTTGCAATTTCCTCTTTTCCACGTCCTCCAACCCTTCTGGTCAGCAACTGCCATCAGAAAGTTCTGATTTTCCTTCTCCTGAGGCAGTTTATCTTCCATGGAAGCACAATTCTCTCAGAGAAAATTATCTTCTTGGGTACAAAACTAGGAGAACATTTTACAGAGTAACATTGGTTATAACAATAATCAACTGTGAAAGACTTAGCTAGTCTCATCAATATAATGATTCATGATAATCCCAAAAGACTCATGATAAAAAAAAAATGCTATCCACCTCCAGAGAGAACTGATGAACTCTGAGTGCAAACTGAAGCATATATTTTTTTGTGCTTTCTTTTTCTTGCAACATGGCTGTGGAAATGTTTTGTATGACTTCATACCTATAATTGGTACCACATTTCTTGCTTTCTCAATAAATAGGGAAGGGGTGGAGGGAAGGAGAGAATTTGAAACTGGCAAAATTTTTTAAAAAGAAAAAAAAATCCACCTACCTGCCAGGCAAAAAATAAATTTAACCACTGTATGTCTTGGAGTTTGAAGTACAGGATTTTTTTTTTTCTGGAGGCTGCCTGTGGATTCTTTTGATTGTTACCCTGTTTTCTGTATTCGGCATCTCTGAGCAGTCTTCTTGAGTTATTTTTTGCATTATGTTGTTCAGGATTTTGTTTTGGTTTTTCACTAGTCATATTCTTCTGGGGATGCCTATGATGCTTAAGTTGTCTCAGTGCACCCTGTCTTTGAGATCGATTTATTTTGCTTGCACAGCGATCCTGTAATTCTCTTTTCCAGATTGTTTTTCATTTTAGTATATTTAAGTACCCAACCTGTTCTCTGTTTGATTGATTTGTCTCTATTTCTCTTGTTCAGAGAGACTTGAGACCGTGGATTCAAGTTCTCTGTATTCTGCTAAATATTTTTGCGGTGCAGGCCAGTTAGTCAACTACAATTCCTTAAGCACCTGTTATGTTTCCAGGCACTGTGCTAAGCACTGGAAGGAAAAAGAAAGGCAAAAGACTACCTGCTTTCAAGGAGCAAATGGTCTGAGTCAAAGTTCTAATTTCTCTTTTGAGCCATTCTGGAGCATTAGACTGCAGTTCTATGATTTCCTGGGAATACATAGGGTTCTGTGGTTCATCAGATGTTGGTTCAATTTCCTTTGTGTTACAAGATTTGTTTAAGGATGTTTATCATCTTTTAGATGTCTTAGATGTCTTGCCTTCTAATTTTAGTATCTTTCCCATTAATTTAAAAGCTTGTGCACTAGGTTTTTATTTTATTTTCAAAAATCTGCCATTCTCTCTCTCCCGCTGGGAAAGCAAGAAAAACAAAACCCCTGTTACAAACATATATAGTCAACAAAACATGCTGTCCCACATAAACTAGGCCCTTACCACCACAAGGCAGCCTTTTTATTCCTCCCTAATTGATTCTCTATTCTACTCCCCAGGAAAATTATTTCAAACATTATCTTCCCTTTTCTTTCTTTTCTTTTTTCTTTTTTTAGGCAATTAGGGTTAAGTGACTTGCCCAAGCTACACAGCTAGTGTCAAGTGTTTCATCTGAGGCCAGATTTGAACTCAGGTCCTCCTGATTTCAGGGCCGGTGCCCTAGCCACTGCACCACCTAGCTGCCCCCCATTGTCTTCCCTTTCCAAGTCTTTCTCACCTTCCCCTCCTCCCTCTCTCAGCCGAGGGACTCATCTTTTTCTTTGGTGACAAAATCGAGGCCATTCTGTGTGAACTCCTTCCTCTCTTATTTTCTTAATTTCGTCTCTCACTTTTCCCTCATTGTCTTCACTTTCCGACAATGAGGTGGCCCCTGTCCTTGCTAAAGCCAATCACTCTACATATGCACTTGATCCCATACCCCCCCCCTTCTTCTCTAGCAGACTGCAATCTCAACCTTATTTTTCTTGAATCCCCAACCTTTTTCTTTCTGTGATTCTCTACTGCCTTCAAACATGCCCAACTCTCCCCATGCTTAAAACAAACACCCAGCTCCTCCCATCCCTTCAAGTTATCATGGCCCCAGCCTATCCTTCTAGTCTGACTGTACACTACTTCCCCTCTCACCTCCTGCAATCCAGCCACAGTAACCTTCTTTCTTTCCTTCCCTCATGACACGCCGTCTCCTATCTCCATGACTTTGCATTGGTCATCCCTCACGCCTGGAATGCAGTCCCTCTTACCTCTACCTCACAGCATCCCTCTCTTCCTTTAAGATGCAGCTCAGGCAATATTTTCTACAGGAAACTTTTCCTGATTCCCAACCACTAGTGTGCTCTCTTTAAAATTACATTTAACTATGCTGTGTATGTAAACATTTACTTATATGCTTATTTACAGTACTAACTTCATACATATGCTTTAACATAGATGTATATTTTATATGTACTTGTCTCCCCACTTATATGTCAGCTTGTGCATGGTGATCGTTTCATCCGTCATATCAGCAGCACCCAGCATAGTGCCCGGCACACAGCGAGACCTTAATAAATTCTTGTTGATGACTGTTTATCATCTTCTCCTGGATCCTCTCCTTTCTAGGTTGTGTGACACTGACATCTCTTGGTTTTCCTTCTCTGATCCCTCCCCCTACACCTGCTAGGGCCTTCCTCCCCACTTACCTTATACTTAAATATTTTGTATTTATTTTTTATATTTATTGTGTATATGCTTGTTTATGCATAGGCGGTCTTTCCCATTAGAATGTAAGCTCCTTGACACAGGGGTTGTTAATTCTCTGCATCTTTATCCTCAGTGCTAACATAGAGTCCAGCACGTAGCAGGTGCTTAGTATGTGCTTCTTGATTGATGGATACACGGACCTGTTCTTGACTTCCTTGCCCTTTCACTGCTCATGTCTTTTCGTACTCAAACTCTGGATTGTTCCAGATATTTACCTCCTCCATTCCTACTTCCATGCTGCTGGATGAAGTCATTGACTGAATCAAATGGGACCACAATAAATGCATCTAATCTCAATAGGATTCTCATTGCTATTAGGCATAACCTAATCATTCTCCATCATTCTCCCCACAGATGCTGTTACAAAGCCTCCCTTCAGTCATCAAGCCTCTAATAGCACTTTCCTCTCCTCAACTGAGGACTTCTCTTCATACTTTACTGAGAAAATAAAGGCTAACTGTTAAGTGTTCTTTTCTCCCCTTTTCTACATCTCAAACTACTTTGAAATTATCTTTCATTCTCTCTTCCTTGACTCCAAACTCTGATAAAGAGGTGGCATTTCTCCTCACTCTTCTACATTTGCCCTTGCTCCTACCTTCCCTCCTCTTCAGTGATTTGCCCTTGCTCTGCTAACCCCTCTATCTTCAATGTCTTCCTATTTAGTGGTTGCTCTGGCCTAAAAACAGGCCCGAGTCTCCCTCATCCTTAAAAAACCCCTCACTAAATTGTATTGCATTTTCAAATCATCACTCTCTATCTCTCCTCCCTTCCCAGCCAAACCCCTAGAAAAAGCAGTCTACTATGGTTGCCTCCACTTCCTCTTCCGTTCCTCACTTATCAACACTGCATTCTGCCCTCCAGCTTCATCACTCAGTGGAAATATAAAAGCTCTCCCAATTGCCAAAGCCAATGGTCTTTTCTCAACCCTCATCCTTCTTCACCTCTTTGCTGCATTTGCTATTGTCAACTCCCTGTCCTGGGCACTCTCTCTTCTCTGCACATTGCTTTCTTTGGGTTCTCACCCCTCCTCTCTGACCTTTCTTTCTCTGTCTCCTAGTTCATCATCCATACAACATTTCATAATCGTGGTCACTCCTGAAGGCTCTTTCTGGGGCCTTCTCTTCTCTTTCTATGCTCTCACATGGCAACTGGAGCAGTTCCCTTGGGTCTATTTATCATCTCCATACAATAGACTCCAAATATACATATTTAGCCTCAGTCTTTCTCCTGAATTTTAGTTTCACATTCCCAAATACTTACTTAACATTTCATGCTGGAGGTCCTGCAGGCATCTCAAATTGAACAAGTCCGAAACAGAACTTAGGATCTTTGCACTCAGACCCACCCCTCTTCTGAATGTCCCTATTTCCGTGGAAGACATTTATCCAGTCACTCATTAACAACCTTGGCACTTTCCTTAGCTCCTCATTCTCTCTCATCCCACATATCTAATCAGTTGCCAAATTCTACCTTCACATCTTTCACAACTATGTCCTTCAGTTCACTCATAGGGCCACAATCCTAGTTTATGACCACTGTCCGTTCACTTGTCAAGTCTTCCCAAGTCTCTCTGAATTATTCACGAGTTCTTGAAGTGCAATGACATTCCATTATTACCACATACCAGAATTTGTTCAACCATTCCTCAATTAGTTTGCATTTCTACTTTTGAAAATTGTTCACATCCTTCAGTCGCTTATCAATCAAAAAGTGACTTTTATTTAGTCTTATAAACTTGCATCAATTTGCTATCTTGGATAAGAGGTTTTTATCAGACATTTTTGATGCAAGAATTTTCCCCCTAATTACTAGCTATTATCCTTATTCTACCTACATTGATTTTCTTTGTGCAAAACCTTGAGTTTATGTAATTTAAATGGTCTATTTCACCCTTTGTAATCACTTAGATTTCTTGTCTGGCTAATAGTTCCCCCTCAGACCATGACTGTCAGGTACTTTCTTCCATTCTCATCCAATTTTAAAATCGTGTATCTTTTTATATTGATTGCTTACATATCCAAAGGTTATTGTGATACATATGCTGGTTTAGATGCTGGTCTAAAGCTATTTTACCCCAAACTGTTTATGAGTTTTCCCAGGTTTTTTCCCCCAAATAGGGAATTCTTTTCTTAGTACATTATATTCTTGGGTTTACTGAATACTATGTTACTGTTTATTTCTACATCTTATTTACCTAGCCTGTTCCACTGGCCTACTTTTTTATTTTTAACCAGCACCAAAACCTTTGATGATTATTGTTTTATAATTTTGAGATCCATCATTATTAGTGTTTTTTTCCTCCATTATTTCCTCTGACATTCTCGATTGTTAAGTTCTTCTAAATGAATTTTATTAGTTCTGTAGGAAATGACCCTGTTGGTTTGACTCATATAGCTTTCAACTAGTAGTAGGTTATTTTGGGCAGTACTGCCATTTTTATTATATTGACACAGCCTAAATATTAACAATGATTCCAATTATTTAAGCCTTCTTATATCTCTGTAATATATTTTTTCAATTCTACTTTTCCTTCTTTCCTTTTTCTTTCTTTCCCTCTCTGATTCAATATCTCACCCTGCCTAAGGGTTAACATGGGCCTGAGCCCATGACTGATCAACTGGGAGCTTTGGCCTACTATTTTTGGCCTAGGCTGGTTCACCCCTCCTTAGGCAACCTGGATGACCCTGCTCTCTGGGGTCTTAACAGTGTTGAACTTGTACCATTTTAAGCTATTTTTGTTTTTTTTTTGTTTTTGTTGTTTTAGGCAATGGGGTTAAGTGACTTGCCTAGGGTCACACAGCCAGTAAGTGTTATGTGTCTGAGGCTGGATTTGAACTCAGGTCATCCTGAATCCAGGGCCGGTGCTCTATCCACTGCGCCACCTCACTGCCCCCATTTTAAGCTATTTTTTTTAAAAAAAATTATAGGTGTCTATAATGGAAATTAGTGGTGGTGTCTTACACCTTTGAGATATAAGGTGGTAGCTCAAGAGGCAACAATGAAGTATGACATGGTCCTTAACCTGGGGTCCATATACTTGTTTTTTAAATATTTTGCCAACTGCATTTAATCAGTTTCCTTGGTAATCCTGTGAATTTTATTTTCTTCATTTAAAAATATTATTCTGAAGAGAAGTCTAGAGGTTTTACCAGATTGTCAGAGGTATCCATGAAAAAAATGTGATGGAGCTACCTCAAATCACCTCTAGAGCTGACTGGTAAATTTTCAGTGACTATTGCTTAGAGAAATACAAACTAAAAGAACAACTCTGAGGTGCCACCTCACACTTATCAGATATTGGCTAATATGACAGAAAAGGGAAATGACAAATGTTGGAGAGAATGTGGAAAACTTGGAACACTAATGCACTATTGGCAAAGTTGTGAACTGATCCAACCATTCCAGAGAACAATTTGGAACTATGGCCAAAGGGCCATAAAACTGTGTATACCCTTTGACCCAGCAATACCACTACTAGGTCTACATCCCAAAGAGATCAGATAAAAAGGGAAGGACCCACATGTATAAAAATATTATAGCAGCTCTTTTTGTGGCAGCAAAGAATTGGGGATAGAATCTATGTCCATCAACTGCGGAATGGCTGTGATAGAATACTATTGTGCTATAAGAAATGATGAGCAAGACACCATCAGAAAACCCAGGAAGACTTACATGAGCTGATGCAAAGTGAAGTGAGCAGAACACTATACACAATAACAGTAATATTGTATGATGATCAACTGTGAACGACTTAGCTATTCTCAGCAATACAACGGTCCCAAACTATTCTGAAGGACTTATGATGAAAAACGCTGTCCACTTTCAGAGAAAGAACTGAATAGGAGTCTGAATGCAAATTGAAGCATACTTTAAAAAAAAAACAACTTTATTATTCTTGGCTTTTTTTTTGGTGTTTTGCAACATGGCTAACATGGAAATATATTTTGCATGACTGCACATGTATAATCTGTATCAAATTGCTTGCCTTCTCAATGGGGGGGAGGGGATGGATGGAGAGAATTTGGAACTCAAAATTTAAAAAAAAAACTTAAATTTTTTTGTTTACATGTAATTGAGAAAATAAAAATTAAATGGAAAAAGAAAAAAAATTCAGTGTGAGCATTTATACCTCAGGAATCACTACAAATCAAGAATTGGTTTGTTTTGCCGATTGTCAAGATTTAATAAAACGGAGAAAATGTTAATGATGCACATTAAACTGAGATCTGTCTTCCACATAAATTTTCTTTTTTTGGAAAACTGGTTGGTAAACACTCACCAGCATATCTCTGGGATCCATGACACAAAAAAGGTGAATGGTTCCTGGGCTAGTGGACAGACAGCTGGCCTCAAAGTCAGGAGGACCCGGGTTCAAGTTTTACCTCTGACATACAGTGGCCATGTGACCCTCCCTAAGTCACTGAACTCTCAGGTGCCCAGGCAACTCTGAGACTCTGAGTTGGACAGAAGGCTCAGATCTGTACTGCAAGAAGAAGCTACTCATGGGGAAATCCCTTTGTTGTTATTCACTCATTCAGTTGTGTCCAACTCCTTGTGACCCCATCTCTACACCAATGACATCAGAGACCTGGCTGTTTATAGGATCTGCTTGTGTGCTACCTTCTAGAGCTAGCTCATGTTGAAACAGGGTTTCTACTCTCATATGCTTATATGACTCTTTGAATTCTGGGAAAATGGAACACGTGAACAATGAAGGAGAGGCCTTCCCTCCCATGATGGAAATGGAGGGCAATGTGGAGATGATCCAGGACTACAGAGGCTGACCGTAGATGACAGCGCCAGATGACATGCATGCCACAGGTGCAGCTGCTCAAGAAGAAAATGAGGACCTGGATATAGGTCTAGAGGACCATTTGACCATTACAGACCATCTGGAATGTCACATGTAGAAGTCAATATCAAGCGTTAAATCTGTTAATACCGAGAAACTTGATAACTGGATGCAACGTCTGTTGCCTGATTGAGAGGCTATGAAATGACTTTTGGTATTATAACGTCACCTTCTCAGTTACAGTATTAGGTATCGCTATGTGATCACGAACAGCAACTCTTCCCTTCACATCCATCTTCCTCCCTACTCTTTGGGCCTTCCTGTAACCACTGGCAATGCTTGATCAGTGGTTTTTCACTCCACGGCCTCTCACAGTCATCTGACCATGAAAAGGACTCAGAGCGGTTTCACTTTTCTGATAGTGAGAAGTGTGCGCCAGCCTAATGCCTTTCCAAATGCATGAGCTTTCACTCATGTAGGATTTCTCCAGGGACAAGAAGATGAAAGCATCTTTTGCCATATTTGTCACATTTATAGGGTTTCCCTCAGCTAAAAATTCCACATGTTACCTGAAGAAAGTAGAATCTTTGAGAGCAGGGATTGCTTAATTTTTGTCTTTCTATACCCAGTGATTAGCACAATGGCTCACATAAACAGGACACTTAATGTCTGTGGAATTTTAATTCCATTTCATCCATTCCACAGATGGAGCACTGGACCTGGTGTCAGACAGATCGGCCTCAGACACTTCCTAGCTGTGTGCCCTGGGGAAATCACTAATTTCTCTTAGTCTCACCTTCCTCATCTGAAAAATGGGGATGATAATAGCACCGACATCTCAGGTTTGTGATGAGGATCAAATGATATGATATTTGTATAGCACTTTGCCATCCCTAAAGCGCTACATAAATGTTAGCAAATATTATTTATAAGGCTTCTTTTCCAGAAGGAATTTTCTTATGTCTAACAAATCCTGAGCCCACATTAATTCCATCCATAAGGTTTCTCTCTAGTATGAATTCTCTGATGTACAGTATGGGATGAACTCTGGAAGGCCCTCCCACATTCCTTACAACATTTACAAGGCTTCATTCCATTCTGATCAGACAGATATCTGATAAGGTCTCAGCTCCATCTAAAGGCCTGTCCATGCTAATTACATTTATAAAGTTCTTATCTAGCTTGAATTATCAGAAGAACTCTGAGAAATCAGCTCCAGATGAAGGCCTTTTCATATTCATTACATGTATAAAAATGTCTCTCCAGGATGGATTTTCTGATGGTTAATAATTTCTGTGTCCTGACTGAAGACCTTTCCAAATTCATTGCATTCATAAGCTTTCTCACCAGCGTGAATTCTCTGATGGTAAATAAGAGGGGAGTGTTGGACAAAGGCTTTACCACATCCATTCCACTCACGGGACTTTTCCCTACTGTGAATTCTCTTATGTACAGTAAGGTGTCCACTCTGACTGAAAGCCTTCCAACACTCATTACATTTATAAGGCTTCTCTCCAGTGTGGATTCTCCGATGACAAATCAGGGCCGTGTGCTGGATGAAGGCTTTACCACATTCATTACATTCGTGAGGTTTTTCTCTGCTATGAATTCGTTTATGTAAAACAAGGGATGAGTTCTGGGTGAAGGCTTTCCCACATTCGTCACATTTATAAGGCTTCTCTCCAGTATGAATTATTTGGTGTCTAAGAAGTTCTGAGTTCCAGCTAAAAGTCTTCCCACACTGATTACACTCATAAGGTTTCTCTCTAGTATGAGTACTGTGATGTACAGTAAGAGAGGAACTACGGGTGAAAGCCTTCCCACATTCGTCACATTTATAAGGCTTCTCTCCAGTATGAATCCTCTGATGTAAAGTAAGAGATGAACTCTGGGTGAAAGCCTTCCCACATTCGTTACATATATAAGGCTTCTCTCCAGTGTGAATTATTTGATGTCTAATGAGTTCTGAGTTCCAGACGAAGGCTTTCCCACACTCACCACATTCATAAGGTTTCTCTCCAGTATGAATTTTTTGATGTCTAATAAGTTCTGAGCTCTGGCTAAAGGCCTTCCCACATTCATTACATTCATAAGGTTTCTCTCTGATACGAATTTTCTGATGGGTGGGAAGTGATAAGTGATCTAGGGAAGCTTTCCCATATTCATTACTTACATAATATTTATCTTCATTATAAATTTTCTGATGATAAATAAGCTTTGCATTCTGGCTGAAGGTCTTCCCATATCGGCTATCTTCATAAGAGTTGTCTCCAGTATGAAGTTGGGGGCGTCCAGTAAGGGCTGTGCCCCAGCTGAAGGCTATCTCACATTGATTATATTCATATGATTTCATTCCTGTATGTTTGCCATAATCCTGAGTATGATCTGGCTGATAATTAAAGTGTTCCCCACGTTCATCATACCTGGCATGTTCTTTCCTGGATGTCCCTTTAGTATACTGAGTTAGGTTTGAATATGGTGGGAAGATCCGGCTATCTGTACCATGTCCATCATGACTGTCACCTATAGAAATGCTCCCCTGGAGAGAAAAGCCTGACCCCCTATTGGAGCTTCTTCCAGATTTACGACATTGCTGGCCTCTTCCTCTGCTTATGGTCTTCCTGGAAGGACTCTCCTGGCTGTCTTGCTTCTTGCCTGACTTTAGATCACAAGCCCAGGCTTCTCCCAACTCGAAATTCCAAGGCCTATTGCTGACGACATTCTTCCAGGATGACTCTTCTGGAGAAACGTACTGCTCTGGAGTAGAACCTCTAATGTTAGGCCTCAGCTCCCAATCTGAGGGAAGGGAAAACATAAATGTATCTTCTTCCTGCTACTAGGGAAATGAAATGACTTTACATTTAGTCTCACCTATTTCCTCAAAGAGGAGAATAATCTTCATCCTTGAAAGGAAGAATCAATGCTAACAAAATCTCACAACCACACTTTCAAAGAGGGATCTGCTTTACAAAGGACAGTCAAATACATGATAACCCCGAGTCCTTCCAGCTCCCCTGCAATATAAGCAAGGTGGAGACTATTATGATGTTTTGTAGGTGAGCAAACTGAGGCAGAGAATAGTCAAAGAGATGACCAGTGTGCCCAAGGGCCATGCTGGGACACGAGCTCTTCTCAACCTTCAGCAGGGAGAAGTCAAAGGCGTTCAAGGTGCAGACAACATATGTGGAGCCAGCCCTTCCTAAACCTAAGGAGGCCAGATAGATGTATGAGCTACCATTGTCATTATTAGGCAGTCCCAACATAAGCACCACCTTTCAAGACTTAAAGAATTTGCAAATACAACAGAGAGAACTCTGTTATTAACATTGGAGAAATAGTGAGGAACAAGAAAGGTACCCGAAGAATGGTGTGAGGGGACTGCGATGACTTTGGAAAGGAGGGATTCAGGAAACCTCAAACGGCCAAGTTTGACACAGACACCCGATTGAATTCCCGAGCAGATTACAAAGCACAGGATCTGTGCACAATGGAAATGTAAGGGTGAAAACCAGCCACGCCAGACTAATAGCATTGTCTTTGCTGCACTTCCATAATATACATGGACTTCTGCTACTGTCTGACAAAATCTCCCATGACAGAAGGCATGGTAGAGGAGAGGGTGCAGAGTGCACACGTCCCATCGGCTCTCAGGTCTTTTTCTGAAGGGCTATTGAATGAACGTTGTCTGGACACACCTCCTCCGTACAGTTAATTTTTTTTAACCCAACACAGAAGTTAACGTGCATCCCAACTACTTTTCAATCTATTCTATTTAGTCCAATGTTCTAGCTTACTGGCCCCTTTTACCCTGTCCTGAAGAAACTGCCATATGATGACACAGTCATACAAAGAGGCATGTTTTGCTATAGAACTTTACCTCTTCCTTTTACTTATACCATAATGGCCCAGAGGCAGTGAAAATCTCCTCTCTGTCTTGTACCCCTCTCAGGGATCAGGATGGTGCCACAGACCTATTAAGCAAGGGAAAAGTAGGTAGAAATATGGCCAAAGACTCCCAAAGAATGGAGAAGGAGAAAGAGCTAGGCGTTAGTGAAGACCACTCTTTCTCCAATGATAAAGTTAAATATTAGGAAAATATTTTTTCAGGAATTGGGTTGTAACCTCAGCTTAGCTACCCCCTGTGCAGAGCCCTCCATACTCTCATGTGACTTTACAGAGACAATCTTGGGACTGACAGTTCACTGTCACATGGGGAGGCATCTGTGGGAGGCACTAAGAAAGGACCCACCAACATCATTCCTGAAGAGACCTAGATAAGTCACAGATAATTAACTGTCATGAGAGAGCAAATCTATGAGGCATTCGAAGAGTTAATTGTCATCTTTTAAAGATGTTAACTGCCATACGGTGGAGAAGATATCGTATGGAGACGATAAAGGAAAACTCATGAGAAGAAAGAGTTTAACATTGTTTCACTCCTGATGAGAAAATGGACTTAAATCTCATTCTGTGGAGAAAGCAGTTAGTTGACATTTCTGAGAGGAACTGAGTCAAATAGTCTGATGAGAACTGACTGGTCACCCAGGGGTTCCAATGTTTGAGGAGCTGGCAGTTGACAAGTGAGAGGAAAATGACTTTTTCCTTCATCCACTTTCCTAGAACATAGGAGTGACTTTGGCCATGACTGTCATCAACACTTAAAACATTTAAAAATCAACACTTAAAACATACTCTTTTATGATTCTTTCTTATTGGCAACTCTTAATATAATTAATATATTAATATATTGTCAATATATAATACTGTTAATATAATTAATATATTGTTAATATACTTGACAATATTAATATACTATTAATATATAATGCTATCAATATATAGCCAGTAACAGTAACGTATATTAAACCTATCAGATTGAGGTTTGAGAGTGAAAGCAGAGAATAACCTAAGAGAGGAGTTTTTCCCAGTTCTTCTGAGGTAGGGCTCAAGTTAATTTGTTGATTAACTAACTAAAGAGATTTTGCATTTTAGTAATTTTAATGGCATTATCAGAATTATCCAATAGCCTTTGGACCTGGTGAGAGAAGGAATAAGGTAATGAGTTAGCATTAGAGTGACAGGATGGGTTGAGAGCGTTCTCCTCCAGAGTACATGACAGGTAATGGATGACACTCCCACACCTCCCAGCAGGAGTAGCTACATTTAGGTCTTGTTTATGGGATCTCTACATGCTGAGTGTAGATGCCTACAATAGAGAAAGAAGGTCTAGGAAAGACCTCATGCTGGACAACATCAGTTCTTCCCAACTAGACTGGCTGGGAAGGTTCTCTGAGGAGAGTTTCTGTCCCACATTCCCAGAAAATGATAACTTGAGCTAAGGGCCACAGTGGGCTGTTTCTACTCACTCACCTGGACGGGAAGCTGCTAGGTCTTCTCTCTCCAGCACCCCCAGGACTTGCCCCCGCTCCAGCTGGAAGATCACATCCGCTTTGCCAACGGGAAGCCCTGCTCATGGTAAATAGGGAACTGCTGAGAAGAGAGGGAACCCCAGAATTCAGACCTTTTCGGGGAAAGCAGCCCATGCTAGGAGGTAGCAGAGTACTGTGCACAGGACCCCTGGAGGATAACTGCGATGGTGCTCCTGGGAAGCTGTGAAGTGGAAGGGGGTAGGGAAGTGGGCAGGTATGGATCATTCAGCCAATAGAGGATCAGAAAGAAAATTAGGACATCTGCCTATCTCCTCACGTGGAGCACGTGAACGTGTCCCATCTGCCAGTATTTGCATTGGGATTTAGGGGAAATTGGGCCAGATTATGCCTAAGATTGAGAGTTGGATGGCCCTCAGGGGCCACTGTCCTCATTCTCTAGATCAGGAAGCTAAGGCCCAGCAAGAGGAAGTGACCTGCCCAAGGCCACACATGCGGTCAATGTCAGGGGCAAGATCAGACAGGAGGATCCAGCTGTCCAAAAGTGAAATGGATCAGGCTGCCACAGGAGGGAGCAACTTGGCTACTAGGTGGCGCAGCAGAGAGTGTTATCCACCTGGAATCAGGAAGTCATGAGTTCAAATCCTGATTCAGATTCTTAGTACTGTGTAACCCTGGGCAAGTCACTTAACCTCTGTTTGCCTCAGGCTTCTCATCTGTAAAATGGGGACAAGAGGAGCACCTGCCTCACAGGGTTACAGTGAGGATAAAATAAGACAACACAGGAAGTGCTGTGGAAACCCTACGGTGCCACAGAAATGCTTCCATCACCATCCCCAACGACGGGCTCCCCTTCACTGGGAGACGTCAGGCCAGGCCTCTGGGGCCAGCTCCAACTCTGAGGTTCTGTGATCCTAATTCTAGCCTGCATCTAAAATGACACAGAACATGCCTGCAGAAGACCCCCAATAACTCAAGGAAGACTTTAGCTTCCAATTACGCACTACAAAGAAGCATCAGAGGAGAACAGGGAGCACAAGTGAGGTACCCCGTCTTTCAGCCCCCAAGGGAACAGGAATCTCTGGTCTCTAACAATTGCTAAATGCTTAAAATCTTGTACAACATATAGGAAGGGAAGGGAAAAGAAACTCGGTCCAGGAGCTGATGCAGGGTCTCCAGGCTGGGCTGGGAAGGGGTGGGGTGGACAGGGGCAGTCCTTACCCAGGGAGACCAGGTTCCTATAGTTCTCCAGCATCACCTCCTTGTACAGCTTCTTCTGAGAGGCATCCAGGAAGCACCACTCCTCCCGGCTGAAATCCACAGCCACATCTTTGAATGACACAGATTCCTGAAAGGCCCAAGAAGATAGGAGTGAAAGACAAGGGACTTTAGAGGTCATCTGGTCCAAGTCCTTTCTCTGAGACACTGAAAATTCAGTGATTTGCCCAAAGGCCACACCTCAACTAAGAGGCAGGGTCAGGATGGGAACCCAGATGATCTAATTACCAGCCCCAGCTCTTTCTACTACTCTATGCTGCCTCCTGTCTTCAGCTCTGAATACTGTCAGGGATACCCAGCGAAGCCCTGCACCTCACTCTAATCACACAAATGGCGACACCCTCGTGTCCTGTATTTTATCCTTACATATACAACAGTCACACCCGAGAAGCAATCACACCAAAGAGATTAATGTCTAGGCAGAGATAATACAGCAAACACTCTCCATTCCTAACTGGTGCTATTTCTTTATATCTATATCTCTGTGTCTCTATATGTGTGTGTGTGTGTGTGTGTGTGTGTGTATACATATGTATACACACACACACACATAATTTTTCCCACTTAACAGTATTTTATTTTTTCTAATTACACGTAAAGATAGTTTTCAACATTCACTTTTATAAGATTCTGAGTTCCAAATTTTTTCTCCCTCCCCTCCCCCCTCCCTAAGACAGCAAATAATCTGATATAGGCTATGTATGTACAATCATATTAAACATGTTTCCACATCAGTCATGTTGTGAAAGAAGAATCAGAACAAAAGGGAAAAACCACAAGAAAGAAAAAAAAGAAAATAGTATGCTTTGATCTGCATTCAGACTCTGAGTTCTTTCTCTGGATGTGGACAGCATTTTCCATCATGAGTCTTTTGGAATTGTCTCTGTATACAACTTGTCATGTATTCCTGGGAAGAGCCAAGTCTACCAAAGTTGATTATCACACAGTGTTGCTGTTACTATGTACAACGTTCTCCTGCATCTGCTTACCTCACTCAGCATCAGTTCACGTAAGTCTTTCCAGGTTTTTCTGAAGTCCACCTGCTCATCATTTTTTATAGCACAATAGTATTCCATTACGTTCAAATACCACAACTTGCTCAGCCATCCCCAATGGATGGGCATCCCCTCAATTTCCAATTCTTTGCCACCACAAAATGAGCTGCTATGAATATTTTTGTACATGTGGGTCCTTTTCCCATTTTTATGATCTCTTTGGGATACAGACCTAGTAGTGGTATTGCTGGATCAATTTATCAATCAGTTTTATTGCCTTTTGAGTATAGTTCCAAATTACTTTCCAGAATTGTTGGATCTAACTGGTGCTATTTCTACTGGATCAGAAGGATTTCCTGCTGAAATGTCTTACTAACCAGGTCTAGACCTGAATTCAAGTCCCACCCTAGATCCTCGCTAGCTGTGTGACCTTGGGCAAGTCACTTCATTTCTATCTGCCTTAGTTTTCTCATTTATAAAAATGGAGTAATGATAGCCCCTAACACTCAGGCTTGTCCTGGGGATGAAATGAGATTATATTTATAAAGTGTTCTGCAAATCTTCAAGTGCTTTGTAAATGCTAGCTGTAGTTCCTAATCCCACAACTTCACACAACTCAACTTAACCCACTTAACTGTGGGTGGGATGCAGCCTCACGGCGTTCTTGTACTTGTCACACTAAGACTTTACATTTATTCCTGTTCCCTTCTCATTTGGTTTCAGACCTGGCATCCCAAAGATGCCATTCAAGCTACCAGCTCTCCTCTGTGTCATCTTCACATTCGAGAAGGCTGTCATCTGTGCCTTGATCCAAGGCATCAACTGTAAGAAGGTCCCAGCGCAAAGGACAGAGCCCTGGGGCAGTCCAATAAAGACCTCCTTTCCAGTCTGACACAGGCTACTCTTTCTTTCTGTCTATTCAACCAATTCCAAATCTTTCTTGATAGGCCATCATCTCACCCACATCTTTCCATCTTTTCTCCATGAACAATCTTCAGCTCATTACAAAAGCTAGCCAAGTCCTCCCTAGCACACTTATTGATCCACCATTCTAGTAATCAGGCCCCCAAATAAAATAAGAGTAGCCTGGCCTGATCCATTCCCAACGACTCCATGTTGGCTCTTTGGGATCACTACTGCCCTGTCTAGATGTTTCAGGGGAATACTGCATTTGGTGTCTATGAATTAGACAGTAATACAATGGGATGGATTCAAAACGGGCTGGCCAGACTCAAAGAGTAGCTGTTAATGGTTCATTGTCAACATGGCAGAAGGTTTACAGTAAAGGACTCCCTCCCCTACCCAGGGATCTGTGCTTAGTCTTGAATAAAGGCATAAAAGGAACGTCCATAACATTTGCAAATAACACAAAATTGGGAGGTGTAACTAACACAATGGATGACAGAATCAGGATCTAAAAGGAGCTTGACAGACTAGAACAGGGGTGGGGAACTTGTGGCCTGGAGAACACATGTGGCCCTCTAGGTCCTCAAGTGCGGCCTTTTGACTGAATCCAAACATCACAAAACAAATCCCCTTAATAAAAGGATTTGTTCTGTAAAACTTGGACTCAGTCAAAAGGCCACACCCAAGGACCTAGCCAACATATGGCCTCAAGGCTGCAGGTTCCCCAGCCCTGGACTAGAGTGCTGGGTTGAACCATTCAGATGAGATTCAATAGGAATAACTGTAAATTCATATACTTGAGTACAAAAAAAATCCACTTCATAAGTACAGTATGGGGAAGGCAGCAACAGAGATCAGTTATTCCAAAACAAAAGATCTTGAGGTATTAGTAGAGTGTAAGCTCTCTGAGTAAGGAGTGTGAAAGGATGGCCAAACCCCCTAATTTTACCATGTACCACATTAAGAGGGATAGAGCTTCCAGGACTAGGGAGGTGATAACCTCACTGCACTCGGCCCTGGTCAGACCTCATTTCTGTTCTGTTCTGGATGCCATGATCTAAGAAAGACAATCATAAGTTGGAGAATTTCCAGAAAAGAGCAACCATAGTGGTCAAGGGCCTGGAGTCCATGAAAAAGGATCAGCTGAAGACACTGGTTTTATTTAGTGTGGACAATAAGAAGATGGGTTGGGGGGCAGAATATGATATCTGCATTCAAACATCTATTTGAAAGACTGTCACATGCAAGAAGAATCAGATTTATTCTCTTTGGCTGTATAAGGCGGAAACAGAGGTGATGGGGACATGTTACAAAGAGACCAATTTAAACTGAATGTAAGAAAACCCTCCTCACAATGAAAGAGCTGTCCAAAAGTGGAACATTTCCATGGGGGTCTAAAGCATGTATGTTACACTTGGGATTCTTTCTGGTTAAAGGTTCAACTAGATGGCCAATGAAGTCTCTTCCAACTCTCAAATTCTGTGAGGCTATGAGACTTTGGCAAAACATTTGGCAGCAGTTCTCAGGCTACTTTGGGGGGACTAGAAGGTCAGATTCAGGTTAGAGGATGCCACATTTAGGTGGGTTTGGAGATGGTTAAAAAATTTCACTCAAAAAGGAGTCAACAATGGCCCCACGTTGCTTTGGAAGGACTCTAATGAGAGTGGCTCAGGGTGAGTGTTTGGTCCTGGGCTGTTCAACATGTACCCCAAAAATCTGTGATCCTATGAACTTTTTAAAAAAATAACAAGTAATATAATCTCTGCCCTAATGGAGCTTCCATTTTTAATAGGGGAAGACAGCATGTGCAGGAGGTGGTGTTTGGATCAGGGAAGTCATGGGGATGGTACTAGAAGTTATAGGGCAACTGAGTGATGATGGAGGTACCTCTTCCAGGAATGGGAGTATTGAATGGTCACTTTTTCACAGCTAGAGTTGGAAGGGGATGGAGGGAAGGGTAGGTGAGCACTGACAGTCTAGGAATAGCAGGGCAGGTCTGGGTGAGGAATGCTCACCAATTAGGAGCCTGGAGTCTCAAAGAAGAAGGCAGTGTGTGGAGTTGGACAGGGAGGCTGGAGAGCAAGAGCTTGGTACAATGAAAATGGCCACTTTGAGACAACTCAATATTCTTTCAAGGCTCAGCTCATGTCACCATCTAAAAAAGGTTCTTTTCTGATGCCTTCCAGTTCTTAGTGGCCATTCCCAAAATTATTTTGTATTTCCTGGGCATATATCTTGTATTGACTTACCTGTGTTTATGTTATTTCCTCCAATTGGAACATAATTTTCTTGAAGCCAGGGACAATATATTAGATTTTTGCTTTTGAATCTCCAGCCCCCAATACAGGGCCTTTCACATAAAAGGCGTTTGATAGTGCAAATCAGGAATCTCATCAAGTGGCTGCATTATTTGAATTCATGCTGTATATTTCCCTTGGGCTGGAAGCAACTGCTCTAACATTGAAGAATGGGAATTTTAATATATGATCACTTCATTGGATTTATTATCTGCACTAACTGGGACCTGGCTGTATAAATTCTCTCTCCTGTATCCTTACCTTTTTTGAGTGTAAGCCAAAGTCCCACAAAAGGAGTTAGATAGGACACCTTCTTTAAACTCACTATTGAGATAATCTCATCATTCTGGAAGATCTCATCAGCCTTGGGAACCCATTTCATTAGGCTCTTACCTCTCTCTCACCCTCTGCCTCTCTGATCAGAGGTGGGGTCATGAGCTCCAAACTTCCATTTAAAGAAAGAGCTCAGATCAGACACCTCCTTATTTCTTACCTCACTGTACTACCTTGCGGTTTCTCAGACTGATTTATCTACCATGCCCCCTGGAAGATCATCATTGGGATACTGACCTCAACTGCCCCCAAAACACACACACTTTTCAGCTTCCTTTTGAGGTTTGTCTTCCTCCATCAGAGTGTAAGCTCCTTGAGGACAAGATGCTTCTGCATCTATATCCCCAGCTGAGCACATTGCCCGGAACATAGTAAATGCTTAAATGTTTATTGACTATGACTACTTTTTGTAGCACAAGTATTAATTGCTCTTCAAAAGATTCACATGGTTGACAGCCTGGGATTTATTTCTTTAGTTCCTCAAAGTTCTTTCTGAGATACGGTTGTTTAGGAGCTCTTTTATTTTGAAAAACTGGTGACTTTCCATTTTACAGATTTTTATCCATTTCCTCACATGCTGTTTTGTGGCTATAGGCTTCTGTAGTATGTAAATCTCCCCCCCCCTTATGAATTCACCCTGTTCTTGATATTAGCACAGCACATGGCACATAACAGGTACTTAGTATCTGTTGACTTGATTCTTTTGAAAACTTTATTGATTTGAATTTGTTGTGTTTATGATAAATTTTAACATCAATTTCATCTCAGCACTTTTGGATGTTTTTAAAAGATCAACTCTCAGCCTTTCTACAGCTTTTTTCCCCCTATTTATTCTATTTTTCTCTCATTTGCAAGATTTCATTTGTGCTTGTTTGGGGGTTATTTGACTTTTCTGGTTTATTTCAGGCTTCACTCATGAATGTTTTTTTCAATTTTGTTAATGTCTTTAGAAATACATTTTTCCTCTCAATTTTGCTTTAGCTTCATCCCCCAATGCTGTCTCTTCATCATTCTCTTTAACATTTTACTCGATTGTTTGACTCACTCCTGACCATTTGAGAGGTGGTAGGCTTTTCCTCCTTCAGAACAAGAAGTTCATACCAAGTCAGGTATGCTGTAGTGGGAATTCCTTTTGTATAGGGCTTGGATTAGTGAGACATTGAGATCCTTTCCAGCTCTCAAATTCTGAAATTCATCAATCAGAATGCCATTACTTCAGTCTAACTTTAAATTTATATTTTGTTTCTTGCCTTAACCACCACGTTCTTATATTGTATTTGTAAAGGTCTTTAATATTGTGGCCTTTTTAGATTTATGTATGAGTTCTTTTCACCCTGGCACATAAGTATTTCTGAAGTTAACATGTGATGCTAAGAATAGGTATATTCTTGAATATTGCCATTCAGAAGTCTTTTAAATTTAACTTTCCCAACAGTCTGTTTGTTCTGTGTTTTCCTTCTTGTTAGAGTTATGTGGTTCTTGAAAAAAAAAAGAATATTAAAGTCTCTAGTGTTAACCCTAACTGACTTTCTGCTTCAAATATGTGGAGGCTTTACCATTTGGACAGATATATTTATTAATGACATAGTTTCATTGCTTATTGTGACTTTTAAGAATGGAGTTTTCCAGTTTATGTCTTGATGTTGTATATTTTTTAATGTTGCCTTATGTGAAGTCCTGCCTGCAACTCATGCTTCTTTGCAAAGAACTCAGGGAAAGAACGTTTAATTCTGGGCCCTCATTTTTCCCATGTCTCTAATTTTCATGTCTTTGCTCTTTATAAACTCTCCTGCCACCCTCTTGTTTTGCATTGGGAAATTTAGTCCCTTCCATAGCTCTCTATGGCCTGGTTACCATTCAAAGCCCTTTACAACCTGGCTCCAACCTGTCTTTGGGGACTTAGACATTACTCCCCACCACACACTGCACTCTCTCAGGTAGCCAATCTCATCCACTGACTCTGTATCTTGGAACATGCTCTTCTTGTCTTCTATGCCCCCTGGAATGCCCCCTCTCCTCACCTCTAGGATTCTTTAGAGCTCAACTTAAACAACATGGCCTATGGGAGGCCATTCAGAGTTTTCTGACCTCTCCTCACAGCTGAACAAATGGAAGGAAGGAAGAAGGAAGGAGAGAGAGAGAGAAAGAGGGAGAGAGGGAAGGAGAGAGAAAGGAAGGAAGGAAAGAGAGAGAGATAGAGGGAGAGAGGGAGGGAGAGAAAGGAAAGAAGGAGAGAGAGAGAGGGAGAGAGGGAGGGAGAGAGAAAGGAAGGAAGGAAAGAGAGAGAGATAGAGGGAGAGAGGGAGGGAGAGAAAGGAAAGAAGGAAGGAGAGAGAGAGGGAGAAAGGAAGAAAGGAAAGAGAGAGAAAAAGAGAGAGGGAGGGAGAGAAAGGAAGGAAGGAAAGAGAGAGAAAAAGAGAGAGAGAGGGAGAAAGGAAAGAGAGAGAGGGAGAAAGGGAGGGAGAGAGAAAGGAAGGAAGGAAGGACAGAGAAAAAGAGAGAAAGAAGGAGGGAGGGAGGGAGGAAAGGAGGAAGGAAGAAAGAAAGGTTTTTGCCTTTGGTGATATAGTATTCCAAGATCTCTTCTGCTTTTTAAATAGAAGCTGCCAGGTCTTATGAGATCCTGATTGTCTTTCACTCTCCCATACAAACTTAAAGTTCTCTATCAACGCTACTTATGATAATAAGGAGGCCTAAGAGGATGTGACAGGGCCTTCTTTCTGAGAGCACCTCCCATTTCCCCTGTCTCTATCTTGTTGGGACGTGGTTGTCCTAACGTTGAGGGAAGGGGCTGTGTTTTTGCCTTTCTTTGTATCCCAGTGTTTGCACGGTGCCTGGCACATAGTACGCACTTTACAAATGCTTGGGATAACTTTGGGGGGCAGCTGAGGTAAAGCACGGGAGACGGGGCATGAGGGAGGGAGCCAGAGAAAGCTGGAGGCTGATGGGTACACCGTATTGGGTGACACTGGCCTGCCAGGCAGCCAGGACTCTGCTTCTGCCCGCCGTATAGCAGGAGCCCAGGCCAAAGCTAAGAGATCACATTACCTTTCGGAGGCAGGGCTAATAGGAGTCGCTCCTGAGTGACCTGTGAGGAGGAAGAGAACTCGGCCACCAGAGAGGGCCAGCCACAGCCTCCGAGCCCCGGCAGCCACCCCTCGGCCCTCATGCCAAGGGGACTGGCCACGGCTGTTTTTTCATGGCTCTATTTTACATTTAGGAGACAATGGATGTTGTCTCTTCTTGGTGCTGGGGGCTTCCTCGTCACCCCAGCTTCCACTGAAAGGGAAAATTCTTTGAGGCTGGGGTTGTTAACCTCTGTTGTATTAGGGATTCCTTCTCAGAGTCATGTTTTTAACTACATAAGATGGAAGATGAAGGATTACAAAGGGCACTGATTATGCTGAAACACAGTTACCCAAATGTTTAAAAATAATGACAGTGTTTTGGGGCAGCTAGATGGTGCAGCAGATAGAGTGCTGGAGTCAGGAAGACCTGAGTTCAAATCTGGCCTCAGACACTTCCTAGCTGTGTGGCCCTGGGCAAGTCACTTCACCCTGTTTGCCTCAGTTCCCACATCTGAAAAATGAGCTGGAGAAGGCAATGGCCAACCACCCCGGTATCTCTGCCATGGAAAGCCCAAATGGGGAGAGTCACGCATGACTGAAATGAACGAACAGCCACAACAAAGCATCTCTGCTTTAAGGAGGAAAAACAACCCCTGGCCGTCTTCCTTCTCCTCAGCTTTCCCTGTGCCAGAAATACTGGCTTGTGCTGGCAGCCTCCAGTTTTGTCAAGCAATGGAGACAGGCTCAGCGGCGGTGTGAAAGGACCACTACAGCATCGCCACGGTGGGGTCAAGGTACAGGGCGGCCAGCTGTGGCTGCTCAGACCGATGCAAGCTTGAAGACAGACTGTCTGGACGTTTGGAGGGCGGGGGTCTCTAAATGTGCACACCTCACGTCTCTTTGGGGCTGCTGCAATTCTGCTCTGCAATAGTACAGGCACTGCAAGGTTAACAGCGAGACAAAAGCTGAGACACTGGACACTTTCCCCCATGGTGGGGAAGGGAATCAGGAAGTGGTCAGCCATCCAGCAGTTAAATGGGGAAACGGCTGCCTTGATAGATAGTCCTGCTCTTCCAGGCAGTTAGCCAAAAAGGCTGCCTTCCCCCTCTCCTGCCACGCTCATCTCTGGGAAAAAAAACATCTGTTAGGCTCCCCTAGTCAGGCCCCAAATCTTGAGTCTCCATGGCAAAGCCATCTGAAAAGGAAGTTGGCCTAGGGTGCAAACATCAGGCCACCCCGGGGTCCCTTCCAGGACTGGGATTCTTAAACTCAACCTAACTGAATGGGAATGGATAAATGTTTGTCGAATGAACTCACCTGGGCCACCACTCTCCTGATCCCAGCAGCCACTCCCTCCGGCTCCATGCTCCCCTCTTAGGCAAGGCCTGAATTTTCCCGGGCTCTGCTGGGGAGAAAGAGGGAGTCATTAGGGAGCATGGCTTTCCTTTCCTCTCAGATGGGCTGCCAGCAATCCTGCCCAGAATCCTGGGAGGCAAGGAAGGCCTTACGCTATTATCTTCATCTTACTGTGTTTGTCAGCTGAGGCTTGGTGAGTAGGACTGACCCAGAGGCCCCCGACTGGTCTGCATGGGAGCCTGCCTTGAAATCCCAATTCTCTTTCCAGCTGTCCACATCCTTGCACCTTCTCTGCTCTAGAAGCTGAGCCCATAGACCTGTGTGATGCTGAGGGCAGGGCCCTCCTTGGGACTTCACTCTCTGCCGGTCCTTGAGTGAGGTTCAAAAGAAATTCTAGTCTCCCCAATAATTCCTCAGAAATCAAAACTGGGGGAGGGGCAAGATACCCAAAACACCCAAAGGGAAGCAGATGGGATCAGGCTTGGAAACTAAGAAATCCTAAAACTAAGAAAAAAAAATTCAACCATTTTCTACCAGTTCCTGCTTTCTCTTAAACTTGAAGATCCTGGGGCTGGAAAGGGACAGGGCCTGGCCCTCCTCAAGCTGGTTCTGAATCTTGCCTCCCCACTGCTGCCCACCCCCCCAGGCCACAGCCTACCAGAGAAGAAGACCTCAGGAGAGGGTCCAGCAGGAGAGGGGCCTCTGGAGAAGACTGCTGGGGAGGGGGTAGGAAGGAGCTAAGGGTTAGGAGTAAGAAGCTGGGATCTAGCCAAAGGGAGTGGGTAAAGGTAGAAAACTGGAGTCACTGGGAGGGGGGTCCTGGGCTGGGGGAGAACAGAGTGTGGGGCTCTTGATTCCAGATGGGGGACTTGGTTTACCTAGATCCCAATGGGGCAAACAGGAGGGGGAGGCCTGGGTCGCTAAAGGAGGATGAGAGGCAAGCAATACCTAGGCCCCTAGTGGGGAGCAGGTTGGGGTCTTGGGGAAACCTAGGAGGAAGAATGGGGATAGGAGACATCTGGGGGGATAAGGGGTAGGAGATGCCTGGATCCAAATGAGGAGGCAGGGGATGACTGAGTCCTTAGCAGGCGGAAGGGAGGTAGGGAATGCCTGAGCCCCTGGTGGATGAGAGCTGCAGGATGTGTGTGTGTGTGTGTGTGTGTGTGTGTGTGTGTGTGTGTGTGTGTGTGTGTGTGTGTGTGTGTGTGTGTGTGTCTAAGATGAGCAAGGGATGCCTGGGTCCCTGGCGTGGCAGAGATGCTGGGGGTGGTAGGGGGGACATGCCTGGGTCTCTGGGGAGGATAAGAGTCGGGGCTATGCCTAGGTCTGGGGGTGTGTGAAGGGGGACAGGGGATGCCTGGGATGGGGGTGGGGGCCAGAGGGGCGCCTGGGTCCCTGGAGGACAAGAGATGCCTGGGATGGGGGTGGGGGTCATAGGGGCGCCTTGGACCCTGGGGTGGCAGAGATGCTGGGGGGGATAAGGGGGGACAGGGGATGCCTGGGTCCCTGGGGCGGATGGGGGTCACGGGGACTTCTGGGTGAGGGGAGTAAGGGAGACAGGGGACGCCTGGGATGGGGGTGGGGGCCAGAGGGGCGCCTGGGTCCCTGGGATGGCAGAGATGCTGGGGGGGATAGGTAGGACATGCTGGGTCCCTGGAGCGGATGGGGGTGGGGACTACGCCTGGGTCCGGGGGTGCGTGAAGGGGGACGGGGATGCCTGGATCCCTGGGAGGTGCACAGGGGTCGCGGGACGCCTGGGTCCGAAGGACGCAGACCAGTGCGGAACTCACCTGGCAGCTTCCAAGAGATGGATGAGGAGGAAATGGAAGAAAAGTCCATGGCGGGGGGGTTCTGGGAAATGTAGTCCGAGGAGCAGAAGAGGCTTCTGCGCATGCCCGGGAGCAACCCCCGCCTCCGCCCCAGGATGGGGATATTGACACGCCTCTGCTCAATGTCTCAGATTCACTTGGGTTGGGATAAAGAGCTGCACCTAGGGTGCGTGAGGCAGCTAGTCTAAAAGAAGATCTGGGGGTCGCAGTGGCCCCTCTGTACCCTCCCCATATGACCTCATCTGGAGAACCGTCCTCGGTTCTGGACAAAAAGACAACTTTTGGGTACAGGGGCAGCGTAGGAAGCTTGGGGTTCACTCTACCTTTTCCCCCAAGGTTTCCTACCCGTGTGACCTTGGGTCCCTCTCTGGCCCCCGTTTCCTCATCTACAAAATGAGGACCTTGGGAAGGGGCTGGGTGAGGGGAATGAGGAGGACAAGGGATGCCTGGGTCCTTGGGGGGATACCTGAAAGTGGGGTGGCCTCTGTGCCACCCTTCTGCTCCAGTCCTGTGAGGAGGGCGGCCGGGGTGGGAAGCACCTCTGGTCCCTGGCACATGGGACTTGGGGCATGAGGTCTGGAGAAAGGACTGGTGGCAGGGCACCCTGCCTTACATTTCTCCCTGCTCAGCAAAGGTTTCTTCTTAAAACATAGGTCTCACCATGTCACCCTGTACTCCATAAACTCCAGTGACTACATATCACCTCCAGGATCAAATATAAAATCCTAGATCAAATGAACTAATGTAAAATGCTCAGCACAGTGCCTGGCACACAGTAGGTGCTATGTAAATGCTGATTCCCTTTGCTTCCTGCTTTTTGGCATTTGAAGCCCTTGGAAGCCTGGCCCCGTCCTATCTTCCCAGTCTTCTACAGCATTTCTTTGTACGGATTATGCTGTCCAGGGCACCAGACCTCTTCTGGTCCATCCTCTGCCAGGCCATCCTTGCTGGCTGTCCCTCAGGCCCGGAATGCTCTCCCTTCTGACCTCCCTCTGCTAGCTGTCTCCTGGTTTCTTCCTCCAACACCTAAAACTGCACCTTCTTCAAGAAGGGGGCTTCATGCTCCTGCCTGCCCTCTGAGACGGCCTTCAGTCTACCCCATATCTGTCTTGTAGGTCCCCAGACATTCTCCTGTTGGCAGGACTCCCCCATCAGACTGTGAGCTTCCCTCCTTTAAGGCAGGGGCTGTTCTTTGTCCTCCTCTGCATCCTCAGTGCCCAGTTTGGTGCCTGACATACAGCAGGCGCCTCATAACTGCTCAGTGACTAAGTCAGGTCACCATGGCTGTCTTCAAGGAGCTGAGTTGCTGCCATGGGAAAGAAGGATTAGATTGCTTTCATTTGGCCCCAGTAGGCAAAACCAGCAATAATTGGGAGAGTTGCGGAGGCAAATTTAAGCACGGTGTCAGTAAAAGAATAAGCATTTATTAAGCACTTACTATGTACCAGGCACTGTGCGAAGCACTTTAAAAATATCTCATTTGATCCGCACAACCCTGGGATGTAGGTACTATTATTACCCCCACTTTACAGTCAAAGAAACTGAGGCAAACAAGGTGAAGTGACTTGGTCAGGGTCACACAGCTAGTAAGTGCCTGAGGCTGGATTTGAACTCATGAAGATGAGCCTTCTGACTTCAGGCCCTGCATTCTCTGCAGCGTGCCACGTAGCTGCCTCCAGAGACGGAGTGAGAGACAGAGGGAGAGAAGGAGAGACGGGGAGCCCGGAGCTCTGCCCGGGCCTTCTTCCTCTCCACGATCTCATCAGCCCACGAGGATTCAACGCTCAGGCCCCGCAGTAACTCCCAGATCTCTGGCCCCGCCCCGCAGAACCCCTGTCCAAGGTGGTACTGGGTGTTCCCGTCACCCACCACTGCTTCTGCAGGGGGCCCTGCCAGGCATTCACACTTCAGTGCTGAAAGGCTTGGACTCTTCCCTCTCCCTCCCCTCCCCATCCTGCAATCTGCCGGCCCTCTCTGATCCTGCCTGACACATCTGCCCCTCTGCACTCCCATCGCAGCCACCCTCACGCAGGCCTCCGGATCGCGTGTCTCAGTGGTGCACTGGCCTCCGAGCGGCCCCTCGGCCTTCCCCCCGCCGCAGCTGCTGAGCAGACGTGCCTAAAGCAAAGGTTTGCATTATTCTACTCCAGGAGCATCAGGGGCTCCCTGTGAGAGGCAAGGATGGGGAAGGAGAGTAAGCAGTAAATGCCTGCTATGTGCCAGGCGCTGCGCCAAGCGTTTTGGGAAATATGATGTCATTTGATCCCCACAAGATCCCTGGGGGGGGGTGCTGTTATCATCCCCATTGTTAGAGTCTGTAGGTTGTAACTGTCGAAGGGACTCGGGGTTACAGGTGAGGAGGAGAGCCTTCCAGGCCTGGGGGACAGGCTTTGCAGAGAGTGTTCTGCCTACAGGGAATGGCATGGAGGCAGGGAGGCAAGGGTGCAGGGTCTGCCGGCCCTCTCTGCCTAGGCAGGCAGCTGGGGTCGGGTTGTAATGGGCTCAAGGACAAGCGGAATCTGGAATTTAGCCCAGACATAATCGGAAGCCCCTGCAGCATCTTGGCAGGAGTGTGACGAGTCAGATGCGCGCTGCAGGGCCATCGGCTCAGCACTGTGGGGAGGAGGAGCAGAGGGAGGACAGGCTGGATCCCAGGAGTCTAACCAGGCCACTGTTGGAGGAGGCTAGAGCTGCTGAGGGGCCGAATGAGGGCCCACTTGGTGTGAAGAGGAAGAACTGTGGTCTAGACTGGCGTGTCTCCAGGGGTGGTCCCTGGGGGAGAGGTCCTTGGCGTCAAAACTTTTTTCACACTAATACTAAGATGTTTTCATTTATTGTGTAGGAAATATGGATAGACACAACCCACATACACCAGAGCTGGGGGGGGTAGTCCTCAGTAACTTATGAGTGTAAATGGGTCCAGAGACCCCAAAGTCTGAGACTTTCTGGCATAGACGGACATGTCGTTGGATGGACAAGCTGGAGCACTTATCCATCAGGACACATCTTGGACAAACACCACAAACAGGCTGGACTGCTTCTGTGGAACTGCATGCTCTTTTAATGAGCCTGAGATTCTCCAGGAAACATCCACCTTTTCATGCTAATATTCTTGAGGCAGCTAGGTGGCACAGTGCACAGCGCTGGGTCTGAAGTTGGAAAGCCCTGAGTTCCAATTCAGCTTTAAACACTTTTGTGTGATCCTGAGAAAGCCACTTAACCTCTCTGCCTCAGTTTGCTCACCTGCAAAATGAGGTTAATAACAGCACCTCCCTCCCAGGCTTGCTGTGAGAATCAAATACAATTCTATATGAATGGAACTCTGCAAACCTTGAGAATGCCACACAAAGGCCACCCCCAGTCATCATCAATCACCAGCCTGCCGATGTCCGGCTGCAAGTGACGGAACATGACCAGTATCACGGAGCAGCTGCTCATACAAAGAATGGACTTCAGAAAACAGAGCCTTAAGGAATGCACAGCAGTTAAGACGATGAGGGCTGAGAAAGGGTTTTAAATTTCGAGGTCATGGCTTAAAACACGGGCACAAAAGGAACCTGGCCACGGCTACAAAGGACTTTAGAAAGGGCTGGTAACAGTTACTTGTGGGCCTGGAGCCTCGCCAATTGAGGCTAAAGGGAAGAGGGAGGGGAGGACTGAGTAAGTAGAGTGGCTAGGCCAAAGACCATGGGCAGGTCACTCCAGTGCAGGAAGAGGGAAAAGATCATGGCAGTGAATATCCCAGAGAGGAGTCAGTAGTCACAGCCACAGCCTCAGATGTGTGCGTACACATGTGTGTTGTGTGTGTGTGCGTCTATGCATACCAATGTATATAAGTGTATGTTTTATGTATATATATGCACATACACACACAAATGCAAAAAGCATGGCTAATAATGAACATCAATTACAAAGCCTAATAGACAAATTTGACCTCACAGGTCACTAAGGCTTGATAAGACCCATGACGAAAATATGGCTCTAGCTGTCCAAAAGAAACATGATAGAAAAGGGGTGTGTGTGTGTGTGTGTGTATACGCATGCATGCATGCCTTCAGAAAGAGCACTGAATATTCCAAAGGCCCTCTCCCACAGGGAAATCTGGTGAGTACAGGGTGGGAGAGTATTTGGGAGAAGGCTAATGGAGGCAGAAACAGAGGGAAATTGTCACTGAAATATAGACGATATCCATTTGAGCAGAAATAGGCAATTGATGAGTATGGGAAAGAACCATCAGCCTGGATGAAGGTACAGTGGCAATGGGAGCCTTCTGGTCTGGACGCCTGCTTCAGCAGCTTTGCCAAGGGCAGAGCTGTTAACATTTTCTTGATAATTTCCATTAAAAGGTAGAGGAATCAACATGGGAAAGTGCTCATCTTTTCCCCTACTTGATTCTCACCATAAAGAACACACTGCTAGCTGTGGTAGAAATGATGGGGACCATGGGAGAGAGGCCTGTGTCCAGATTTTAGAATCTGTGACAGAGGAGAGGACAAGTGAATTAGTGTGAATGCACCCCAGCATCTGCACAAATGATCCCCAGCAGACATTCACAGAGTTTAGAGAAGAGAGGCAGGAGACAAGGACAGTTCTGCGGGGCAAGTCAGCCCATAATGGATAGGAAATTCTTAGGAATGAGAGAAACAATGTTGCTGTGATGTTCAAAAAAGGGAAGAAAGTGCAAATGACAGGAGAGGGAGCTTGATTTCAATTACAGGCAAAATTCTAGAACTTGCTATTCAAATCAGATAGGTTTGTGATGTCTTCTTGCTGCCTAGGTGGTCTGTAGTACAGTCCAATATATGCCCTCCCCTTTCAGCCTCTGTTGCCGCTTACACAAATGCTCTACCTACCCTGTTTCTGGGCCCCCCCTCCCCATTCCTGGATTTTCTCATATGAGTATGCTTTCACAATAGGTAATGCTACCATCACCTCCTCCCTGTATCTATTTTTTTATTTTTGGATATTTCTATCCAAAGTCATATTAGAATCATCATGTCCATCGCACCAAGTTTCAGTGACATTATTCCTTCCCTCCTTCTCCTCTGGATTACTAGATATAGCCTTACTGCCATTCTTCTTACATTACAGTTGTTCCCTGTTCTCTATTATCTAGAAAGTTGGATAGATACAGGAGGTTTTCTCCCATTCTCTGTTTCAGCTTAAGGTCCTTCTGTTACATATAAAAGACTCCAGGCAAATGAATCTTTAGGTATATTCTATCCTTAGAAAAAAGCCTATTCCTAGATTTCATTTGTCATTCTTATATTTATAATATTCGTATTTAAACCCTGATCCTCACATCTAAAACCCATCCTCAGACACCATCAATTGATCCAGATGCTCACATCTCAAATTTGCCCTCATCAACTGAAACCCTTCTTTTGATCAGTAGCAGTGATAAAAACAGATGTGTCTCTGTTTTTAGTTTCCTGCCTGAAACTTCAGAATTCTTGCCACACTTCCCAGGGAAGCAATTTCTGGGGAGAAGTTTCAGCCACCCTCACCACCTGCCAACCACCATTCACAGGACAGGCAAGCCAGCCTAGATGAAGCTCTGAGGCACCCCAAGGGAAAAAAAAAACACAGGAAGCAGCATGTGCCAGACAAGTCAAACCACCACAACCACTACGCTGACCACCTCTCCTCAAACCCTGATGGAGACAGCCCAGGAACCTGAACCCTAGACTCTTAGGAATAAGCAACCTTTGGGAACATAACAGTCTGGCAACATCTCTTGCAGGTGCTTAAGAACCAGAAAGAGAAAGTTTTTGCCGCCAAAGTCCTTGGTACTGCCAAATGGCTCAACATCAGAAACTGATAGAATTTTATTAGCGGGAATGGTATGAAAGAAACATTAGTATCGATTTTGTGTCTGCACCAACCTTCCATCAGGTCTCCCCATTAGAATGGGAGCTTCTTGAGAACAGTGGCTGTCTTGACTTTTCTATGTGCATCCCAAGCAATAAATGCTTCATTCATTCATTCATTCGAGGAGAAACATTCGCCTCTATGCATATCAGCAAAAGCAGATCATCATTAAACTTAAAAAGTCTTGGGAAGTTTTTTTCCAGTCTGATGCATGTTCTGGGAACAAACCCAACCTTTCTATGGTTGACAACATTTGTGAACAAAGGACTGTCCCAGGAATCCTCAGCTGGGAGTCACCGAGCATCACACCTCAAACCTCCCACCATTCCATCCTGGGATTTGTTCTCAGCTTAGCTACCTTTGGGTGTTCTCATTTACATGGCTGCATTTATGGATACATATATGTATGCATGTGTGTTCACACACAGATGTAGGAATGTGTGCACCTGTCCACAGGTGTATACATACACCATGCACATGTGTATTGTACACATGTGAATGTATGTGTATATATTCATTCTCCCAATTCTGCATTCTTCACATTTTCTTCCCAAAGCGTCCAATTTTCTGATCTACAAGAAGATTCCGGATCGAATACTTTGCTCCCACTGGTGAGAGGTCCTTCTTCCCTTTTACTGGGGCATGCTCCCAACTTCCTGACACAAATCAACATTCCCGTCTGTGATGCTGGATCCTTTATTCCTCTGAAGTTCTTCACTCATTGCTTAGAGGACCCCTTCTTTGTTTCTGATAATCTGGACTGTGCAGAGGTGCTCCTGGAGCTTCCTCACCTTCTCTTCTGGGAAAGAGGTGAGGACACATTTTAAGCTTTGGTAGAAGGCAAACATTGCAGCATCCATGAAAACCACTGCAAAATCCTCCCTGCTCTCCCTACATTCTAGAAGCAACAGCTTAGGTCCTCTGAGATTCTGACTGGTGGCTCTTGGGGTAGCTAAGGATGTCTTTTGAGGTGTGAAGTTCCGATGAGGCACATTCCCACAAGCATAAGAGCCTGGAGTGCTTAGATGTCTATGTAGGTAGATGGTGAGAACCCAAGGACCCTCATCTTGGGATACTGTTAAACAGACCAAGTGTAAATGAAGGGGAAGCACTTAGCACAGAGCTTTGCGCATCGTAATCCCATAATAAATGCTTTTTCATTCATTCCTCTGTTCATTCATTCAGGGCAACATCGGAACTCAGCGATAAATTGGTTTTCTCAATTAAAAATGGGAAATCTTAGAAATGCTGGGTCTCTTGGATTTCCAAAGCCTTAAGTGAACTGGCATCAGAAAAGCGATATGGGATTATGAATGGAATAGGGTGGAAAGCAGGCCGCTGGCCCTGACATGACTCAACTCACAACCTTTTTCTTTTTGAATTGGCCTTGTGATAGCATCAGGGGAAGGAGGGGAAAGCATGTCTATATTTTTAGTGCTTAAACTAGGGCAGTCTAAACTCAAAAATTTCATGAAGCTGGGAAGGCTTTAGTTACTAGCCCAACAACAACGGTTTGTCTATCATTTGAAGCTGAGGCTGCAGAAAGGTGGCCCAGTGGCTAGAGCCCTGGACCTGGAATCAAGAAGACCTGCGTTTAAATTTAGACTCAAGACACCTACTAGCTGTGTGACCCTGGCAAGTCATTTATTTGCCTCACTTTCCTCAACTCTAACAGCATATAATTCTTACGGTTGTCAAGAGGATCAAATGAGATAATATTGATAAAGAATTCAGCACAGTGCCTGACACACAGTAGGCCTATATAAATGATTATTCCCTCCCCCACTCTCTTCCTAGTGTTTACTAAGTACCTACTATATGCAGGGTATGGTAAATTTTAGTAGGAGAAGATCATTGCGGAAGACTGGCCAGGAGGCAAATTTCTTTTTCTTTTCTTTTTTTTTTTTTTTGGCCGTAGCAACTCATGAATTCATCTCTGTTAGGGAAGGGACTGTGATCTCTGTGGGGAGAGGAGTACTCAGACTGGTACAACACAGATTCAGATCATTTAAAAAAATAGTTTATTTTGAACACTCAAGAAATACAAACAGGCAAACAGAATACAGAAGTGATCTCAAAATGAAACTGCAAAATTCAAACCATTTACATTTCGATTTTAAAAAGCAAAGTACCATATAAACATTAATATTAACAATCTATTTGTTCGCTATGCTCTTGCAATTTCTTTTCCGTCTCTGCATATATACCTTTCCTGTGGTCATCCTTAACTTAAAAAAAAATGCAGCCATAGGCTTTGAGAGCAAGGAATAACAGAGGGCTGAGGGCTGCGACTGATATCCCTATATCATAAGCCCCCGGAGGAGCCCTTCAGCACACTACTCCCCACACCTACACTGTTTTTTCTATAATTTGAACTGATTTCCATATTACAGTGTTTTATAGTTTGAGAGTTCATCACGTTTCATAAATTCTCCTGACAGTCTTATCAATTTTTTCCTCCCACATGAATTCTCTTATGGCTTCAGAAAACACTGGCATTCTTTAAACGTCTGAAAGAATTACTTTATGAATGGCCAGTCCTGGCACCTTTATATGGGGGAGCTCATTAATTACCTCTTTTCTCCTTCCGAGACTGATCTGTCATTAGCTACTTGTTTGGCTAGCTCAGACATTTGCCATTTATGTAGATGTTGATGCATTTAAGTTGTCATATAATAGTTTCAGGTCATTTTCTTAATTTCTTTTACCTTTTTACACCTATAATTTATCTAACTTTTCTAATTTGGTAATTTGATTTTCATCAGTTTTTGTTTAATTTTTTTTTTTGCTATGCAATGGGGTTAAGTGACTTGCCTAGGGTCACACAGCTAGTGTTATATGGCTGAGGCCAGATTTGAACTCAGGTCCTCCTGACTCCAAGGCCATTAGTAATCTAACCACCGTGCCACCTAGCTGCCCCCAATTTTCATCAATTTTTAAAATGTTTTCTTGACACCTTTACATTTTTATAACAATCATTTGTCAATATACACTTCACACACATGTAAGCCACCTCCACATACCCTCCCTCATAATAGAGAAAATCCATCAAGTGAAACAGGCCAATACAGTAACTTTGTCTGTGTATGCCATGTTTGGGATCCACAGTCCACTGACTTCTCTGCTAAGTGGAGAAAGTGTTTCTTCATCAGAACTCTGGAATCGGTATTGATCCTTTCACGAGTTCAATAGCCTTTTTGTGTTTTACTCGAGAGAACTGTAGTGACTGTATACATTTCTGCTTATTCTTTCTTCACTCTACAATTTCATTCATCTCCCCAAGCTTCTCAGAACTATTCCCATTTGCCATGTCCTACAACTATCATATTCCATTAAATCAGTATTCTGCAGTATTGCCTTGTCTAACCAATTTGTTTCCAGTTTTTTGTTTTGTTTTGTTTTTTACTACCACAAAATGTTGTTTCTGATATTTTGGTATATATGTAACCTTTTCTTCTGCACAGTAGTGGGGTTCACTGGGATCAAAGGGAATGAGTAATTTAGTAACTTGTCTGGAATAAACCAAATTGTTTTCCAAAACCACGGTACCAATTCCTAACACCACCAACAGTGCACTCAGTGTGCCCGATTTCCCACAAGGACAATTTTCTCCTTTGACAGTTTGCTGGGTATGAGGTCAAATTTCAGAAATGTTAACTTGCATTTTTTTTATTAGTGGTAGCTTAGAGCATCTTCCCATTTGTTTTGATGATAGTTTTCTCCTTCATTTGATGCCTCTGCCCACTTATCAACTGGAGAATGGCCCTGCATTTTCTGTCTGAGTCAACTCTCTACTTATTTTGGAATTTAAATGATCAAATGTTTGAGAAAGATGGTTTTCCATTCTGTAGCTTCTCTTATTCTATTTTGTTCATGAAAAGTTGTCAACTTATCATTGAAATTGAATATTTTATCCCACACTGGGGACAGAATTCTCTTTGAGGTTTTCAGTGAAATGACTGGCTTATTAAATGGCCCAATTTCAAGGGTCTGAGATAACTGGTTTTTAGTGGACACAGATTCTCACTTGGGGATGGGAGCTTGGAAGCCTTTTGGGCCTAGAGAATCTCAAGATGGTGCACAGACTTGGAAAAGACTGACCTATAGTTTAGAATATGATTAGTCTAGGTTCTATACCAGGGTACACATTGGGTTTGAACACGTATTGGGAGTTGGCAATCTTAATCCTCACATTGTTTGAACTTTGGAGTTGTTCTAGGATCTTTTTTGTGGGTTATTTACTTTTTGGAGCTAACTGAAATATTAATTTTGAACTCTGGTATTCTAAGTCCTTGTAAGTGTTAAATAAATAACAGGATATATAAGAAAAGAGGGTCAAGAATTCTCTCCCACTTTGGACCTAAAGGATGAAAAAACCCAAATGTGAAGGTAACCCACAAATGTTAAATGACAACAATGCCCAGAGATTCCTAAAGATGCATCTCCTTTTTTCCCCTTGTGTATTTCCCTAAGTGTATAGAACCAGACTTGTGTGTGCCTGTCATGAGGAACATTAACTATGTGTTTTTACTATAGATATGGATAGTATTAGTAAAATGCCCAATGTTTATATCATGCTTTACATTTCACAGAAGTTCTTTCCAGACATGATCTTGGAGCCTCACAACAATCCTGTGAAATGTGGGTGCTACTGGGATTAACCCCAATTTACAGATGAGGAAACTGAGGCTCTGGAAGATTAAGTGATTTGTTAATGGTACCCACATCAGGGGCAGGATATGAACTCAGGTCTCCCTGAAGCCAGGCCAGCTCTTTATCTACTATACAGTACCACTTCTCTCAACATGAGTCTTCCCATTATCAGGATGTTTGTCTAATTGGACAGTGACTGTAATACTGTCCATGATTCTTTAATAGAGAATCCTCAATCTAGCACTGAGAGCTCTCCAGTGTGGCTCCCACCTACCTCTGGAATCTTATTTTATGGTCCCCATCATACATGCTCCATCCCAGACAAATTGGCCTGCAACGTGTTGGGTATGCACACTATTCTCTGTCCTGAATGCATGCCTTTACAAAACTGAGGTCCCCTGTCTAGAATGCCCTCTATCCTCATTCCCTCTTAAAAGAGATTTCTTAGCTTCTTTCAAAGCATGGTCTGCATACCACTTCCTTTAAGAAGCCTTTCCAGATTACCTCCATTATTAGTTTTCTTTCCAACTTGAAATTAAATTGCCTATCTTTTCTGTCTTCTTCCTTATCTACATGCAGAGACCCTTCCATGGTAGAAGGTAAGCTCCCTGGAGGGCAGGAACAGCTAGTTTTCCTTATAACTCCAGCCTCTAGCATGAAGTTCTGTGCATAAACAGTATGTATTCAACAAATGTTTGTTCAACTGAAAATACAGTTTCAAAAAGGGGAAAGACTTTCCCACAATCAGCAAAATCATAAAACTACTCTCTGGGATGACTTCTTTGATGGTAAACAAGGAAGAAGTATTGATTAATGGAGTTTCACACAACTCTGAATTCTCTCAAGTACAGTAAGATTTGTGCCCTGTGCAAAGACCTTTCCAAATTCACAACCTTCAATTTCCTGTCTCTGTGCCTGGTAAGCTCTTTTTCCTCACTGACACCTCTTGAAAAGCCTAGCTCTCTTGAAAGCTCAGCTCAAGGACCACATCCTGTAGGAGGCCTTTCCTGATTTCTTCAGTGGCTAAGTTGCTTCCAGCCCCAGAAATTACATTGTATTTAATTATCTGTATACATATTGTTCCTTCCAATAGAATGTAAGCCCATTGAGGTCAGGGATTGCATCATTTCAGTTTTTGTTTCCCCAGTGTCTAGCACAGTGCCTTGCATAAAGTAGGCTAATAAATGTTCATTAAACTGAATTGGACTGAATTCACTATATTTATAACGCTTCTCTCCAGTATGGATTTTCTGATGTCTTATAAGGTCTGTGCTCCAGCTGAAGGCCTTACCACATTGATTACATTTATAAGGCTTCTCTCCAGTATGGATTTTCTGGTGTCTAATAAGTTCTGTGCTCCTGCTGAAGCCCTTCCCACACTGATTACATTCATAAGGCTTCTCTCCAGTATGATTTCTCTGATGTACAGTAAGGGAAGAGCTACGGGTAAAGGCCTTCCCACATTCATTACATTTAAATGGCTTCTCTCCAGTATGAATATTCTGATGTCTGATAAGGTCTCTACTCCAGCTGAAGGCCTGCCCACAGTGACTACATTCATAAGGCTTCTCTCCAGTATGAATTCTCTGATGTACAGAAAGGGAGGAACTCCGGATGAAGGCCTTTCCACATTCACTACATTTGTAAGGCTTCTCTCCAGTATGAATTTTTTGATGTCTAATAAGGTCAGTGCTCCGTCTAAAGGCCTTTCCACATTCACTGCATTCATAAGATTTCTCTCCAGTATGAATTCTCTGATGATAAATAAGAGATGAATGCTGGATGAAGGTTTTACCACATTCATTACATTCATGAGGCTTCTCTCCAGTATGAATTCTCTGATGTACAGTAAGGTTTGCACTCTGCCTGAATGCCTTCCCACACTGATTGCATTCATAAGATTTCTCTCCAGTATGAATTCTCTGATGGCAAATAAGGGATGAGTGTTCACTGAAAGCCTTGCCACATTCATTACATTTGTGGGGTTTTTCTCCAGTATGAATTCTCTGATGTACAGTAAGGGATGAGCTCTGAGTGAAGTCCTTCCCACATATATTACATTTATAAGGCTTTTCTCCAGTATGAATTTTCTGATGTCTAATCAGGTCTGTGCTGCGCCTAAAGGCCTTCCCACATTGATTACATTCATAAGGTTTCTCTCCAGTATGAACTCTCTGGTGGTAGGTAAGAGATGAGTGATGGATGAAGGCTGTACCACATTCATTACATTTATGGGGTTTCTCTCCAGTATGAATTTTCTGATGATAAATGAGCTTCGTATTCTGGATAAAGGCCTTCCCACATTCATTACATTTATAAGGCTTTTCTCCAGTGTGAATTCTCTGATGTCTAATAAGATCTGTGCTCCAGCTGAAGGCCTTCCCACACTGATTACATTCATAAGCTTTCTCTCCAGCATGAAATCTCTGATGGTAAGTAAGGGATGAGTGATGCATGAAGGAAATACCACATTCATTACATTTATGGGGTTTCTCACCAGTATGAATTTTCTGATGGTAAATAAGTTTTGTGCTCTGGCTGAAGGCCTTCCCACACTCATTACACTTATAAGGCTTTTCTCCAGTGTGAATCTTCTGGTGTCCAATGAGGTCTGTGCCCCAGCTAATGACTTTCTCACACTGATTATTTTCATAAGCTCTCTCTCTGTTAGTCTTTCTATGAAAATGAATAAGGTCTGACTGATAACTGAAGCATTTCTCCCATTCATTACAATTAGAAAATGTGTTCCCTGAGTTGATTTCTGTATGTTTAACTAGGTTTGAATATTGCCTGAAGTTCTTTTCATCTGTATCACACTCATGTTGACTTTCTCTGACAGGATCCTTCTGCCGTAGAGAAATGAATGACTCCAGACTGAAGCTTCTCCCAAATTTATGACATTCTTTACTTTGCCCTTTAGGAAGAGTTCTCTGGGAGGTAACTTTCAAGTGCCCTGAATGACTCTCCTGGTTTCTTTGCTTCATTTCTAACTTGACATCACATTCCCAACCTTCTCCCAATTTGAAGTCCTGGGGACTGTGTCTCTCCTGCGATGATTCATCCATAGAAATGGCCATCTCTGGAAGAGATTCACTGGTTTCAGGCCTAGTCTCCCAATCTGAAGGAAATAAAAAATATAAATATATCCTTTTCCCCTTACTGGCAGAAAGTAAACTGCTTTACACTTTGTCTCACTTTCTATTTCCTTAATCAAGAATAACCTCCAAACTTGACATTAGCTCACATTTGTAGTTATTTTCTTTCCAAAGAACTTTCACACATATTATTACCCTATTAGATTATAACAACAAGACTGTTATCTAAGTAGGGCAGGTATTATAACCTTATAAATATGAGGAAACTGAGGCTCTCTGTAGTTAAGTGACTGTTAAAAAATAAAGTTTTCAGACACCACACTAAGAGGGACAAATTAAGTTCCAGTATCCAAGCTAAAAGTTTTACGTCCCACTGAACTAAAAAGATTGGTGACTGATGAGATAGTTAAGCTTTAAGAAATCAGCATCAAAGAACTGAAGACTAAGCAGAGACATATCATAATTTGGAAAGAGAAAATTCTGAAAACTACCAAAAACAAGTTTTGACAGAGATGATTAATTTCTAAAAATAGCTTACAAAACAGACGGTTTGCAAATAATGGAAAAGAACTGGTACAAACAAACCATGTCACATCCAGCTATTTGTCCCTGATGATGGGCCTTTTAGCCATTACATGAGAAGAATAAAGTAGGTATAACATGCACAGACTATGACATCATATACGATAAAATCTTTCATGCTATTCTGGCAGATGAAGAAAGTAGAAAGTGGTTTGGATATTGTATGCTAAAACAAATCATAAACTGTTTAAGCTATAATGCCCAAAGGGTTTTGATTAATGGGTTGATGCCAACCTTGAGTGAGGTATCTACTATCACATGGACTTGGCTGTGTCCTATTTGACAGTTACCAATGACTTCAAAGAAGACATGCTTTTGATATTTGCAGATGACACAAGGCAAGGCAGATATCTAATACACTGGAGAACAACAAAAACAAAAAGGTTTCAAAGACTATTTGAGACAGGTATGGTTCATACACGAAAAAGAGATAACATTAACAAGCATAAACCAAAGGTAGTCCCGAGAAAGCATTGGCACAAGTACTAGACGGGGCAGAAGTGGTTTAGTAACCACACATATGGGAGGGGAGGTCTGGAACTTTAGTTAAACCTCAATAAGAGGTAAGATACTTGGTGAATTTGGCTAATTGCAAGCTCAACACGAGGTTTTTTAAAAAGGAAGATCAATTACAAAAGCATCAGTTCCATGGCAGTTTAGCACTTCTGGATAATGACAAACCACTTGCTTTCCCAGGAGAACTAGAGAAGCCTAGATGTGGAAACAAGGTCTGATGAGAAAGAACCCAAAGTAGGAAGGACAACAGGTTAATGGACCAGAGAACCCAAGAGGGGACACATCATCGTCATCTTTAAATACATGAAAAACAGTCCCGTGTCCTTACAAACAGCTTGCAAATAAACTGTGCTGCCCATACACAAAGCTTTTTTCAGTTTTAATTCTGTTAATTTGGCTTTCTTCTCTCATTTTTGGACCAAATTAGCTAATTGTCAATTGTATTGGTCTTTTAAAAACAACTTTATCAACTAAATATTATTTTATTTTCAATTTTCTATCTTCTGATTTTCAAAACTTTTATACTTATTTGGGATTTTCTAATTTTCCAGCTGAATATTCAAACATTTTTTTCATGTTTTTGAATGCATTAATAAAATATTTTCTTCTTAGAAGGCCTATGTTAGTAGTAACACATAAATTCATCTATGCTACACCACTGCTATAATTTCCATTACTGTTTCCAAAGTCTGTTCTTTGACCCTATCATTTTTAACATAATATTATTTAAATTCCACTTAAGCCTGGGCCTTTATGCATATCTCCCTATTTGATTATGGCCTTTAAAGGATGCATTTTATATTTCTTCAGTCATTTAGTCACAAATCTTTCATGCTTGAATGTAATCAATTTTTGCCATGGTGCTATCCAATGCTGAAAAAAAGGCAAACTTCTTAAAATTCTCATTCAGTAATAATGCACTTCTATTGTATCTTGGGTTTCTAATATTTTGTTCAAATGCGTACTTTTAAAACTTTCTATCAAGCTTATCTAAGGGTGTTAGATACATATTAATCACTTACAACTACTGCCCATTTAAAAGTCTCTGTAATTCAGTTAATTTTTTTTCTTCACCTACTTTAGTGCTATCATAATTTGGTACACATAATTAAGGAGTCTCATTATCTAAGCCTTGAAGTATAATGCAGTTTCCCTTTCTCTTATAACATCATTATTTCTTGTTCCCTTGTCCAATATCCTGGTTACCATAACTGATTTTCTCAGACTGAAGTGTAATCAATTCTAATAGAACTCCTCATTTTAAGTCTTTGTGAATATTTTTAACTATGTTTCTTTTATATTCCAAATGTTAGGTTTTATTTTTCTAATCCATTTGGCCATCATTTTAATATTATAGGAGGGTTTACCCTGTTAACATAAATTTTGATCTTAATTATTTCCGCCATCAAATTGTGTTACATTATGATCCTCTACTCCTTCCTCATCCTTGTCACTGCAGTCTGCTTTTACTGCTATAATGTGCTTTATTTTGCCATGCCCACCCTAGACAAGGATGTGGTTTAGATCATGCTCTCCTCCAAACCGTATCTTTAATTCACCAGTGGCACCTCATTTTTTCATAAATACATTTCATTCATGCTTTTTGTACTTACATCAGTTTCAAGATACACCCTCCCCAATGAGCCCTCGCTTGTACCAAGGAATAATAGTTAAGCAAAACTAAACTTCAGAATTGTTGGGTCTGACAATCTATACACAACACTATATAGAATGAAGTCTCCTATTTCTCTACCAAGAGGAAGAAGGGAGGTATCATTTATTTCTCTGGGACTGAACTTGGTTATTACAATAATCCATGCTTGGACCATCTCTTCTTTGCTCTAGACGTGCCCTGCCCTCTTCCCACTTTCACTTACCAGCATGCCCTTTCTCCTAACTGCGATGTCCTACGCACAGAAATGGAAGCTCTCTATCCTATTTCCCAAATTGAAGCCTTTGTCTATGATAGCGGTAGAAAATCCAGTTGAAATATCTATTAGAAGCTGTAGCCATCCCTATCAAACACCTAGCTGTTGTCTACACCAGAAGAAAATACTGTGTGGGACAGAACCCTGGTGTAACCACCATGAACTGAGAGGAGGAAGAAGAGCCGTGTGTAGCCTGGCACTGGGTCTGGCAGGTGCCTCCCGCAGACTCATCAGTCTCCTGCTTCCTGTCGTACCCGGGCTCCTCTTTTCTGACTGGGTGTCTTCCATATCTCTGGACAGCACTCCCCTTGCTCGTCTTTTTGGGTGACCACAACACTGACATATCCTTGCTCCACCTCCTCAAGTCCAAATTAAGCTACAAATGTCTTCTCTTGAACAAGGTGAAGACGCACCAACTGAAAACCTGCTGCTCTCTAATGTCTCACAGAGAAAGGTTTAAGTCTCCCAAAGCGGCCGCAGCAGACGGAGAGACCTCACCTTCAAGATACACCATTTTTTAGGCACACTTTCTCTAGGGTACTTGAAAGGCCAAGGTCTCCCTCTGCATCTGGGGTCATCTCCAGTTGTCCTGATCTATGTCTTGCCACTGGACTCAGACAGCCCTGGGGGAGAGGACACACAGCTCTGACTCACTTAAATCCAGTTCACTGCCAAGTGAAAATATCACTCTTCTGATGTCATCAGTCCTCTTCGAGAATGAAGGACAAACAATAACAATCTTTTTGAACATCCAGTTCCTGGCCTGGCTCTCTTGGTTCCCTGGGAAAACACTTAAGGAAGGTGGTGCTCACAAAATATAAGTCTACCCTCACTGGACACCATCTAGCTCTTTCGATTTCAACAGACCCATTTACTTTCCTTAAAATTATTTTAACATTGCATTTGCATGCAAAAGTCTGCCCAAAAGCTATCTATAATCATACCAAAAATGCTCTAAATCACTATTGATCAGAGAAATGCAAATTAAAACAACTCAGGTACCACCTCACACCTGTCAGAGTGGCTAATATGACAAAAAGGGAAAATGTTGGATGTTAGAGGGGATGTGGGAAAGCTGGGGCACTAATGTACTGTTAGTGGAGTTATGAACTGATTCAACCATTCTGGAGAGCAATTTGGAACCATGCCCAAAGGGCTACAAAACTGTGCACACTCTTTGATCCAGCAACACTACTACTAGGTCCATATCCCAAGGACAACCAAAAAAAAAAGGAAAAGGACCTACATGTACAAAAATATTTATAGCAGCTCATTTTGTGGTGTCTAAGAATTGGAAATCAAAGGGATGCCAATCAACCGGGGAATGGCATATTATTGCAATGGAATATTATTATAAGAAATGACAAGCAGGATGATTTCAGAAAGACCTGGAAAGACTTAGATGCGCTGATACATAGTGAAGTGAACAGAACCAGAAGAATGTTGTACACAGTAACGGCAATATTGTTCAATAAAGAACTGTGAATGACTCAACTATTCCCAGCAATGCAATGATCCAAGACAATCTCAAAGGACTAATGATGAAGCATACTATCCACCTCCAGAGAAAAAACTGCTATTGATTGAATACAGACTGAAGCATACTATTTTTCACTTTCTTTGATTTTTTTTTCCTTTTATTCGAATCTTCTTGTACAACTGACTAATATGGAAACGTTGTGCATCATTGCACATGTATAACTTGTATCTGATTAATTACTGTTTAAGGGAAGAGGGAGAAGAGAGAGAAAAAGGGAGGAATAGAATTTGGAACTCAAAACTTTAAATAAAAATGTTAAAAAACTGGAGGAAAAAAGTCCCTGTCCAACTCTGCCTGTAAAGAACAAAAAGAATGCTTCGAAGTCACTGATTCTATTAACTGTCCTTCTCACTACCAAGATGAGGGAGGGTTTCATCATTTATTTCCCTGGGACTCAGACTGGTCAATACAATAATCTCCAAGTTTGGTTCTCCCTCACTAACCCCAGCCCCGACCTCAGTGATTATGCTCATATTTGAAGAAGGCTATCCTGTGTTTCATGACATCATTTGGTTTTTGGTAGATCATGTCCCAAACTTATTTTTCACTTATTGCTGTTGATAAATAATCCTGAGTGACTTATATTGGAGTGGCTGATATGGGAGAGCTCTCCTAGGCATTAAGAGATATTCTATCCCAGAAGTTACGAACCTCAGAAATTCTACTTCTAAGTAGGTGCCTCTATCCTGTGGAGTCCACTGATCTCTGCCCTCTAGTTCAAACACTCTGGGGTGAATTTTATGATTCCCTGAAATATTATCTTCAGCTCTTTTTTATATTGCTTTTCTGGAAGAAAAATGTTTTGTAGATTCTCTTGTCAAGCTCTGTCTTCAAGTCAGCTGTCTTGACTTGTTCTCAGTTGTTTCTCCAATCTTTCTGTCTTCTGACTTTGCTCTAATTTGTCATCTACCACTAGAATTCTGAGCTATTCCTTTTCCATTTTCTTTTTCAGTGCCCTCTACATTAGTAAAACTTGCAATACCTTTCATTAAACTCCCTATACTATCCTTCAATTCCTTTGAATTCAGCCACTCTAGGGGTTCTTATAACCAACCATTCCATTTCCTCTGGGGGTTTTAGCTAGTCCTTCTACAGAATTAATCTCTTCTGAAGCTCTCTTTACACCGTTAACTTTTGTTTGCTTTGCATTCTTAGTTGGGTTTTTTTTTCTATAGTGATTTTTTTTTATAAAGACATCTTTCCCCCCCATCTTTCAGGCAGTTTTTAGTTGTATATGGTGGGTTTCTTACTGTTTTGAGGTAATGAGAGACATCAGGGCTTTAGTTGGGATCTCTTGCTCAGCCACATTACTGAAAATCTCATGATTTGTTTGTCTCTGCATTATTTTGTATCCTGCTTCTCTATTTATTTTAATTCTTCCTACTGGTGCTGAACAATTGTCTTGTGTATCCAAAATTCTACAGAAGGAAACAGTCAAAACCAAACAAAATCCTAGCCATACCCTCACATCACACCTTTACGTTAACAGCTTTTAGGAAAACAAAACTGAAACATCTTTCTGTTGTCTAAGAATGTAAGTTAATAACGAAAATATTATTCAGACTGGATTCCCTTGACATACGAGCTGTTTCTTCCTGGCTACTTACAAGTTTTTTCTCTTTAACCTGGAAGTTAGTGCTGATAATGATAACAGTAAGTATAAACAATAAGATTTACTAATATTATACTTGATATTTTACATGCCTAGAAAATCTAGTTTCAAGTTGCACATGTCTGGACCATGGTTTAAACTACAGTAATGGTGGGCTCCTACTCAGGGATAGTAATAAGGGAAGGTAAGAATGTATTTGCTTAATGTCTTACAAACCTAATAAAAAGGAATTTAGACTGAAAAAGGGAGGAAAAGGGTGGACATTCACCAATCTAGATAGCATAAAGAATAACTATAATATGTAAAGAGTAATGGTTGTGACATAGACATTCACAAGAGATAAAACCCAAGAAAGGAAGTTAATAAAATCCATGGCCTCAGATGCCATGGAAAGTATAGGTAACAGGCAAAATGAACTAGAGAGATAACCCCAGGAGGAAAGCCTGACTTGTTCAGAATCACTGAGACTTAACAGGATGAGATCCATGACCAGAGACTATGGCTCTGAAATGGTCTGACTTATTTGGAAAAACACACACACACACACACACACACAAAACTTGAGAAATAAAAGATGGGGATGTGGTAGAAGTGTTTATCAAGATATACTTCAAGCAGAAAATCCAAGAAGTATAAGAGGAGAGTATGGTAGAGAGCATTCGGGCAAAGATCAATGTAGTCAGAGATAAGCAATATTGTCATGAGAGCAGACTACAGAATGAATATATTCTAGACAGGAAGAATAAATTATCAGAAAAGAGATGCTCAGGACTTGTGGAAAGGACCTGGAATTAACTGGGGACTCTGGGGGAGTTTTCCCTCACACGCAGAGCAGCAAATGCTTGAGTGACTTGCTTTCATAAGCACACCCTACCAAAGGTGGTGGAGAAGGGCCAAAGGGGAATCCTCTTCTGCAAGAAGAGACTGACAGGGTGGAAACGATGGGAATCCTGGGGGTTTGTGAAACGACTGTTCCACGTTAGAGGTGGTGAGAGTGAAAAGACAGAAAATCCAGTAGTAGCCTGACATGCCTCCTAGCTTTTGAGAGATGGAATTCCTAGCATGAAAGGGTACACACAGTAGCTTAGAGCTCAAGATGACGGAGGTGCACAGAGGATGGAAACAAGGTCAAGGAATGGAAAACAACCATCACAGAGTGTCACCATCCTGACATTTCAGGAGGGCTAAGGTTTGAAAGCTAAGGTTGGTAAGAAAAGTGAAAGAGAAGTGGGTTAGTTGTATCAGGGAGTAGAGGACAACCTTAAGAAGAAAAAAAAAAGAATATAGGGCACCACAGCTCAGAATGGATGGGACAGTCATAAACGATCCTAAAATGCTGAGTTGCTAAATTTCTCATTAGTCCATTTTCTCTGCCAAGGACCATGATCTTTGGATTGGAAAGAAAAGAATGAATGTGGCCCATAGGGCCAGGATAAATGAAGAAATAATGAGAGAAACAAGTGCCCTTGATGACTTGGTCAAGATGAACTACCTACTTGGGTATTAAAAGCTATAGATATAGTTGGTGTCAATAATTCTTTAAAAGTTATTTTTTAAAATGTTCACATTAATTATTTTCGAATATAGGCTGCTCTCTCAGTGAGCCTTCCCTTCCTAAGAGGGAAAAGCAGTTAAGCAATGTTTGATGATCTTAAGAAAATCATGAATTCATGGAGAAATATTGTAGGACTGGAGAAGAAATATCCATTTTTTTTAAAAGGAAGAGACTAGAGTCTAAAAATTATAGGCTGACATTAATTTGGCAAAATTCCAAAAGAGAACATTAAGAGGGCAGATAATAATTTACATCTAGAAGGGAAGAATGTTAACAAAGTGTTGGCCACAACGTATTTTCCGCCAATAAATCCTACCAAACTATCCATATCTCCTTTTCTCACAAAGTCATTAGACTGGCGCATCAGGAGAATGCTTTATAGAATTTACTTAGATATTAGCAAAGAATTTGAGAAAGAGTTTTATGCTATTCTTGGAGAAAAGACAGAAACACATGCTAGACAGCTTGATGGATATGAAAGAAGTTGAACGAAAAGACCTACGGGGCACTTGTAAAATGGATCAGTATCAGTGCATGAGGTCTCCACGGATCAGGGCTTGTTTGGGTATCATTCAACATTTTTGTCAAAGTCTCAGATAAAATCACAGATGGGCTGCTTACCAAGTTTGTTGGCGACACAAAGTGGAGAGAGAGTTAGCACAGGATGACAGATTCCAAAATCAGAGGATAAAATTTAGTAGGGATAAATGTAAGGAGTTTGCTAAATTCTTTTCACATCGATTACATTCTGACGGTTTCTCTGAAGTTGAAGACTAGTGGTAAACAAGGAATAAAGGCTGGTTGGAAGCTTATCTGTGTTTATTAATTTACAAAGTTTTGGTCAACTATTCAATTCTCTGATGTACATTACAAGTTTGTGCTCTGACTGATTACATTTCCACATTCATTACAAGATTTCATCACCAGTGTGAATTTTCTGATGTCTAATAAGTTCTGTACTCCAGCTGAAGGTTTTCCCACACTGAATACATACATGAGGCTTCTCACCAATATGAACTTTCTGATGTTTAGTACGATCTATGCTACACCTGAAGGCTTTCCCACACTGGTTACATTCATATGGTTTCTCTCCAGTATGAATTCTTTGATGCACAGTAAGGGATGAGCTGCGGGTGAAAGCCCTCCCACATCCATCACATTTATAAGGCTTCTCTCCAGTGTGAATTTTCTGATGTCTAATGAGGTCTCGATTCCAACTGAAGGCTTGACCACAGTGATTACACTCATAGGGTTTTTCGCCAGTATGAATCCTCTTATGTACAGTAAGGCATGAACTCTGGCTGAAGGCCTTCCCACATTCATTACATTTATAAGGCTTTTCTCCAGTATGAATTTTCTGGTGTCTAATGAGGTCTGTGCTCCGGCCGAAGGCCTTCCCACATTGATTACATTTGTATGATTTCTCTCCGTTGTGAATTCTCTGATGGTATGTAAGGGATGAATAATGTATGAATGCTTTGCCACATTCGCTACACTTATGGGGTTTTTCACCAGTATGAATTTTCCGATGATAAATCAGCTTTGCATTTTGGCTAAAGGCTTTCCCACATTCATTACATTCATAAGGCTTCTCTCCAGTGTGACTCCTCTGATGGTAACTGAGCTTTGTCTTCTGGCTAAAGGATCTGCCACATTCATTACACTTAAAGGGCTTCTCTCCAGAATGAAGTTTTCGATGGTAAGTAAGTGATGAGTAGTGCATGAAGGCTTTACCACATTCACTGCATTCATAAGGCTTCTCTCCAGTATGATTTCTTTGATGGGCAATGAGTTTTGTGCTCTGGCTGAAGGCCTTCCCACATTCATCACATTTATAAGGCTTTTCTCCAGTGTGAATTTTCTGATGTCTGTTAAGATCTGTGTTCCAGTTAAAGGTCTTCCCACATTCACTACATTCATAAAATTTCTCTCTGGTATGGTTCTTATGATACTGAGCAACATCTGACTGATTATTTAAAGATTTATCATGTTCTTGATATGAACATCCCTTCCCTGAGGCACGTTTAATTAGGTCTGAATATTTTCTGAAGTGCACACCACTTGTATCACATTCATGGTGATTCCGTCCCAAAGGAACTCTCTGCCAAAGAGACAGCACTGAGCCCTGACCCAAGTCTCTCCCAAATATTTGATGTTCGTGGCCTTTCCCTTTGTGGGGAGTTTTCTTGGGTGCACCTGCTAATTGTCTGGAAGGAATCCTCTGGTTCCCCTGCTTCTTCTCTAATTTGAAGTCCCAGGGCCTGTCGCTCTTGAGTCTCTCCCAGGACGATTCTTCCATAGAAATGCCCAGCTTTGGAGGAGACTCTGTGGCTTTAGGCCTAGTCTCCCAATCTGAAGGAAATAAAAAATATAAATATATCTTCTTCACTCTTGTGGGACCAAGAACATTGATTTACATCTAGCCTCAACTTCTGTCTCCTCAAGGAGACTCTTCCAACTTGAAAGGGCAGAATTAGCAACAGTAAAATGCCATTCCTTCACATTCACAGGTGATTTACTTTACAAAGAGCTGTCACACAAATCACAGCTTTGGATCCTATCACATGCCTGTGGTACAGGAAGAGTGGAAGCATGATTCCATTTTACAGATGAGGAAACTGAGTTGGAAAATACTTAAGCAACACCCTAGGGTCACACTGTTGGGGAAGGCTGAGCTGGGACTACAACTCGGATCCTGCGGCTGCTGATCCGGCGCTCTCTCCTCGAGACAGCGCACATCACGGAGAGGAAAGTGAAGCCCAAGGAGTATCTCATCAGTCTGAATGAATCCAAGCATCCAGACTCCAAATAATGAACTTGCAAGGGACTCAAGACACCAGGGCACGATAAGAGGAAACAGTTACTGGTCCCTCAGCAATCAGGGCACGCAAGTGAGGTACAGAGGACCCAAAGCCAGGCTGGGGAGCTGACACACTGGACAAGAGAGTGGCTACCAAGATCACCCCAAAACACGTCCTGCTTATGCCTAAGAAAGAAAACATCAACAGCAGCCTGGGTCCTGCAGACACACAGAAGAAGCCTGTGCTTGCATGTCTCAGGGGTTCCCCACGGCCTCCGAGTTACAGCACAGATGCCACTGATGTTTCGAGCCTTTCCTCGCTGGTCTCTGGCCAATCTTTCCAGCTTTATTGCACTTTCCTCCCTCTTCTACCCTTGTGCCCCCCATGGTCTGGACAAACAACTGCCTCCTCGCTATTCCCTGGGCACAGTGTCCCACCCCTCATCTCCCTGCGGGAATGGAACTGGACTCCTCCATTCCCTACAGGCTTTCCTTTCCTTGGGGGCCACATGCTATAAAAAGCCCTTTCTGACGTCCCATCCAGTGGTTACTACTGTCCCTTTCCACCCCATTAGTCTGCGTTTACCTGTTAGCATCCGTATAGTTCCCATCCACCACCTACTTTAAGGCAGAATGTGAGAAGGTCCTTGAAGGCCAGGGAGATGCTAGCAGAGTGCCTGGCATAAGATGAGCACTTGACAAATGCTTAGAGCATGGATGAATGCATCCATGACAATGACAAAAAAAATGACAATTTTCACTAAACTCTTACTATGTCCATGTGTGACTGGTGGAAGGAGCTCTCAAAGAGGCCAAAGACACAGAGCCCACCATTAGAGAGACCCCAGTTGTCCCTCTCTCTGGCCAATGCCAGACCCGACCAACCACCTCTTGAACACAGTGCCCAGAACACCACTGGAAGGCCCCAACACCCTCCTTGAGAGGATTAGACTCGGATAATGGGCACAGCCAAGGATCTGAAGATGAGGCACCCACAGGACAAATGGCTGAAAACTCAGGGGGGAGTGAGCCCAGAAAGAAGAAAGAACACCTCTCAACATCTGAAAGACAGGAGGCCCCTACTTGGGGGTGCCCTCTGGCTGACAAAGGACTTTCACACAGAATACCCTGGGTGCTGTTAATGCTAATGCACGCTGACCTCCACAGAGAGCTCCAAGGCTTGACCCGACTTCCACCGCCATGGTGGCTGCTCCCACTGTATAAATGAGACCAGCTGGTCTCACAGCCATCAACGGCTGGAGACAGGAGCGAGCTCCTCCCAGGAGGGTGTGCACCCATGCTCACAAGACTCAGCTGGGGGGCAGGGCAGGCACAGCCACCCCAAAGAAAACACGGACTCCACTTCCGGGTCATCTCAGCCTTCACCTTCCTTCTGCTCAGTACAGATCACATGCTACACATCATCTGTCCCCATTGGCAGTCTGAGATCTGAGCTAACTGACCTGCCCAAGGTCACACAAGGAGTCAGAAGGGAGAATGGTGCTGATGATAAGAGCAAGTATATTACCACAACTCTGGAAGGAAGGTGCTATTATCATCCTCATTTTACAAATGAGGAAACCGAGGAACACAGAGGTTGGTGACTTGCCCAAGGCCACAGAGTTAGGAGGTGTGTGAGGCTGGATTTGGATTCAGGTCTTCCTGACTCTACGCCCAGGGCTCCATCCATCATACCAACAGCTGCACTATGACAGAAGCCCATGTCCAAGTCAAGTCTGGTGCTCTTGTAAGTGCACTGGGCCCCCTCTATACAGAGAGTACGTGCACCCCTGGGGCAGCTGGGGACCAACCAGTTTCAGTTCCATGAGAAGCTCCAACCAGAGATGTCCAGACTCTTGAGCCACCCCTCAAAGGGCTGAATTTGAACCCGCTGGAAGCACTGGCTGCTTAATGCTGTCCACTAGAGAACTTCGTAGAACAAGCCCCTCACTCAGTGGGGCTGTCTGGCCTGCCCACACAGCTCCTTCCAGCCCTTCTTCCCAGAGGCACTGCTGAGGGAAATGAGACTGAGAAAAGAAGAGGTGGGGTGGCGTGGATCCCTCCTCCATACTCGGTGCCTGGCCGGCCCTTGGTCATCTCCCCTTGTGCTTTATGGCCCCAGGCCCGCCCTGCTCACCCACTCGGCTCCTGCCCCAGAATCTGCAGCGTCCTGCCGGGCTTCCTCAGGGCTGCCTCCTTCTCCGCCCCCAGTGGACTGCTGCGTGTTTCTCCTGTTCTTACTTCTCTGTGCACATCTCTCTTCCCACCAGAACATGGGCTCTGGCATTCAGCAGGCACTTACTAAGTGCTCACTGGATGGAATAGCTCTGCATCGTCATTGGCGAGACACCGGCAACCCCGCGCCCTTCCTTCTGGAGCGCTCAGAGCTCACAACTACCTGGGGGGGGGGGTAATTGCCCAGTATGACTACACCCATTTTACAGACAAGGAAACAGAGACTAAGAGAGGCCACAAGATGAGCTTGAGGACTCATTTAAACCCTCATTCAAATCACTCAAAAACGTAACCCTGGCCACAGGCCTGAAAAGAGGTCCTCAGGGCCTTCCTTCAGAGCCCTTCTCCACGGGGACTATGGGGTCCTTACGCCCCCCCCAGCTCCACTCCATCATGACCTCAGAGGTGTCCAGATCCCAGGCGCACCTGGACCCACATTCCTCCACCCCCAGAGTTTCCAGCCCCATTTATAACAGCAACGATAACGATAGTTAGCATTTCCATCACACTGCGAGGTTTGCAAAGCGCTTTACACATGTTATCTCATTGGATTCTCAAACCCTGGAAGGCAGGTACCACTATTATCTCCATTTTACAGATGAGGAAACTGAAGCAGATAGCGGTAAAGTGACTTGTCTGGAGTTACACAGCTACGGAGGGCCCGAGGCTGGACTTGAACCCAGGCCTTCCTGATTCCCACGGTGCCACCTTCCTGCCTTTCCTGCCTGGACAGTGCTTTCCTCATTGAAACCCTACGAGGCAGAGATTGAACTCATTCACTCCCATTTTACAGATGAAGGAACGGAGGCTGAGCGGGTGGGGTGATGACGCCAGACACAACCCCAAACCAACCCTCACACATCCCCCGACCACAAGAGCAGGGGAGACGGCTTCGGATACCACCAGAAAGGCCTGGCTGGGGCAGCGCCCCTGAGCAGAGCAGGGGAAGAACCGACCCAGGGAGGAGGGCCAGACTTCTGGCTCCTCACCAGGCCCCCTTCCCACTGCCCAACACAAGATGAGCCTTCCCGAGACGTCTCTGCGCCATGATTCTGCTCCGACAGGCACCCTGGCTGCTTTCTCCCTGGCTCTCCAGCTCAATGTCCAGCAGCCGGGGCTTGGGCAGCTCTCTCTACACCTCCCCGGCTGCGGGGGCCCCCACGAGCCTCCCTCTACTCCCCAAGAACCGAGTGCCGGGCCTCATTCAGAGACGATCACATGTGTGTTGTGTGGGAGGGGAGAGGAGTGCCACTGGTCCTGCTCTTTCAAATGTCTCATCTCATGTCCAGGCAGCAACAAATGCCTTCTCTTCCCCTAGTAACCCTGGAAGTGTCTAGTGAAGAATCAAACACCTGGGTAAGGAATGATCAGAGGAGTGCCGAGGGGGCGGGAGGGAGGAAAAGGGGAGGAGGAAGAGGAGGAGGAGGAAGGTTTTTCCCCATGCAGCCTCAAGGAAGGGGGGAAGGAGGAGGAGGGAGAGGAGAGGAGGAGGAAGAAGAGGGAGGAGAGGAGGAGGGAGGGGAAGGGGAGGAAGATTTTTCCCCAGGCAGCCTCAATGAAAAGGGGGAGGAGGGCAGGGAGGAGGAAGAGGAGGAAGGGGAGTGCCTGTGGGGAAGGGGGAGGAGGTAGGGGAAGGGGAGGAGGAAGATTTTTCCCCTTGCAGCCTCTTCTGATAAGGAGCCCAAAGACAGAGAGACATGCTGAGAACAAGGGGCTAGTCTATCCCAGAATTCATTCTGGACAGGCTGGGCTGGTGTGGACGACAGGCCCACCACGTCCGAGGGCCTTTCTCTGCAACAGTCCCTCCCCAAGGGCCTGCTTTGGGCTCACTCACCTGGACGGGAAGCTCTTGGGCCTTCTCTCTCCAGCATCCCCGGGGCCGCCCCTCGCTCCAGCTGAGAGATCACATCTGGTTTGGGAACGGGAAACCCTGCTCATGGAAAATGGAAAATGCTGAGGACAATCAGGTATCTGCAAAGTCTCTTCCAGACAGGTGGCCACACTTTGTGGAAGGCCCAGAGCAAAAGCCACGGATGGCTGCAGGAAGTCTTGTGAGGCCTTCCCAGAGGATGGTCAAGGAGAGATGGCCACTGAGTGGATTTGGAACCAGAAACAAAATGAGGCCATTGCTCCATCTCCTCAGTGGGAAGACAAGAACATTTTGCATTGTCAAGTGAGTATCTGCACTGGGATCTGGGGGGAGACAGAGGAGAGGAAAGAGGGGCTCGGGAGCAGGACACCCTGATGCCACTGTCAGAGAACAGGGAGCAGAAGGCCTGACCCTTGGCCACAAAGGGCTTGGGCACATCTGGGCTCTGCACACCAATGCGTAGCATGTGAAACACCCTGGTGCATTAAGCAGGTGAGGAAGCAGACCACTCCCACCCCCCACCCCCCACCCTGGAGGGGGGAGCTGCAGCCAAGCATCCTCACCCAGGGACAGCAGGTTCCTGTAGTTCTCCAGCATGACCTCCTTGTACAGCTCCCTCTGAGAGGGGTCCAGCCACCCCCACTCCTCCTGGGTGAAGTCCACAGCCACATCCTTGAAGGTCACTGACTCCTGAAACACCAGAGAGGCATCTGCTCACCCAGGGGCCAGCCCATGTGTGGCAGAGACTGCCAGTAAGGGTCAGACGCAGTTCATGTGGTTCTCCCACCCCTCAGTACAGGGTCTGAGTGCCCAGGTCCTCAAGCCTCCCTCGGGACTGGGTGCTGAGTTGTGACACTTAGACAGTGCCTCCTATCTCCTAGCATCTGAGGGCTTCCAATGATTTTACAGAAAAGGAAACCGAGTCCTGGGAAGTTAAATGACTAAGTGCCTGAGCAGAGTTGGACTTGGGCATCTGGACACTCAAGCACTCCTTCTCTGTGCCCCCTGCCTGATGCTGAACACCCCCCAAGGAAGCGCCAGCCAATTCCTGCCCCTCACTGCTCAAGGGTGAACTGAGTGGAAACCACTCCAGCAATGAGAGAGCTCCAAGGCGAATGGCGCCCTCCAAACAGGCATTTCCCATGAGGTCGGACTTCCAGACTTTGGTAGTGTGCACCAAGAATGTCTGCTTCCTGAGGGCCAGCCTCACTGAGCTCCAGAGAAGAGGCTCCGTGCCAGGAGGCAGGCCACTGGGGAGGGCGTCCTCAGGCCAAAGTAATGGCCATCATGAACTGTGCTGTGACCGCAAGCTTAGCCTGACCTGTTCTGCCAAATGGCAGAAAAGGCTAAGTTAGATGATCTATAATACACCGTAAGGTTAAAGCTTAGGGCAGCTAGGGGGTGCCACAGTGATAGGGCGCTGGGCCTGGAGTCAGGAAGACCTGAGTTCAACTACTATCTTCGACACTTACTGGCTAGGCGACCCTGAGTACTCTGTCTGTCTGAGAAGGTGCTGATCTGAATTGATGGAGGGAGTTTCCTCACCTGGGAGTCCCCAATACCACCGAGATCACAGGGTCAACTCCTATCCCCATCTTTCATGACACAATGCAGTTTCTCCTTCCCTTCTCTCCCCACCTCTGCCCCATCTCTTATAACAAAGCATAAAAAAAAAAGATATCTCTAAAAAAACCCTTTTCAAATATGGAGGAGGATGGCTCATTTATATGGTGCCTTATGATTTCCAAAGCATTTTTACAAACATGATCTCATCTGAACCTCCCGACAACCCTGTAAAGGAGGTGCTCATACAGATAAGGAAACTGAGGCTGAGGAAGATGAAGTGATCTGCCTAGGGTCACACAGATAGTGCAGGTCTGATGTAGGATTTGAACTCAGGTCTTCCTGACTCTGAGTCTATGTCCAGGTATTCTAAGACACGAAACCTAAGGCCATCTTGGGCATAGCCCAGACAAAGGTGCAAAGATGGGAAATGGTTAAGAGGGCAGTTTGGTCGGAACATATTATAGGTGAAGAAGAGTGATGTGGGGAAAAGGCAGAGAGATTCTGGCTGTGGAGAATGTTTAATGTCAGGCTGAAGAGTCTGCAGAAGTGAGAGGGAGCCAGTGAAGATTACTGCGCAGGGGGGTGGCACAACCCGACCTGGGCCTTAGGAGGAGAGCCACTGTAATAGGCTGGCATCAGGCAGGAGCAGAGCACTTATCCAGTGGGCAGAGGCCTGGAGGAGAAGGGCAAGGGGAAGAAGAAGCCTGAGGTCATAAACAGCGGCAGGCCCCACCTGGGACACACTGAGGGTGACCAAGGGTCTGCAGCGTGGGAGCTTAGTGGGAGCTCAGTGACCGGGAATTCCCCTGCTGTGTGAATGAGTGACAAAGGCGAGAGGGACCCAAGACAAATGCTGGCAGTGCAGACCCACCCCCATGGCCTTGGCCCCCAGGATCGTAGGGTCAGCGCTGGAAGGGACCTTGGAGGTCGAGCGCACACCCCTCAGGTGACAGATGAGGATACCGAGGCCCAGAGAGGCTGACTGATTGTCTGAGGTCATTCAGCTACTAAGCATTTTAAGCACAATTTGAACCGAGGTCTTCCTGACTCCCCGACCACTGTGGAAAGAATTCCCTCCCTGCTGAAGCCTAGGTGCCGACGGGAGTGGGCTCCAACTCACCAGGGCCTCGGTTCTCAGGCCCTTGGGGGCCATTCCCTTTCAGGCCAGAGTGCAACCCTCCGAAGGAAGAACTGGGGAAGAGAAGAGAGCAGTGAGCTGAGCGGGGCTGGCATCTTCTCGCACCTTGCAGACAGGGGCTTTTGTAGCCTGGGGCCTGGGCGCCCCTCCTGGAAATCAGTAGGCTCGAGCTGGACACCACAGGCCGGCGAGCAGGCAGAAGGGAACTGGGGGGGGGGGAGCAAAGACCACCGACTTCAGCCCTGACTAGCTGTATGACCAAGCAATCCACAAGCCCCCAAAGCCGCAAAACGGGGCCAATTACACACGCACTCCCTTCTCCCTAAGCTGTAGTAAGGAAAGGGGGCTGGCCCTTTCAGGAGCTCTGACTGTCCCAACCCTCCTCCTCTCCATAAGACTTCAGATGGGAATTATACACTAAACTGGCACACCCTGGAATGGCATAGTGACTGAAACCAAGACCTGATTTTTTTTTTTTGCAAAAACTAAATAGCACTGATAAACAACAGCTCCAAACTCCCAAGAGGCCAGAGGTTCTCACCCCGGACTCAAGATCGGTGGACAGATTTTGGGGGGGGGGCTGTGAGCTTGGATGGGGAGGTAAGTGACATCTTTATTTTCAGTAACTTCTCACGGATGGAGAGACTTTTCTTTAGTTAGGCGTATACATAATCCTGAGAAAGGCTTCACTAGGCTGCCAAAGGCTCCGTGACCCGGAGGGGGGAGAGCCCCTCTCAATGACAGCTAGGCTAGGGCACCCTGGGGCCAATCACCCGGCCAGCATGGGTCCGGGCCGGACTGGAACCCAGGTCCTCCTGCTCCAAAGCAGCCCTCGCATCTTCCCAAGGGCTTCATCTGCCTCGCCCCGAGCCTGCCGGGCCAGCCCTGGGCTACCCGGGGGGCGGCCGGGGGGTGACCAGCCCCGCGGCCTCATGCCCCACTTTAATGAGATGACCCCCCACAGGGCAGAGCAGAAGCGAGACCCCACGAGCAGGGGTGGTCCTCAATTGTGGGGGGCGGGGGGCACGGCCCCCACGGAAGGTGGGGGGCGGGGCACGCGACCCCTGAATCCCCGTGGGACGGATGGGTACGGGGTCTGGGGATGCTGGGTCCCCAGGACGCAGGGGATGGGGTGGGGGCTGCTGGGTCAGACGGGGATGGGGAGCAGGTAGGGGGACGCCCGCCGGACGCCTGGGTCCAACGACTCTGGGGAGCCCAAGGGGCGCCGGGGTCCTGACCACTTCGGGCCGGACCTTTGGGGAGACTCACCCCGGGAAGCTGCGGCCACGAGGTCACGGGGAGGGGGGCGGAGAGGAAAATGGAGGAAGCGGAAGTGGAGCACGGAGCGAGCATCCTGGGAAATGTAGTCCAGAGTCCTGGGGAGCTTTGTGAGCATGCTCAGGAGGAGAGGCCGCCCCCTCCCTCCCCATCCTCCTTCCTTCTCCACGCAAGCCTGAGGGCCGGGGCGGGGGCGGGGTACACACTCGGCTTGAAGTTGGGGGACGAGCCAGAATGGGCGGGGCTGAAAGGGTGGGCGGGGGCAGGGAGGGGGCAAAGCCAGAATGGATGAGGCGGAGCGAGCGGGTGGGGCCAAGCCAGAGGTAGGCGGGGCCAAGAAGTGCTTTCTCCTCCCTCCCCTTCAGGCAACACGCTCTCTTCCAGGGATTTTCCTGCCATTCCCAGAAGGGCTGCCTGGAGGAGGAGCCTAAGGCTGCCCCTTCCCCACCCCCAGTGCTTTGGGCTCTCAGCGTGTGCCCCCAGGGCTCCTGCATTGCTCTTCTCCTCCCTAATACAGCATCCCAGCAAATAACTTGTTCACTCATTCATTCAATTTTTTATCCACTCATCCCTCCCTCCTTCCCTTTCTCTATCCATCCCTCCATCCCTCCCTTCCTTCTCCCTCCATTTCTCCTTCCTTTCCTCCGTCCTCCAGTTTTGCCTCCTCTGTTTGGATCTCTAGTGGCCTTTTCCCCAGGTCCACATGCCCCTGCTATCCTCCTAAAACTTGGCTCTTTGACATGTCCCTTCTGTTATCTGCGATCTCTTCCTATTGGGCCTGGGAGTGACTGGTGCATTACCAACCTGGGGTGAGGGGAGAGGGGAGAGGAAAGGATGGGACATGAGAGGGAAAGAAAGAAGGGAGGAAGGTAGGGTTAGTCCTGGGAAATACTGCTCCTACCTCTGGAATCCTGAGTCTACTGTAGCATGGTATTAAAAAAAAATTCTCTCTAGGAAGAGAGGTCTTCAGCATCTCTCTGCATGAGTGTCTGGAAATAGCAAGATTCTTAACGCCCTGGGTAAAAAAAAGTTCATTCCTCTCTCACCCTGAAGGAAGAGTGCTCATAAATCACCAGGTCAGGAATAAGAAATACTCACAATTAGATTAGAAGTAGGGAACCCAAAGGTAAGAAGGCAGAATGGAAGCTGGGGAGTGGGACTGAAGATAGGTATGTAGGGGGATAATGTGGACAGTCCTTTCGCAGCTGAGTGAAGGACAGATTGGAGAGACCTGATGCTAGAAGAGAAGTGAAAAGGCTTCACCATAGGCCAGGGGATGAGGGCCTATACTAGAGAGGTGGAAGGAAGAGGATGGAGAGGAGATGTGATGAAACAATAATTCCCTTCCCAACTAAAACAAAAACAAAACTCTTGTTCACCCAAGAAATCACAAGACATAGTGGATGTCAAGCCCACCTTGGAGCCAAGAAGTGCTACTCAAGTCCTGTCTCTGACACATTGTGACCCTGGGCAAGTCACTTAACTTAAGAGCCTGGGCAACAATCCTGGTTGCCCTCCTCAGGATATCCTCCAGCTTATAATGTCTTTCATTTCCCATTTGGTAATTTGAGTCATTTCTTTCAAAAAAGGTGGATCTATTAATTATCACTGTTTAGTTTTTGCAAAAAAAAAGTCATGTCTTGGTTTCAATCAACTTGCCAGTTTAGTATATGAATTCCTGTCTGAAATTTTACGGAGAGGTGAGGAGGGTTGGGGCAGTATGGCGCAGTGCAAGAGCCTTGCTCTGCAGTCAGAGGTCCTGATTTCAAGTCCCACTTCTGACACTCACAGCTCGGATGACCATAGGCGAGTCTCTTAACCTCCTCGATCTGTTTCCTCATCTGTAAAACAAGGGGCCTTTGAGACTTCTTCCAACTCTAGATCTATGATCCAAGGAAGATTACAAGCAGTGTTGTTATTATTCACTTGTGCCTGGCTCTTCATGATCCCATTTGGGGTTTTGGCAAGGATCCTGGAGTGGTTTGCCATTTCCTTTTCCAGCTCTTTTCAAAGATGAGGAATTGAGGTAATTAGGGTGAAGTGACTTGCCCAAGGTGACACAGCTAGGAAGTGTCTGAGGCCAGATTTGAATTTAGAAAGATGAGTTTTCCTGACTTCAGGCCCAGCATTCTAGCTGCCCTGGCGCTGGACAGGCTAGGGGGGAACTGAGCTTCAAGGAAGTTTAGCAAGAAGGCAAACTAAGCAAAATTATCAGCTGGGAAGGAGGTCCGTGGGCAAAACAATGGAAAAGATGCGCAAGGATTTTTGTAACGGGTTTTAAGGACAATAGAACCGTCACACTTAGAATCTCCCGGTACTGAAGGGGTTTAATGAGGAGGTAGAAAAAACCCAGCAGGACTAGGTCATGTATACATAATGGAGGTCTGTGTAGGGAGTAACAAAAGTTGGGGTGAAAGGGTGGCAGCGATGAGGAATTAGTTCTCCAGGTTTCTGGAAGAGGGCAAGGTAAGTGGGGGGAAAATCTCAGAGCATCGATCACCACACAATCTGCACATATTTGCTTATTTAGAAAATGCTTGAGAGTAAACAGGTAGTGCAGTAAATAGAGTGCTGGACCTGGAGTCAGGAAGACTTGAATTCCAATCCAGATTCAGACATATACGGGCTGCGTGACCCTGGGTAACTTAACGCCACCTCCATTTCCACATCTGTAAAATGGGGACAACAGCAGCATCTACCTCCAAGGATGGCTGTGAGTATCAAATGAGATTTATAAAGTGCTTTGTGAACCTTAAAGTGCTGTATAAATGCTAGCTCTACTACTCACTACATGTGCAAGCTTGGCCATCACTTAACCTGTTCCAGGCTTTTCTCATTACAGTAGGGATATTTAACTAGAGCACCTGTAAGGTCCCTAATCTATGATTAGAGGAAACAAGATTCCACTGTGCTTGACTGTTGACTATAAAGCCTTTGACTGAGTTGAGCAAAATGAAACTTTAAACCCGCTCTGCCTGGTTATTTCTATTGGAGGAAAACAATACTGAAAATACACAAAGTAATTTTGGGTGAGTGAAATTACCAACTAGGGTTGAGGATAGGCTTCATTTTAGGAAGCAGCTCTCAAGCCCAGACTTGACAGAAACCAGAAGTCCAAATAGATATAGATGAAGGATGAGTTCCATACGTAGCGGGCAGTCCATGTAATGGGAGAGTTGGGAGATGGAATATCATGTAGAAGAAATAAGTAGACCGGCTTGGTTGGAATAGTATGTGAAGAAGGGGAGAGGGGAATATGCCATTAATCTAGAAGGATAAACTTAACTCGGCCTGTCAAAGGCTTTGCATGCCAAAAGGAAATTTGTGTTTTATCCTAGAGGCAAGAGGGAGTCACGGGAACTCCAAGAATAGGAGAGTGATATAGTCAGACCGAGATTTTAGGAATATTAATTTGGCAATTATGCAGAAGATGGATCTGAGGCAGGAGAGACTGGAGGCAGCTGTATAATTAAGTGGGTTTTTGAAGCCCAAGCAACAATTGATGACCTGAACTAGGGCGAGAGCCGAGTAAGTGAAGAGGAAAGATGCAAGAAATCACCCGAGGGTAGAATCACTGAGGTTCTAACCGGGTACGGGAATGACAGAAAGGGCAGAGTTGAGAATGATTCTGAGGTTACAAACCTGAGGGACAGCAGGATGGGGTGACTCTAGCAGAAATAAGTAAACCAGGAAGAGACAGGTTTAGGGGAAGATGAATTCTATTTTGAATATACCGAGTCTGGGATGCCTATGGCACATCCTGTTTGATTCAATAACTCTGATAATACCAGGCAAGGCGAAAAATAGCAAGACACTAATACTAAGGACTTAGATAACTGGGAAATACATGTAATAACCACTGGGAAAAGCCTGTGACTTGTTTCTTCCCACAGAAAGACAAGGATGCAAGATGTCTTTGTTTGTTTGTTTGTTTGTTTTGGTCCTAGACTTATATTTCAATCGAACTCTTTTGCTACTTGTTCTCTCACTTTAAGGTGGTGCAAAATCAGGCAGTCTCTGTAACCCCAGCCTGTTCCTTCCACTTCAAACCAAACTTGATACCCATTTATTAAGCACCTACCACATGCACATAGGAGTAAGGACTTTTGCTGGGCACTGAGGATAAAAAAAAAGGAAAGGGAATCCTTGCTCTCAAGAAGCTTGTATTCTGTAGAGCGTATACAATATTTTATTTGCATGAGTAAGTGAAAAGTAATTTGAAGAGGAAAAGAGAGTACCTAGAAGGATTATGAAAAGTATCCTGAAAAGGGGACATCGGAACTGAGCTTGTAAGAGAATGATCAGGAGCACAGAAGGAACTGGAGAGTTCTAAAAGGTGGGATGAGCAGGAGTAGATACTTCAAGCGAGCAGCACAGTACATACAAAGGCAGAGGGAAGAATGGAAAACTTGGTTCAGGAAACAGCAAACAGGCCAGTGTAGCATCAGTGTAGACTGCATAAAGGAACATGAAATAAGTGTGGAAGGGTAATGCCAGGAAAGGGAGCTTGTATTTTATCCTAGAGGTAACAGAGAGTCACTGGATATGGTCTTCCAATATTCATCACATTTATTAGGAACTTTCTGATGGTTAGAAATCTATTTGGGTCAAAAGACTTTCCACATTACATTGTAGGGTTTCTCTACAATACACTTCTCAGATGATGAATAAGGGATAAATGTTGTCTGAAAGCTTTCCCACTTTGACTACATTTGAAGGGGTTGCTTTCAGCTGTGAGTTCTGCTGAACTCCTAAAGCTGATGTATTTCCACATTTATTTACAATGATTTCTTCAAATATGAATTTTCTGATGTCTAATGAGGTGCGTGCTTCTGCTGAAGGCCTTACCACACTTATTACATTCATAGGGTTTCTCTCCAGTATGAATTCTTTGATGGTAGATAAGTAGTGTATTCCTACTAAAGGCCTTGCCACATTCATTACATTTATAAGGTTTCTCCCCAGTATGAATTTTCTGGTGTCTAACAAGGTCTGGTGTACGGTTGAAGGCCTTCCCACATTGATTGC